AACCCTAACCCTAACCCTAACCCTAACCCTAACCCTAACCCTAACCCTAACCCTAACCCTAACCCTAACCCTAACCCTAACCCTAACCCTAACCCTAACCCTAACCCTAACCCTAACCCTAACCCTAACCCTAACCCTAACCCATTGTAGGTGATGTTATATGCGTATGACTCGCGCTATTGCGAACGGTGAGTACTCAGTGCTTTATGGGCAGAGAAAGGGTTGCAACTCACCCAATTCTGCCTCTACCAGACGGATATTCGAGTGCCATGTACGCGCATCGAGGACGAGGCGGTTGGCGCGAGGAGGGGATGGATAGTCGCGCGAGAGGGATTGCTGGGGGCGTCGATACGCGTTTATCGGTTTGGCGTTTCTGCGTTTATCATGTCGCGGTTTGCCGTTTGTCATGTGTCGTTTCTCGCGTCCCGCTTGTCATGTATCATTGACCGTCGTTGGTTTGTATGTTTGTGGGTTGTAGGCCATTGCGCCTCCTCCCGCTGCCGCTCCTCGTCTGTGCTCTTGCGTGGGGTCCGTGTGTCAAGGAGTCGACTGATGCAAGGGGCGTCGCGATGCATCAAAGCGTCAACACTCGCTCTGGGCTCTGGCCGCGGCATGGTGAACTGTAGACAATACGAGGAGATGGTATTAGAGTGTCACGCCACGTGGACGACGCCGAGACGGTGGCGTGTGAGTTTCTTTGGCGCCGAACTGAGGGTCACAGACGTGGGCAAGGGTTTATCTCACTTGCTCACCACCTCGTTCACCCCCTCGTTCGGATTCAATATGCCGTGGGCCACTCCCGAGCAGCTCGAGTATATGAGTACGAAGGTTCTAGCTTACCACGCCACGGTGAAGGGGACAGCTGAGCGTAGAAAGTTCAACGCGGAGGTTCGTCAAGGTTGGTCGGAACGGTGGCCTTTATTGGACCAACATATCAGGGTGCGTGGCCGTGGAACTATGAGATACTATACTGACCGATACTTTAGATGTTTTCCTCGTATTTCCGCGAGCAATTGATCAAACGGGGCCTCGTCCCAAGGCCTAAGCGCAAGCCAGCGCCCAAGAAGCCAAATCAGCCGAAGGCTGCTCCATCGACCCCCCCCGATGCCCCTGCTCGTCCTCCTCTCGCTTGGACATCTCACCATCAAGACACACGCTCACTGGAGCCGACCTCGGAGCTGATATTGGCGACTCGTTCCCCCGTCGCTTCGACATCATTCAGGGAGGATCCGCGCCCCGTCGAGGACCTCATTCTCGGTCTCTCGATCACCCCGCGAGTGACCCCGCCTTTAGCTTCCTCACTGCACCCTCCTTACTCCCGCTCGTCGACAGTCTCAGTTGAGAGACTTCTTTTACAAGATGTAGTGAGCTCGCCCCCACCGGATGGTAGAGAGAGACGGCACGATGAAACGATAGCCCCTCTTCCTCGGTAAGTCCCCCCCCTCTCTCTCTCTCTTTTCCTGTAACATCGTCGTTTGCAGGCAGGTACGGCAGCGAGCTGCGACGCGGTCCCTCCGCTTCCAACTCAACCTACCGGGAATTGAGCACGACGATGTACGTCTTTTCGTACAAGACCAACGGCTGGTTGTTTGCGCGCATAACTCAAGCGTATCGTACGAGTGGGAGATGGGCCTTGGTGGCAATATCTTGGTAAGTCCATAGTGCGCGCGCCATTCACAGTCACTCACTCACGTCCATAGCCGGACCGCGTCCACGGCGGGATCGTCTCGGGAGATCTACGCCTCGCTGTCACCGTCGAAGAAGCCGTGGTCGCCGATGTCGATCACTGGGTGTTCACGATCACCAGTAAGTCTACTTCACACCATCTTCGCATCGCTAACTGCATTTCTGTCAGATCAATGGCCATGGTAGATTCCAGGCGCACGCTCTCCCGTCCCTTTGCTTCATATCTTGTACAACACGCCTTCGACGACACTACAGCTCACATACGATCTCGATTTCAATTGCCTTCCCAATGTATCGCTAACGCAGGCTCCCTGGCCATTCACACTCGGACTCCCCCCCATGATTGTATTGATAGCGTCCATCCATGTCTTGTATTTATATTAGCTCGCTCAACATCTATGTCAATGAGTCAATTGCCTTTTTCTTTGTCTCAACGCACCTACTATAGGGCGGCGACGGACTCGCCCTTGAGTGCGTTTGGGCGCGGCGACTGTATCCAGGATGGGCGCCGTTGGTGGCTGGGATGGAGACTCGGCGCTGGAGTGGAGGCGCGCGTGATAGAATTGCTAGACGGCGCGGAACGGGTCGTAGGAAAGCGTAGTGTACCATTGAAGATGTGAGGATGCGAAGGGTTGAGTGGGGCTGCAGAGGAGGGAGTGAGGAGGCGTAGAGTGGCGGAGGTAAAGTGAGTAGCGCGTGAAGTTGGGTGATATATGCGGGCAGAAGGGTGCGCTGTTGTAGAGGACTTAGTGGTGGGAGGGTTGCGCTGAGGGGCCACGAAGATGTTGTTAGAGTGGGACGGGAGCGGGGTGGAGTCGCAATGGGCCAGCTATGGGTCGAGCTAGACATGGACGTGGTTCGCGCAAGTTAGTACTAAGGACACACCACGGAGTGAGAATGGATAGGTACGCACCGCTGGCCATGCCGATTCTACCCCGTAAACATAGCCTCTTGATGCTGTGTGCGCACGTCCCCAGCCTCGCCTCCGCCCGCCGCGTTTGTGTCTCATCGCCCTCCTTGGATCAATGTTGCGTACTGTCCACAGGCTTACCTGACGTTCAAGAAACAGGCACCGTAGAACTCGCGCTCAATCGACGCCGCCCTGCGCAACGACACGGTGGCCCCCTGTGGCCAATGCTAGAGTTCAACCTCAAAAACGATCGACGATCAAACGATCAAACGATCTAGCGTCAAGCAGATCCACCCGTGCACATAGACACTGGCGCAAAAAAAAGGGAACAACCAATCTATTCAGGTACGATTAACAGCTACATATTCGGTTTGTAAGTACTTATGATTGAGCCAGATCACGCTCTCCACCCTCTATCTCACGGCCAGTCACATTCGTTGAGAGTCAGCTCATTCGGGTTGCATACGCCGTTCGAAGTCCCCCGACTCAACTGGGCTTTGAAGTCCTTGAAGTCCTCGTGCACGCTCTTCGAATTCGTCGGTTGGGAGACCACTCGGCTCACGGAGACAGACGACGTGTGCGATGTCCACAGTCAACCGCTGGAGCAACTCGCTCGCTCGCACGCACATCCCTGGCCCTTGCACTTGTTGGGTCTCGCGGGTTTATACGCCTTCGCTACAGCTACTGACCCTAGCTTAAAGCCCGTAATTCCACGATCCCGCGCAGATGAGCTACTGTAAACGCCAACGCGACGTCGATCCCTCGCGACCAAGCACGGCAACATGTTTGTCGACTACGTGCACGTGTATCCAATGTCTTCACCATCGATGTGGCCAACGATCGGTGCGCTGGCTGCGAGACTGGTTCATTGGTGGTGATTCTCGGCCTTGTTCGTCATCATGGGTGTCGTTCGAGACTCTCTAGACGACGCGGGGTATCTATTGAGTCGTGTCTGGTGAGTTCAGCTCGGCATTTTCGACGTGGACTAACGCCTTACCTCGATATAGTGACTCATCGAGTACATCTATCGCGTAGAGCATACCCCACCCTCCCCCTCCCGAGCATGACGAAGTGTTGGCATCGTTCGCGCAATGTCTACGATGCTGCGAATGTTGAGTAACCTACCTCTGCGTTGCGACGATCTGACTCACCGCTCCGTTCGACAGCTTTCTCGACGCATCTCAACCGTTCAGCCATCTTCGCCGTCGCTTTGTCGATATCCGGGATGGCGTAACGGCTCATCTTCGTGCACACAAGGCCGACGATTCGCTCTAAGGATCTATCGCGGGCGGGCAACACTTCAAAGCGATCGGTTAAGCAACGATACGGTGACGAGAATCAACATACAGCTTACCTAGCAACTCGGCTTGGGTCGTAAACGGTCCGGGGGACATGAGTTGGGCTCAGAATCGAGTCGACGCTGCGCGCTAGGTATCCCATCAAGATGGGCAAGTGATTGTCAGTTCCTTAAGGAATGTGGACTGACCAAGGGGTTGCTACGCGCTTCCCCAAAGTGGACGATCGTGCAAGAACTCCTGCTCGCGTTTCCACTGCGATGATTCGCGAATCCAGTTCCTTAATCTTCCACGCAGGCCATCTCCTCCGTTCACCCCCGTTGCCTTGCCACACACGCGTGTCGCGTCTCCACCTTCCATCTCCCTCGTCCCTGTGAACCCGTTGGTCGTGGTCGCAAGGTTGGGGGAGAGGTTGACGGAGGGTGCGTAAGCGACCGACTTGTGCTTATCAGCGACTGCACTTCCGACTGCTTGCCAGAGGCTCTCAGCGTCCAAAGGAAGTTGCCAACATTGATGGCTAGTGTCGCCGTTGAGAACTGCGTTAACGTCTGGGGGCGTCGTAGGGGCAGAGACGGCGAAGTTGTTCCCATTGACGCATGGGGCGTAGGGAATGCTCGGCAACTCTTGCGCCTGCTGCACCTCCAATTCCCGCATTTGATCCTCGAAGAACTTGCGTTGGAGAAGGCGCTGCCTCTCATGCTCGAGACGCTTGAGTTCAACCCGCTACAGATTGACAGCATTAGCATCGACGCCATGACTATCATCTCCAGCGACCGAAAAAAAAGTAAAGAACGGCCACTCGCGCCATGTGATGGGGAGTAGGGCGCTTTCACCAAATAAAGAGACATACCAAGTCTGCCAGATCTAAGAACGCAAGGGGGGGTTTGCTTCCTATCGTCGGAAGCAGAACGATTATCAGAGGACGCAATCCCATTTTCCAAAGACAAGGTGTTCATTCTGAGTGATTATATATATGTAGGCCAAGTGTCGTCACCGTTGTTGGGTGCTTAGTGCGACACTGCGTGTGCTTCGGGACAACGTTATCGATGCTGAGGGTTGCAGATGGAGAAGACGCGGGGGGTGCTGTAGGCGTTGTCAGGGCGTCGCACGGAGTGGGTGCAAGGTCGTTGGACGGGCGCTGTGGCGTAGACGGGATGGGGGGAATGTGAGGGGTAGAGGAGGCGCTGTGGGGCGGGATATCGTGGTCAGTGCATTTCGCGAGTCCGAGACGGGTGCCCACCTTCTCTTCGCTGTTTGTACTCCTCGTCGCCGACGCCAATGACTCGCTGCGTCTCCCTCTTGCCATCTTTCGTCTATCCCCTTTGTACGCCTATACAACTCGCTGGTCTTCGTCTTCCCCTCGTTGCTCCGTCTCGCGTCGGCCTGCTAGTGGAGTCGCAGCCTCCCAATCAACCCTCAGCTGCATCTTGGACCTTCTTGTCGCTGCAAGTCGCGCCGTCGGGTCTCATCGTCTTTGGTGGCGTTCGTGGGGCGGCGACCGTGTAGTGGAGGATCTTGTTGTCGTCGCCGACAATGTCGATACCGAATTCCTGCGGTGAGGTGAGACGCAGGCATCACTACGACGTAGGGAGTACGTACCACAATATCATCGCTTCTCAGTTCCCAAGGATGTGGGTGATATATGAGGGCGGAAGGGTGCGCTGTTGGGGAGGACCTAGTGGTGGGAGGGCTGCGTCGAGGGGCCACGAAGATGTTGTTAGAGTGGGACGGGAGCGGGGTGGAGTTGCAATGGGCCAGCTAGGGGTCGAGCTAGACGTGGACGTGGTGTGCGCAAGTTAGTACTAACCACACGCTACCGAGTGAGAATGGATAGGACGCACCGGTGGCCATGCTGAATCCGCGCCGTAATAAGGCTTACCTAACGATCAAGAAACAGGCGCCGTCGAACTTGCGCTCAATCGACGCCGCCCTGCGTAACGACACGGTGGCCGCCTGTGGCCAATGCTAGAGTTCAACCTCAAGCACGATCGACGATCAAACTATCAAATGATCTAGCGTCAAGCATGTCCACCCATGCACATAGGCACGGACGCGAGGGACAAGGTAAAGAAAGCGTACAACCAATCTATTCAGGTACGATTAACATAGCGTACACTGTACGTCGATTAGCGCTTACATCTCGACACATTACCTGATGCCCCAGGATTCCAGCCTATCCCGTATCCCCTATGCGTCGCGCGCGCGATCCCTCTTCCTGACGTACAGTTCGCCCTCTCGTTTCCTGCTGCTTCCTTTCCGCAACTAACCATCTTACCATAGTTGTTGTCTTCCTTATCCAGCATCGCCGTGGACCGTGGATGGTGTCGACGCCAACGTCGTCAGCCACACACGCGAGTCGTTCGCATGCTACTCAACAAAGTAAGTGTTTCGTTAGTATACGCAAAGCGTTGACTTACTCTGTTAGCCATCAACCTGCGCGCTTCGTCAACGACACTGGGTTGATAGTAGTCCTTGGTACGTACGCATCCCTGTTCGTTCGTTCGTTCGTTCGTTCGTTTCGCTTCGTGTCGTTCTGCGTTGTCGTTTGCGTGTGCGTTTGCGTATGCCTCCCCCGATTTCGACGCGCTTCTCTCCCCACTCTCATCCCAGTTCTGCTATTCCTTATTTCTTCTTTCGCGCGTTGTTCTCGTTATCGTCGTCCGCGTGTCCGCACTTCGTTTTCATTGTTCATAGTTCGGTAAGCATTGTTGCAGAGTCGGACGCGGTGCCAATGCATACTGACTAACTGACTCCCTGCAGACCCTTGACAGCGGCGAATGGCGGGTTTGACGTGAGTGGGGACCTGTATGCGGCGAAGTTTGCGTGCGGTTAGTGGGCAAGGATGGAATTGGGGCGGGCTTGGATTTGGCAGGTGGACGGCGTTGGAAGGTGTTGGAGGGGAGCGAAGGAATACGGCGATGTGAGTATGCGAGTGGGATGGGATGCAAGAGAGAGAGGAATGCGAGTGGGAATGCGTAGAGTAGCGTAGTGAGAGATCGTGACGATGTGGAGGGTTAGAGTCTAATAATACCCGTTTGAATAGCACCGTATGTAGAATCCTGGCAATCTCTGGACGCGACCTAATACAAGGTATGGATGGTGTGACAAATTATTGGATTTCAACGACGGACTCATTACGGACGAACGATGTACGGCTAACTATCTTTTCTTACGGACATCTGCCGGTTGTAAACCTCGAATGCCATAGTCAGAGAAGCGCACAATTTGACAGCCTCTGGGATCGTCTTCTCGGTCCAAGTGTTGAAGTCGTCGCCGGGTAGCGTGTTGTCAGCGTCCTGATGCCTTCTCTTCATCTTGGCTAACAATCCCTCCATAGAGGTGATGCATTGAGTACTCAAGGCGGCGTATGGCGCGTAGTCTTTGACGAGGCCGACGGCCTCTCTGCTGCATGCGTCGTAACCGCTGAAAATCCATAGGCGTGGGCGGGCGTTGCTTAAGATTTTGACGGACATCATTCTGTGGTAGATAGCGAGAGCCACAGCGGCGTCTGTTGCAGCATCTGGATAAGACAGTGAGCATTGACGCAGTGGGTCGATATGATTCACATACAAGTATAATGCTCGACGCTTAGTTCTCCGACCCATTCTTGTGCCGGTTGAAGAGCCTTGTCGAGCCCCCGACTCAGCCATACCTTAGCCAAGGTATCCAACGCGACGCACGACGAGAAGTGCAGTCCGGATAGCGCTCCTGTCAGGTCGAACATTCTATGGAGCCGCGATAGCTCGCCTGCGCCTGCCAATTCGACCTCGTCTGAGTCCAGGAGTGCCTTGGCGTCACCTGTAATACACCCTAAGCATGCCGCTGCATACTCGGGCTCGAGGACTCCACCTACCGAGAACTCCGACGCCAAGTTTGACGTACTTGTCGTTGCGCAAGAAGGACTTTAGTACATCTGGGAAATCTGTCGAACGTAAGTCGTATAGTAGACGCATATATGGGGAATTTTGGACATACAGCTGATCTTATCGATGTCAAAGACATAGGCGGCGTTCCTGGATGCGATTTGGACGAGGCGGACTTCTTTACACGGCGTCAGCTCCACGTCGAACCCGAAGAATGGGCAGATTTGGGCGTCTTTGATCAATTTTGCGACATATCCTTCGCTGAGTGGGACGTTGGTGGCGACAACGACGGAGTTTGGGTCGATCGTAAACAGTGGCAGCGGAGCGTTGGTGGTCATGGTGGTGGAGATGGGAGGGATTGGAGGGACGATGGTTCGACACAACTTATTATACGGCGACACGGTGACGCACAGACCAACGCGTCATATTAATACAGGGATCGAGGCGGCGGGTCGATTAGGTTTGACACCGCGTGGTTTAAAATAGATCGACCGTGCTAAGAACACCGATGATCTATGACCGTGGCACAAGGACGACGACTAAGTAGGGGATTTTGGCATATTTGGCGATAAGTCCTGATAAGGATAGAATGCGGGAGCTGTCCCTAATCGAAGGATCGAAGATATGGGTTCGATCTTGATCGATTTGGTGGGGAGGGGGTCTGCGGTTGGGACAAGGTGGTAAGCGTCGCGCGGATTACCTAACCGTCAGAGCTCGCCTTTGAGTTGTTAGCCCTCCTCTGCTCTGGATCTTTACCTTCATCTCATGTCTGTGTCTTCCCAAACGTCCGAGAGGGGCCCATCGCGACCGACAACCCCATCGAGCCCACCGGGGCCATTATCGTCCGCGTCCAACAAGGGAATTGGTTCGCCAGACAGAAGCCTGCGTGCATCAAGACGACACGCAAGGTCGGCATCTTGGAGCCTATCAAGCAAGTTCAGCGACAATTTGAACGAGTCGACGCTGGAAAACGTGGAACGTAGCTGGGAAGAGGCGAAAGAGTCTTGCAAGCTGATCATGGAGTGGGACGATCCGGAGTATATGGACGACTATATGGAGTTTTTGAGAGATCGGGAAGCCATGGCGAGGGAGATGTTAGCTAAGGTTGCGTGTGCGAGGCTTAAGTGGGGCGGAAAAGTGGACGGTTGTACTTTGCGAGGTGCGTTAGTGGTCATATAGGCGCATATAAGTACTGACGAGGGGTAAAAGTAATGGAAGAATACATAGCGAGCAACCGGAACGAGTTTGCAGAGGACGATCTAGTGAACGTCACGGCGGCAGTGAAATCACTTAGACGTAAACACAAGGAAGGTCAAGACGACCCTCAAGACGACAGACCAAAGAAGAAATCACGAACGGCTAAGGAGATTGTGATGGCGCAGCTACCAGCGGATTTGGCGGACCAAATAGACGGATTGGACATGGCTGGCTATACGAAGGTCAAGGTAAGGGCAATTAATGTGGGCATACCGTAATTGCTTCACGACAATAGGACCGCTTTCGCCGTGTATATGCGCATATCGGCACCACTGAGGGCAAGTTGGACGCAGCCAGTTTGGCGAAGGTGTTGCGGGGATACTCCAATAACCCCAGGGCGAAAGGCCTGTTGGAAGAGGAGGCTCTGGCGCGTCTCGTCGTCGGTTATAGAAAAGTCCACATGGGAGATCTAGTGAGTTGCTTAGGTGATGATACATACTGAATAACCATCTTGTCCAGGCATTCGCTTTCGAGGAGGTAAAGTCGGCGTATTCCTACAGTCCCAAAGAGATAAGAAAAGAGCTGGACGTCATCACGAAGATTGACTTACCGGAGAAAAGAATGTTTGAATCGGAAAAGGTACCCGTTGGACATCACTTACAATTGAATCGTCAAATTGATTGCGTAGTTTTTGACCGTTTGCAGCATGAAGCAGGGGAGTGTTGGACTATTGGAGGGAATACTTCTGACGATGGCGGCGCTACGGCTCGCAATCGACTGGCAGGAGATACCAAATACGCAAGAAGGTAAGGAGTGTAAGAAAGTGCATGCGGACAAGTTATTCGAGTTCCAATGGCGACGTGAGCTCGAACATGTTGCGGTGGACTTACAAAAGGCTGGAGAGGCAAAACGGAGGCGAACATGGCGTTTTGAGTTCGAGAGATTGGTGACGAGGCGCAATAAGGTTCTTCAACTTTTCAAGAAAGTGAGTTTACGCGGTGGATCGTCAAACGTGTACGCTGATTGTTATCCAGTTCGGTTGTATCGTCCTGCTGGATCCAATCTGGAGTCCGTTGGTTACGCGCACGACTAACTTCAACTCTTTGCAAGACTGCGTGATAGATAATGTCTTGACGCGTGAACGTTACCAGGAAGACAATGTTGAAGGACAGGGAGACGTGCCATGGCATACCGGGAACGAGTTGGAGAATAAACGCATGCTTATTGAGTTGGTACGCTATTTCACTACAGACGCGATCGCCAAATTCGTAGACGAGACGGTGAACCAGTTGGAACGAGATGCGGCGGATATGATGCCCTAGAATACGAGAGTAGGAGTACATGGAGTCACGTTCTCCGACCACGATTTGTTACTGTACAGACCCGCAAAGGCAATGCATAGTTCTACGAGATTAGACGACTTTGGAGCGGTTAGGTGCGGCTGCGAGAGCCATTTGGCGTACGCATATGGCGCGTCGAATATGTTTGTGTCGGTGAACCCGGTCGCGTTGAGAACTTTCAGCTGTAACGCTTTGCCATTGACATCGGGCATGGTAAGGGAGAGGCAGAATATGGCCCAAGCGATTGGCACGAGGATGTCCTTCTGTTGCGTGCAGGTAGGGTCGTGCAGTTTGTGCTTCTTGTAATCGAAGGGGAAGTAGCATATGTAGCAGACAGATGATTTGGATGTGAAGGAGATTGCTGGTTTGAATTGCCGCTCATATACATGTTCAAGCGATTCTTGGTTGTACGTATACTCGCATTTGAATCCGACAATGGCCGTGTCGCACTTGAACATTTCCTTGTTGCCGCAAGGTTGCTGACAGAGTACAGGGCAGATTAGGCAATGATCTTTCATAGCACATAGCAAGTCGAGCAGGCGATGGCGATCTTCAATACTTGATCTGTTGAGTTTCCCCGCCGCTTGATTGAGTGCGAGGGTCTGATGGTGGCCCCTGGCTATATGGGACGGAAGCAAGTTTTGTGGAACAGTTGGAGGGTGCGCTGTGGCGAGGGGCGAGGCTGGAGTGCTGAGGCGTAAGGTCGTGGTTCGGGAAATGTCGCCGTCGTCCAACGGCTGGCATGCTGAGGCGTGCGGGAAGGCAGCCTGCCTTATTGTCAACATGATATGCAGTACCAATGTAATTTGCATACTTACAGCGTCGCTTCTGCGCTTCAATTTGTCCGATGTGGATGTGTTGGCACTCCTAACGGGTGAGGTTGGTGTTGGGCTCAACGCTTTCGAGGACAGGAGCTTGTTTGGGTGGGCGAAATCGACACGAGGGGCATAGGTGTAGCGCGGAGGGACGGGAGCCAAGTCCTGATTCCTCGTTAGCGTGAGTGAAAATATGTGGAATGGGATGTAACTTACGGGCAACTTTTCGCAATAGTCGCATGGGATGCAACCTGGTAGCGAGTGGCAGGAATGGGATTCTTCATCAAATTCGCCTAAGGGAATGCGACGGCAAGAGTTCAGGGTTAGCAGTTGGAATAGGCGGTGCTGGCCTGCATGGTCCAAGGCCAAGTCCGGAGAGTGCTTGGGTATATACTTGCGAAGGGCCAGGACTACGGTGTGTGCCAACTCTCCACTTCTACCCGCACGCCCTGTTTGTTGAGTGACGCCAACCATATCATAAGGGTTGATAACGAAGACGTGCGTGACATGCGGATGGTTGATTCCTGTACCAAAGCCAGTGGTCGCAACCAGGGCTGGCGTTATCCCGCTAAGCCAGCCGTCTTGACACTGTTGCTTCTTCTTCGCGTCTTCTGTGGTATCGCCAGTGTAATGGGCCTTGTAGGTAGGGATGCGCAGCAGATTGCCAACAATTTCGCACTCTTTGTATGACCGACAATAAACGAGCAGTCGCTCGTGTTCCTTTCGACGGTCGTACGCAGATTGGTATGCTTCGAGCAGGTGGTGTAAGAGTATGGCCTGGTCGCTGTATACGTCCACCTGATACCTCAGGTTGAGGCGAACGGTTGGAGCGGCTATCACCTCTAATTGATCGATGGCGAATGCTTTGGCAAGCGCGGGGATGCTCTGGCGATACATGGTCGCGGTGAGGAAGACAAGGGTGACGCCTAGATCGATAAACTGTTTGACTTTGGAGTAGCAGTCCCTGTAGTTGCTTGAGATGAGGATCTCATGGGCTTCGTCAAAGATTATCCGTCGTAACAGGCCTAGGTTTGATGCGGCAAGTAACCAGTCGTCGAGTTGTCCGCTGTTGAGATGCTCGGCGTGCGCAACGAGTAACCGTACGTTGGAACAATCGATGTCAGGCGAGGGCCAATGAGCGACGTCGATTCCATGAGATTTGGCTTCGTTGTACTGCTGATGAGCTAGAGAGGCGAAGGGACTGATTACGACGGTGATGCCTTCGGACTCTACGAGCGGTGGCCCGTAAAACATGAGGCTCTTGCCTCCGCCAGTAGGTAAAATACCCAGTACGTGTCGTGTGTTCTGCATAACGAGTTCGAATATCTCGCCCTGCTGGGGGCTGGTGAATTGAGGCTCCGATGTCCCGTACAGCCGCTGTAACACCAGCTTGCGCGAGGGATGGACAATGATTGTAGTGGACTTGCAGATGGTAGGTTCGTTCAGTTCTGGTGGACGGGACAATGCCGCTGGCGGGTTGACTGTTTTTTGTACGGCATCAAAGACGGTCGCCTGGAGTGCGTCACCTATTACTGGGATCGTCGAATAGATCGCTTGTATGATTGCAGAAGTGTCGAGTTTGTTTGCGATGATCGGCGTCTGCGTCTGCGTCTGCGTCTGGCGAGTCTCGAGAGAATGGATTTGTAGGTTGGCGGGTAGGTGCTGATAACCGATGCCGAGCCATTCGTGGTACGCCAAGGAGAATATTTGTGCCTTCGTGACTTCGTTGGAAGCGATGTGCGAGAACGTATCTTGTTCAACCGCGTAGTAAGTTTGGGAGACCTTGGAAGAATGGCCCCATAGTTCATCCAGGATGCGATACAAGGATGAATTTTCCGAGGTTTCATCCTGTAACGCAATGCCGACCGCGTGTTTGAGAACGAACTTCATTAGATGGCGGCAGTCCCTAACACCAAGGGGGAAAATAAAGGATTCTTGAGTGAAGCGACGGAGAATCTCCGTCATTCGCTCGGTGTTGAGTGGTCGGCCGCGATGAACGAATATACACGTTTCGTACAGGACGGCATGTTGCTTGGTGCGTAGGATGGCGGCGATAACTCTGGCGCAGGGATATATAACAGCGATGAGAATGATAAAGAGGCGTGCTAGACGGGGGGGAACGGCGCGAGGGATCATGGATGGTCGACCCGTGTTGTGCTGGGTCTTGTTATAGAATGTTACAAATGTTAGTACGCCATTGGTGAAATAGAGATTGCGAGAGGCGTGTCCGTTGCGATAACGTATGTCCTCGATTTCAGTGCCTCTCGCAGCTCCTGCCCAGGTAAAATTAAGCGCGGCATAGAGATGTTCAACGAGTTCATCCACATCGTGTATGAATGAAGATAAGGCGTTGGGCTTGAGTTGATAACCGTCTGGAGTGTCGAACACATACACGTTGCTATCGGCGCGACAGAGGTGATTCATGAGTGAATCCTCGTATCGGCGAAATCCATTCCTCTCGTCGGTAAAAAATGAGTAGCCCGCTTCATCGTTACGAAGCACATCCTTGAACCAGCCCTCGCTTTTGTCGAGCGTCAACGCTGCGTCAATCTGTTCCTCTAAGCTGGATATATCAACTCCATCGAGGATGGCGAGCATCAATTTCTCCGATGCATCGACAAGGCCGACAGCAAACTTCTTGAAGGCGGACATCGAGAACGGGTGGGACTTGAAAGAAAAGGTTTCCATGTCCGTGCCCATGAGGAAAAGAGGTAAGCTAGGTTCTTGCATCGAGATTGCGGTGATGGGATGGATATGACTGCGTAGTACGGCGAAAGGACAGTGCGAAGCCTCTGTAAGGTATTCGGATATGCTTTCGTATACGCTGGTGGGAGGTTTAACTTTGGGTTTACTCAAGACGACATATGACTTACCCCATCTCGCCTTGGGGATCCTGGGGAGCGAGTTGTTTGCATTGATAAAGCGCCATTGCTCGCCAACACCACTGAATCGATATCATATTGTGGCAGATAAGCGACGGAGCCTTGAATCGAGACGTGCAGTCGTCCCTCAGATGATAAGCAATGAGAAAGCGAGTTAAAGGTATATCTAGCTCGTTCATGTCGGTCGATACCGGGATGCTGGTCAATACCGACCAGCAAAGCGAGTGCAAGTCCGCCCAAAAGGACGGAGGCGCGAGATCTAATTCCACTGGAATCTCCTTGTCGACTAGGTTGTTGAGGCATTGGAGTTGTGATTCAGTGACATCAAGGGCGAAGCCAGGGATGGGCTGCTGTACCGCGCGACAGATAAACGTCATCATGCATGAGAACGTAAAGGCATAGTCAGAGACCGTCTTCGCGTTCTGAGGGAGACGGAACGGATAGCGATCGCAAACGCCTCTGGATAATGGTGAATGAGCGGCTTGGAAAGAGAAATACAGAGTCAAACTTACTTGTCAGAGGAGTTGATGAGACGTAGGAGCATGGTGTTACTTTTCTTCTCAAGGACTGGCGCCACGATGTCCACGATGTATTGTTTAAAGGCGTTGAATAGGCGGTGGTATATTGTGGGCTTTGGGGCTGGTTCCGGTTTACGCGAGTAAAGTCGGACTAGATTCAAATCGGCGGTCTCGAGAGCGCGATGCCACTTGGTGACGTTCTCCAATGGCGATAATTGAGTACGACTGACGTCACGGTCATCCTTGAGGGTCAGAATACCCTTCGCTTGTAGTTTCTTTTTAAGATCGCCCCACAGGCTCTTCGGTGCGTCGGGAGGGGCGGGAGTACTCTTGACAGCGACATAAGTGGTGACGCTGCGCAGTTTGTATATTTGCTGACATCGTACGACGCTGAAATTAGGCTGCGTGTCGGAGTGGTGATTTCTATGATGCGCGGTTTTGGAGGATTGGGCCCCGAATACGTGGCCAAAGCAAGGGCCGGGAGTCTCGCATCTCCAGCCATCAACAATGGGAAGAAGTGGGACCGGGGTATCCAGGCCTTCCGGGGGGAGGTCGGGGCCCAGGTCAGCTTGAAGGTCTTGCAATTTGGAGGTCAACACGTCTCGGTCGTATATGACCGCCCGAGGGCACGATTCATTCACATGAGTAGGAAGATGCGTGGGGTGGACGGCGGTATTGCATTCGACACACACGAGCAAACGAGTAGGCGCGTGAAAGTAGAGTCCGGCCGTTTGTAGGGTGAAATATTGGACTACTTCTCGTCTGCGCGCGCGACGAGAGGAACGCGCAGGAGGTGGTTCGGCAGTTGACTGGGGTACGGGGCTGGAAGGGACTAAGGTAAGATCGGATTGCGGTTCAGGAATGGCTGTGGATATTGAGGGAGATGGCGGAGACGATGGGGCGATTCGCTGTCGTTTGTTGGCTACGATGTCGTTGTCTAGTGGGGGTGGCCTTCGTTTCGAAGCCAATGGTGAAGTGTCGAGTGCCAATGACGAGTCCTGGGTTGAGTTCGTCCGCGAAATATCATGCGTGTGAGCATGTGAGACATGGTTGCGAATGTCGATCTCGTTACGGTAGGTTCCGTGGCATATGGGGCACTGATAATGATAGCTGGTCGTGCGTAGTATCGTGAATATATCCGATTCTGATGAGATATAAGTAAGACCGAATAAATTTTGCCGTGACGTAGGAATTACCGTTTGGCTTAATCGTGACTTCGTCAGGGTGTGCCAACTGCTCATGATGGGGACCAGATTCAGCTTGACAGTGGGTGCAGAGAGACATTGCTGGTGGCGAGGTAATGGGGTAAATGAAGAGGAAGGAATGCCGTCCTAATTGGAATAAGAGTAAGAATTACAGGCGTACGAAATTTAAGTGCGAGTCCGTGGGTGATCTAAATGATGATAGCAGCGGCAACGGTGGAAAGAGGACAACAGTAGTGATTTAAAACCCGAGAGTCGATGACCCTGTGGTTGTTACGAGACAATCGATGATTGTGTCGTGGCAAGCTGAGCAGAGATAATAAGGAAATGGCGGTGTATAAAGAGCAGAGGGAACGACGGTGGTTTCTGGGGGCAAAGTGAGCAAGGGTTGAGCGTAGTAAGCTCATCGTCGAACGCACCTTTAAAGGCATGGGCAGCGGAGACATCGGGTGCAAGGAAAGAGAAGATGTCACTGTGAAAGGGTGATATGAGAGATATGTCAGAGATTAGGAAGCGGACTCACATGGTCGTCCTTCTTCGCAGATCTCGTTTGGCAGGCCTCGTCAGACTGAGGATGCGTTGGGACTGTCAGATTAGTGTCAGTGACTACCGACGGTATGGGCTCGATAGCGTACTAAGTCGCAACGGCGTCAGGTTTTGACGTCCCAAGGGAACCATCGGATGCGTTCCAGGTAGGAAATGGCGAGACGATCGATGACCGTGTCGCCGACTGGTCGAGTTATCGAGGAACCTCGATGAGGTTGCTCGACGACGACGACGACAGTGACCAAGGTGCCGAGGCGGCCGGTTTAGGCGTCCATCGCGGTCCATCGCGGTCCTTCGGATGCGTTCCAGGTAGGAAATAGCGAGACAATCGATTGTGTCGCCGGCTGGGCCAGCCCTCGAGGAACCTCGATGAGGTTGCTGGAGGAGACAGGTAGCGGGCGCCAGGGCTTTGCTTCAGTTTGGTGATGAAGCAAGGACAAACATGATCTTATCATTGTGTAATCTTATCATGATGGGTGTATCTTATCATCATCGCTGGATTATCTTATCATATCGGGATAAGATTGTAAGATTGCTGCTAAGTTGTACAATAGAGTGATAGCGCAGTACGAGGGAGAGATAAACGTGCAAGGTGACAGCAAAATAGTACGAGAGTGGTGCAAAGTCAAGGCATTATATAGATCGTAGGGTCGATGGATGTGCGAAGGGGAACGGACGGCGCTCGAGCGAAGAAGTAAAAGAATTGTCTACAATAAAACGAGGCACAGGCTCGCTCGAGGGAGATCAGGTCCATATCGATGGCCTTTTCTTTCGAGGCGGCGACGATCTCCTCGGGACATCCCTTCCATTCCGCCAGGACGCGAGACAGAGCGAGAACATACTTGCGCCTTTGCTTGTCGATGGGGTTGGAGAGGCCGCGCCAGGCTGTCGTATACTTTACGCTCATGTGGTCGCCGCCCGCATCGCTTGCGAAGCTTGAAGAAGGGAAGCATTGAGTTACGAGGTCGTCGTGAGCGTCTTGTGGCGCTGTGTCCACCGTCATCCGCTTATCCAACATGCGGAACTCCCAACGCAGGTTGATCTCGTTGATTTCGTATAGTATGCGTTCGGTGACACGAACATGTGGCCACCTGTCAAGAGGGAGGTGCTCGCCGGCCCAGGCGAGGGTTTCATTGCGATGCGCATTGTCTGGGTCGAGCTGATCCGTCCATTGCACAAGGAGCGTGTAAAGCTCGGGTGGGCGTTGAGATGGTATGTCGCTCTTAGGCTTCTTGGAAGGGGGCTGCAAGTCGTTGACGGGAGTAGGCTTTTGATTTCGACGCTCGGGGGCAAGAATACGGTGCCACTTGCCACGCGGGATTGAGGTAGGAGAGTTGCGAGGCGACATGCGAAGGAGGAGGATGTCGTAGTGCCTGATGAACGCATGCAAAATCTTCAACTGGCGTGGCTTTAAATCGCCGTCGGTTTGAGGAGGAAGAAAGACGGATGGAGGAGGGAAGATGAAGGCGTTGTCGCCTTCGGCATATTGTGGAGAAACGTTGTTTGCGTTGATCGTGACAGTGGACAAGCCGTAGGCCCATGCCTCCATCATTAGCGGCATCATCGGATGGGGGTTGGGCTTGAAATGGACGACATCGGTCGGGTGTAGATGGAGGCGGGGTTTGGTGGCTGTCAAGGGACGAGTGAGCAAGGGTAATGGGAAGTACATATTGTCAAACTTACGTGCTTGAGTGACCTTATGATTGCGACTGGTGGGGGGGCCTCGCGAAGGGCCGGCAGAGAAATCGTCTCCTAAGCTGGGGACGGCAGGGGGACTTTCGATGGTGTCCCGAACCGCGGAGGTGCGCCCAAAGTCGGTGTAGGCCAGGAACTCGCGGCCGAATAGCATAAGGTTGTTATGGCGTTGGGGATCGTCAGCTCCCCGATTCCATGCGAGTGTCTTGTGGCCGCGCCACGGCTGTAGTTCAATGGAGGAGTCTTCGGGAGGAGTGGGGGTGACTACGGCGTCAATGCGCGTGAGTTCGTTGAACTCCTTGATGGGTCGAATCAGCCAGACGGGCACGCCAGCTTTGGCAAACTCCTCGACAACAACAACCTTGTTGGTGAAAGCACCAATAAAGTTCGCAGCAGGCCGCTTGATCTCGCCGTAGTCCGGGCTGTTCATGAGGGGTTGACGGACTTGCATGTATTCGAGAAAGGCCTCCAGCTCGAGGTAGTGGCGTTGGGCTTGCGTGACCGAGAATAGGATGTCCGCCCATGCCGCTTTGGTATTTTCGAGGCGAGCAATCCAGATCTTGAGTTGGGTGACATGACCGTTGAAATGCTTTCGTGCATACGAGTTTTCGAGGTCTTTTCGAGATTCCATGAAGGCGTAATATCGCTGGGCAAGCGCGATGGAGGGTAGACGAAGACGCGAGACATAATTGGGATGCAAAAGTCCTAGGCGTGATGAGTGGAGGGCGAGGAAATGGGTGTCCGCAGATGGATTGAAAAACATGATATCGTTGGTGTTGAATCGGTCGATTGGGGGACGGCGAATGCATGCGAGGTGCGGGTGCTGGCTAACGTACATCTGGGGTCGCTGGAAAGGATCCTCGGGTCCAAATCTCCCATCCTGCCTCAGCCGAACAGGTATAATGAGGCCAAGGATGGGCTCAGGTAGTTCATCGGCATTCGGGGTGGTTACAAAAGCCTGGCCGTCAAATAGGACGCCTCCAAAGACACCGTCGAGGTAACCGAAGGCTACAAAGTTTAGTGAGAGAGAAAAGGACGAGTTGCGAGCTAACGTACTGCTCTTAGATCGATTTTGCGAGAGGAGCTCGGGGTTTCGTTTTACTTGTTCGGCGGTGAGCGCCATTCTGATAGTTCATCAGTACGGAGCGACTGATGAAGGAGTTCAAGAAGACCTCGCCGACAGTCGATGACTGTGGGCAGAGGCCACGCTATCGCGATGATCGCTGATCATGGCGTATGGAACAGGAAACGAGGAGTGAAGCGTGCCATCGATGGCGATCAAGCGACGCCGACAGTCGATGACTGTGGGCGGGGGGCGTACAATGGCGACGATCGATGATCGTGGCGATTGGGTGGAGGGGGAAGGGCAGGGGGAGGAGGAGGAGGGAAGGGCTTACCTGGGCGGACTTGGCGGTTGATGCTCACGGTTAGGCGCTCTGAGTGTTTGAATTTACGAAGTCCGTTCAAACTCCGATCAAATTCTATTGGCTGAGCGTTTAGCGCCCACGTCTGCGACTTATGCGTTGCGCGCTACTACCATCATCAGCACCCTTGCTCATCGAGCAACGGTAGCGCGACCAGTAGTCCATGGTCATCGATCATCGACTGCTGGGCCGTCTTGCGAGCTACGCCCTACTTACTAGCTCTGCGTTCACGACTACGCGTCGCCTTCAACTCTCACGAGCCTACCATCATCAGCACCCTTGCTCATCGAGCAACGGTAGCGCGACCGGTAGTCCATGGTCATCGATCATCGACTGCTGGGCCGTCTTGCGAGCTACGCGCTACTTACGAACTCTGCGTTCACGACTACGCGTCGCCTTCAACTCTCACGAGCGGCTAGGGCCTCATCCAGCATCCTGGCTCAGCGCGTGACGGTAGCTCGGCTGCTGGGTATCGGTGCGTGATGGGATGGTTTTCGGGAATGAAGGACGGGGATTTGGAGGGGACCGATGGCGGCCACGGGCATGCGGATGGGTACGCCATGACGCTAGCAGGTGCGTGAGCATTCCATCTGTATGTATGCGTTGCTAATGGGAGTCTCAAGTGGGCAGGCGCCGCGCTTTCCTTTGAAGCGAATAGGAGACGTGGGGGTGGGTAGGTGCGCGTGCCTGGTCACTTTGTAGGACGATGAGGGGAACAGAGGCGAGGATGAGTGCCGTTGTACTCTGGCAGGTGGGAGGATACTTCCTCCTTGTATATTTGTTGCTGACTGGAGTCTCAAGTTGGCAGCTTTCGCATCTGCCACTACGGCGAACATTCTCCTCCCTGCGCCTGTGAGTCGCCCATCCCGCCACACACGTCACCCGCCAAATTTGTGGGCCCCTGAGTCCACCCGCAACTTTTGCGGGCCCCTGAGTCGCCCCGCAACTTTTGCGGGCCCCTGAGTCCACCCGCAACTTTTGCGGGCCCCTGTCACGGCGGCCACTAACCCTGCTCCCATGGGTCGCCCGAGGAGCCAAGCCTCTGCGCATGCTATCACCCGTATCCTCGGCTCATGTGTAGCCCTGCGCCCTAAGCTCCTCGCCTACGTCTAGACGGTGGTACGGTGCTGCTTACGCGTTAGAGCTCATTTACGGGCTCGATCCTGATCCCGAGTCGTCGTCGTTGGTGAGTCTGTCTTGCGTAGCTCACAAACCTTAACAGGGCCCTAACCGCCCTAAGGACGAGCTCGTCGCCGAGCTCTGGAAAATAATAGATTGAACCCGAACCACTAACACCCTAAGCCCTAAGTCCTAGGCGGGAGTACAATGCTGGGTCCGCGTTAGAGCTCGTAAACGAGCTCTAACGCTTCAAGTGCGGGCTCGATGTTGGCTCCGAGTCGTCGTCGTTGGTGAGTCTGTCTCGCGTAACTCACGAACCTTAACAGGACCCTAACCGCCCTAAGGACGAGCTCGTCGCCGAGCTCTGGAAAATAATAGATTGAACCCGAACCTTTAACACCCTAAGCCCTAAAACCTAGGCGGGAATACGATGTTAGGGTCCGCGTTAGAGCTCGTAAACGAGCTCTAACGCTTCAAGTGCGGGCTCGATCTTGGCTCTGAGTCATTAATCGTTGGTGTGGGTGCGTTAGAGAGCTCGTGAACGAGCTCTCTAACGCTGTAATCCATTTTCTACGTAGTCACACATGCAGATATGTACCATGAGATGTTATTACAATTGACTTTCGCTGTGATTTGACCGCGCACGCTCAGACTAAGTACATGAATGAGGGTTTCCTCGTTGAGGCAGTGACACTGTAATCCACCCCATAAGTAGTTACACATGCAGATATGTACCATGAGATGTTATCACAATTGACTTTGACCGCGCGCGCTGAGACTAAGTACATGAATGAGGGTTTCCTCGTTGAGGCAGTGACAAAAAAACCATAGATCTGTCCTGCTAAAAGCTCCATTAGCCAGGGCTTCAGTGGATAGGCGTTTCGGGAGTCCGTTTCCATTTCCGAGTCCGAGTCCGAGTCCGAGTCGACGGTTCGAGATAGTCTCGGCGGGCCGCCTCTCCCACCGCGATGCACGCACTGGGTCCTCCGCGATGCGGACATCGTCGACGGCGACGGCGTAAGTCCGATTGCGATTGCGAGTGTGAGTATCGGGTGGCGATGACGATGACGATGGCGGGGTCGGTGGGGGCTGCGAGGTGCCGCTATTACTGCTGCTGCTGCTGCTACTGGTACTGCTGGTGCTTCTGCGCGACGACGGGGACGACGGGGAGTACGCAGGCGGGGACGACGCCGGCGAGGACGACAGAGGCGAGGCGGATAGAGGCGGAGACGCGAGAAAAATGGACGGCGTGAACACGGGTATCGCCACGGGTATCATTACAGACAACCGCGGACGCTGCGCCAGCGCGCGCGTATCCGTATCCGAGTGCACGCGCGTCTTGCGGTGCTGCGACCGTTGTCGGGAAGGCAAGTGGGACGGGACGTGCGGCGGGGGACATGCCGCGTGGCCTTCGAGCTGGAGGGCGGCGAGGGACCGCGAGCGCAGTTTGCGGAGGTAGGCGCGCGTTTCGGGGATGGGGATTATTGCTACGGGCGACGTGGATGTGGACGTGGATGTGGATGTGGACGTAGGTGTGGGCGGGGCTTCAGATGCAGACGCAGACTCAGACGCCACTACTCGCGTCCCCAGCGTATCCTGCGCGGGCTCGGCCTCCCTCCCATCCAGATCCAGCGGGCGTCTCAATGCTCTAGCGAGGCGCAGCTCCTCCCATTTACATTTTGGGTTTTGGCTAGCGCGCACCGTATGCGCCACGCCATGTGCCGGTGGGTGAGGGACGCACGGATACGGAGAACACGAACGCGGGGAGCGCATGGAGATCTCGGCCCAGCCTTCTATGTAGCTGCAGGAATCGCCATCGCCATCGCCATCGCAGCTGTAGGCGCTGGCGCTCGATTGGCACGAAAACGGGGAGAGGACGAACGGCGTGAGCATCCGATCGGATGACGCGCTCAGAGCCTGTAAGTATGTCATGTCGAGAAAGTCAGCCTACGCGATATGCGGGCTCCCACATGGGAAGTGTGCGACTGACCTCGGGATTAGAGGAATCCTTGCAAGTATTGTTGCTGCGAGGAGGCGCGAATGGTATTGGGGAGAGTATCAATGGAGTCAGGACCGGCCGTGAGCGAATGGTGAGAGGGGGTGTGGAGTTCATAGTAGAGCGTGGGCTATGGAGAACGAAACGAATGAGATCCCGCGCGCAGCGCTTCAGCGACGAAAGAAAGTGGTCTGAGGCAAGTAAACCCCCAGGGTATCCTAGGGTCTCGATATAAAGCAAGCTCGTAGGAGCGTCGACGAGTCTTACTTATATACCCTTCACCACACGCGTTTCCCGAATCGGAGACCACACGCGCGTCGGTGTTTCAGAAATGCATAACACTTGGGTGTTACATCGGCTGCAGCGACGAACCTGGACTCAGGGTGTATGGGCTGGGGCGCACAGCCAATTGCTCCAGAAGGGCGCATGGGGCAGACGGCGCGCAAGGTTCGAGACGTGTTTGATGGGTATCCAGCACGTATCGAGTGCGCCTGATGTTTGAGACAGTCTCGACCCTCAAAGTGAAGCAACTAGCTTTCCTCCCGGGGATCCTCAAGTCCTCATATGTTGCCATAACGAGTCTATAACGAGACTCACTGCTTCTCGCCTTTACCCCAATGACAAGGAGTTTCCGCCGCGTCAACTTCTCTACCAATAGTGACATAGAGTCAGCAAGTGCTAGACGCAAAGAATACATTGTTGCTCTCGTTTCCTGCAAGCGAAATGGGTGCCAGAGATTCTGGAGGAAAGGAATTCCGAAACATGAAACTTGTTCAGTTGCAAAGGAAAGAGGAGAAACCCACGGGAGGACGAGCGCCCATAAACCCTGTGTCGACGCGTTCGCGACCTTCCAGGGAACGTATCTCACAGTCACAAATATATTCGCACGGTCACAACCGACAACGGCTTGTTGACCTAGTCGTTCCGTCCCCATTTCGCCTCTTCTCGTCTCCCACTATCATCTTCTACGATACCGTCTCCCAGCTTCCCAGCGCCAGAGGATGGCGAACTCTAATCTACTCTACGCCAACTTCAATCAGGACTACTCGTGCGTTGCTCACTAGTCGAGCTTCCACCAAACAAACCGGCAGCTAATAGCACTTTGCAGATGCGTGTCAGTTGGAACGCGGAAGGGATATAGCATCACGAATTGCGAGCCATTTGGAAGGGTCTACACTATGAGTCAGTATCCTGCAGTAGATGTGTCGCATCGAGCTCTTATCCGCTGGACCCCATAGACAACGGCGCGCGCGGTATAGTCGAGATGCTCTTTTGCACTTCTCTTCTCGCCTTGGTCGGGGTCGCAGACGTGCCGGGATCCAGCCCACGGAAGCTTCAGATAGTTAATACAAAGGTGCGTTCCGCTTCTGAGTCCTGCCAAAACCCCCCAGCCGACCTGTTCTGCTAGCGGCAAACCATGATCTGCGAGCTCCTTTTCCCCTCCTCAATTCTCGCCGTCAAAATGAACCGAAGGACCCTCGTTATTGTACTGGAGACGGAGATATACATATACGATATAAGCAACATGCGGCTGCTGCACGTAATTGAGACGACCGCGAACCCGGAAGGTGTGTTCGTTATCCCATTGCCGGTATCAGATACTGACATATCCCAGCCATCTGTGCTCTTTCCCCGAACGCGGAGGCCTCATACCTCGCTTATCCGTCACAAGTACCTTCGCCGAACTCGCCGCTATCCACATACCCTGCCTCCGACGCAGCCGCAGCGTCGTCGGCTTCCAACCACCAGTCCAACGGCGATGTGACCATCTTCTCAACCACATCCCTCGCTACCGCAAACATCATCCCATCGGCACACAAATCGCCCCTATCCATCCTCCAAATCTCCCAGAACGGAACACTGCTGGCTACGGCGTCCGTCAAGGGCACGGTCATTCGCGTATGGAGCGTGCCGAAAGCGGAGAAGTTATACCAGTTCAGAAGGGGGTCACGGGAGGCGAGGATATACAGCATCGCGTTTAACCCCGTGGGCTCGCTCATGGCCGTAAGCTCAGCGAACGAGACGGTTCACCTGTTCAAGTTGGGCCGTGGCGCAGAAAAGCCAAAGGCCCCTTCGGATGCTACATCTGTCAGCGACACGGGGTCCATCGAAAGTCGAGATGGCCCTCTAGAAGGAGGATACGAGGCGTATCTCGACGAGCGAAAGAAGGGCAGCGGCAGCGGCGTCTCGTGAGTACATCACCACGTCCATCAATCTCGTGCGTCCTTTCTCAAGCTTACCACCAAGCTCTTCCCTACGGCGGAAATCGATGCAACTGTCTAAGACGCTGACTCACTCCGTTGGTGGATACCTGCCCAATACTCTGACGGAGATGTGGGAGCCGTCGCGAGATTTCGCATGGCTGCGGTTACCCAGTAGCCCGCCCGGAGTGAGGTCTATCATTGGGCTGAGCGGGTGCGTTCTTCCACCGCCGTTTCGCTCTTTCCGCTGACCGCTCTTTCCACTCCAGCACGATGCCTCAGATCATGGTTGTATCCTCGGAAGGCTACTTCTACTCCTACAACATCGATCTGGAAAGCGGGGGCGAGTGTACCCTCATGAAGCAGTTTAGGTGAGCTGTCCTCCGGCCGCATTTTTACGCGGTTCTTGACGCTTTGTTTCGCAGTTTGCTGGAGTCGGGGGACGAGAGCTCGAGTGTCAGTATTACGGAATGATGTTTCGTCTTTTTATCTGGATATATGGAACGCGTACCCATGGGTACTTATAGGCCGGAGTTCACCTCTGATGGCTCGGACCGTTCAACGTCAGTATTAGCGATGGCCGGTGATGGTGCCTCCCGGTGCCCCTCCCCAAGCTACTCCAGAATCAAACTCAGTGGGTTTTCCGAAGATCGCGTCCTTGATGTCGCGTTTTCACTTATATACGGTGTACGATAGATCCTGCTCTTGCACCTGTGCCTCCCATAATCGCTTAATCACTTGCTTGTGCATTTCAACACGGCGATGATATTACTGGTATATATTAAGTACATTCGTTTGTTTACATTCTACACGGACTTGGGAATCACAATTGCAGCAGCTCGTGGTCGGCGCTATAGCACTATAGCGGAGACTGAAGCGAATTTTTGGCATGGTACCGTAAGGAGAAGAATACGCCTGCGTGTGGCTATGAAGATCTACAGATGCTCTGGATGGGGGATGGGGGAAATGGAGTGGTAAATGGAGACGTGAGATGGGATGGGTCAAGATCTGGTGGACAGCCCGATGAACAATGACGAAAGAGACCAAAATGGAGGCAACAGCAACGAAACACGAAAGCAGGAGAGCAGGGAGAGCGAGAGAGAGCAAACATCGAGCATGAGTAAGAAAGGGTAAATCGCCATGTCATTTGATCTCTTGCGCGAGCACCGAGTTGGGCGCGGTCGTGAATTCGCTCGCCGTGTCGTGGTCGCGACGTGTTTCATTCGCCGTCTGTTGAGGTATCAAATCGTCAATGACACCATCACGAGCAACCGAGCAAAGAGGGGAGGGAAACGCACGTCCACGGTGATGATGAGCGGGAAGTCGTGGTTTATTGACGCGCCGAACGTCGGTTCGGTTGGAGGGTGCATAGGCTGGCGGTTGTTCAAGCTGCATTCCAAAAAGCACGAAAGCACGGAATATATCGGGCGGGCGGTCAGACGAGCGCAGGAGGAAGGCAGAACAGAAGCGTACGAAGAGAGGAGACAATTTGATGAGACTGGTTACAAGGGTTGGTCAGAAAATGTGTGTCGGTGATCATAAGGAGAAGATGGAGGCCGAACCTTTGATGCCGCAAGCGAGTACAACTAACCACACGACTGTGCGGACGCATACGTCAGTCAGTTTGGACATTTCAACGGTGGGATGGGCATGGACAGACGTACATGAGTCCCTGAGCGTAACGAACTATTGGCGTACATGTAGTGGTAAGCACAACGGTGGACGGTCGAACGAAGGCAAGTACGCACCAGAATTATCACTGCGATGTATATTAATCTACCCCAACAGGGAGAAGTGTTAGGATCAGCATCCACGTCCGAGAGATGGCACAGAAGCGTACTCGGTGATCAGACAAGTTTCTAAATAAATGGTTCGTCGAGAAGAGGGAATCAGATCAGTCTCACCGGGAATGAAATGGCTGTGAGGACGCACCGATTGTCCACGTAATGAGCTGATCGAGCAACAACTTCGTCCTGCAATCAAGCCGTCCAATCAGTTCCGCGCTGGGTCTCTCCCCGCCCCAAGCCACCTCCCTGGAATGAAAGCACGGTACTCACCGACTCATCGCCCCAGGTCGACTCCTCAAGAACATCCCCAGAATCGTCCCCGAGATGAACCCGTTATTCACGAACAACCCCACCAGCAGCGTCACGATCAGCCACTTCCATTCCTCCACCAGCGTTTGAGAGGCGAACCCAATGTGCGTAGATTGGGAGGTGAAGAACATCCAGCCGGCGAAGCGCACGACGGAGAGGGCGGCGCCGATTATGCTCGGCCATTTGCGCGCGATGAGCTTGTATATCCGCCAGAAGTAAAACCACTGGGGCGCGTAAGCGAGGTGTGGGGATGAGGAGGAGGTTGGACAGGATTGGGATAGACGTACCTCGACCAGCAATGCATCACATGCTGTCAATACGAGCGTCGCCGTCAAGGACTTTGGTATATGCAGTAGTGCATCGTCGTTTCCCCAATTTTGTATCGAAAGCACAAATACGGCGTGCGTTAAGCATATTTGCTGAGCCGTCTCGATGAGCCTTGAAAAAAGGACGCATATATCATGTCAAGACTCCCGACATCGACATAAGAAAGGAAGAAATGCCCACATTAGTAGCATAACCTAGCGAAAAACATAGCCGTGAGACCGGTAGCCACCAACTGCCCTTGCAAGGCCAACGCACCAGCGACTGGATCCTCTGCTGATCGCCCGGATAGTTCTTGAAATACACATACGTCTGGACTGCCGAGCATCCAAGCAGGTATCCCGTGATGGCTATTATACCAATTCGCGCATGAATATATATCAACTCCCGTTCTCCGAAAAGAAGGTAGTGCACGAGGACGTACTGACTGCGACCTGCAGTGCGCCGATGGTGAGCTTGATGTCCGAGCTTGTCATTTTCGTTGAATCTAGAGCATCGACAGTCGTGGCGGCCACAACGAAGGCGAGGGGACGCAAAGGGGACGGGGAACGGAAGGGGAAGGGATAGAGGTGTGTGGGTGCAAGGGCCTATATATACGGATTAAGTCAGCACGAGACACTTCATTGATGAAGATATCGACTTCTGATTAACAAATCCCGGGTCCAAGCGGGCGTTGACCATTCAACTATTCACTGCCTGTCGTGCACGCGCCTATCACCGTGGCGTAGCGGTTGAGCATGAGCCTGATCAGGCTTGGGATAGAAGCCTTGACGCTGTCTTCGGCGACGCCCTGCGGCTTACAGGCGCTCATAGCCCGCTGCTATCTGACATGCCGCATAGCTTGCAAGCGAATCTGGCGGCGTTGTGATGCTACGGTGATGGCGAGGCGACGAACGTTCTTCCTCTTCCCCAGGTTTTCAGTAGCAACCCCCGTTACCGTAGCTGTCAGTGTCTCTTGCGAGAACTCGCATCAGCAGGAATCTCTTGGTGAAATCCGCAGCCGCATGTCAAATTTCGTGCTGTTGAGCGCTTGAACATTCTCGACTCGTGCCACAGAAAAAACATACATACAAGGGACTTCTTGCAATGGAAGCAGCGAGAATACAAGGAGCAAAGGGGATTCCGAGCGGCAGCCCACGCTGCGCACGTTGGTGGTCGGTACAGCACTACAGCCCATCAAAGAAGACACGAACTCGAGCGAATCCGGGAATTTTTGGGTCGAACGTGCTAAGGAACAATCAATCAGAGAAAGGAGCCGGCGGGGACGGAAGCATATTTCCTTACTTAGATTCATCAGTATCATCGTCAGTCAGAGCATCTAACCAACTTCAACCCAGTCAACTCACGGCCGTCAGAACAGCGCAACGTATCATTAGGAAAGGAATGGTCATGATGAAGAATCGGCGCCTGCACGCAATTACAATACAAGAGAATGCGCACCGTCAGAAGCGCTAGACGACGGTTGGGGTTGAGCCATGAAGCTTGAACACGCGAGGCTTGAGGATATAGCATCTTGGCCACGACCCTACTCTCCACTCCTACTCAGTACGAAATCAAGGAACGGTCAACACAAACAGGAATGAGGAAACATCTATAATCTCACCTCGATGGAGATCTTGGTCGTAGCTGGATCATATCATATCGGCCCTAAACACAATACACAGCCGATACCTGGCTCGAATCTTGTGCCAAATGTCAGCCAACCTACATAAAGATGGAAATGCGGGACCCGTCATTCGGTGATCGGCCTTGTCGCCTTCATACGACCGAGGAAGTAGATGTCGCTCTAGATGGAGCAACAATAGAGAAGACCGGACGATGTATACGTGTTAGCGAGTTTCCGACGATGAAGAAGCGGAACGGCCATACCCATCGTTGCATCGTGATACTGAGCCTCGCAAGAGCCTCGCACCGTCTAATCGAGGGGGTAGAAAAATCAGAAAGTGCGAGGTGCCGGATGACTGACTGAATGGCATCATTCCGAACGGAAGCCTGCTCGACCCCATCGAATCAGCCAGCCAGATCTACCCGCTCGCCATCGGGCGGTTTCGCGCAACAAAGGAACCAATCTATCACCACCAGAGCAGCAGCCAACGCAATCTATCAACGCAATCTATCACTGTCGGCCATCGCCGCCCAACGACGAATCAGCAGGCAGTTCGTATTTGACCTACGACAGAGCGCGAGTCTCCTCGAGATTGGGGCGGGACGCTGGGGGTGCCGGAACCGCCATTTAGGTCTGCTGGACGCCGGAAGGCCTCGACGTTTCGGTGAAGACGATGGAGAACGGTTCTATACGCTTCGTGAGTCAGGCCGCACCCAGGCGTAGCTAAGGCGTTGCTCACCTCATCCTTCGCGTCTGAGGAGGAGCCAGTCTGCGTGAAGAGCTGCGAATGTTTCCCGTCATGTTGGTGGTGCCCGGTACTCGGCATTCGCAGTAGCGGTAGGTAATACAGAGCACGTTTGCACCTATATACCGAATACCCGAGCTGTCGGTGGAAAATTCCTGCTATTTGGAGACTGTCGTTGCTGTTAGTTAAGACTCATGGCCACTCTTAAAGAGGACAGCAACTGGCGACGAAGAGTCAAAGGCCAACATCCGAATTACGGGACTTCCGTGTCACGAAGCACGGCTGAGATGCAAGGTAGGCACGTCAAAGTGTAGTCCTGAAGCAGCGTGGAGAGGTAGGAACGGCGGGTCTATTTTCGAACCGACTGAGCCGCCTAGCTATAGATGTCTGAACCATTTCGTTCAACCATCAGTGACTCATACCTCTACGCAAAAGAAGCCGCATCGTCAGCGAGAAGTCGACGGAGGTAAGGCAATCGCGTACCAGAGCCAAGAGTCCAGACTCCAGAGTTGACACAAGCCTGAATGTGGAGACGAACGGTCACGTCGGGAGAAAAAATAAATAGCATTGCTGCAAAAGATCACAAAGGAAGAAAAGAATAAGAACGTGAATTCATAATAAAAATTGGTCAAAGAGAGTAAGGAGGTCGTATACTACGGTTGCGCTAGCCATAGGCATATAACAGAGTGACGAGAGGGGGAAACGATAGCAATCCAAGAGGTGGGCATGGGCGGGAAGGACAGATTAAAAGGAGGTTTTGGGGTTACACGTTATCTTAACTCTCACTCCTTGACTTTCCACAGGACTGCCGCAGCGACGCCTATTAGTAGTACGCCAAAGGCCGTCGACGGAATTGGATGCTGTGAAGAATGGAAAGTCAGCGGCTGATGGAGGGGATTGAGGGATATACTCACCGTATGAATATATTGTATTGGAGCGGCTCGTTTTCGTGGGGCATGCGAGGCGGCGACTGCGTTATCGGCGGCGTCTACGGTAAGCAAACGGTCGAAACCGTCATAGATGAGGGACGAACCCAGCAGAGCTCCCGCGCCCTTCGCATCATGAAGCGTTTCGTCGGACTCGAAGTCAGGGGAGTCAGCTCGCAAAACGTCGTCGTCGCAGCCGGCCTGGCTAACGCTTGTGACGCTTGTCGAATCCGTCATGCCGTCGTATGACGATGCGCTCGTGCCATTGGTGCCTGTAGGCGACTGCGATCGTGATCGATTTCCAGTTCGGCCCCGTGCTGATCCTGAGCGCTTCCTTCTTGATGAACGTCGCGAGTCGGAGGACAGACTACGGGGACTCGGAGGAGTAGCAAGGGTGTGGCGTAGATTTCCGTTCTGATGATCATCTGGGCCTGCAGCCAATGGTGGGTCGCTCACGGTGGTAAGGGCGGTAAGCTTCGAGTCAACTTGCTTGATTTTCGTCTCCCATTCCTCGCTCGCCTTGGCCAACCGAGCACGCTCCTCAGACCATTCCTCGCGCATGCTACTCCACTGCCCGTCTACATTCTTCTTCCAGTCCGTCATTAACTGCTCTAGCGTCCCGTTCTCAGTATCCGATTTTGCCGGCGTTTGGGCGTCCCTGGCCGCAAATGCGGAGGCAACGACAGCTGTGGCAGCTGAGATGGAGGCGGAGATAACCTCTTCCTGTCCGGTCTGAGACGTCTTCACTTTGTCCTCTAGCTCGACAACTTTTGCTTGTAGGTTCAGAATGGTAGATTGAGCCGCATCGTGCTGAGCCTGGAGAGACGTCGTCAACGTCATGAAGCTTTCGAACTGGTTTGAAAGCAGTAAAAGCCGACTGTTCAGAGCGTCCAGCAGCTCGGCAGATTGTGCGTATTGGGGTGGGTGTTTCGCATCGGTGAAGAGGTCGGAGCCCATGCCAAGACTGGCGGGCTCGGGGGTTCGTGGTCTGCCTAACTCTTCTTGCCTCTGACGCCTTTCTGCATCCTCAGCCTCCTCTTCTACATCCCGAACCTTCTCGGCACGAGGCTGGCTCGCCTCTGATTCTTGACTCTGTCCCACCTCCGCTTCCTTCTCCTGCTCTTCGTCTTCCTCAGCAACCGTCGCAAGCTCGTGGGGAACGACCGTGACAATGCTGCGAGCGTCGTCGTCATCGTCGTCGTCAGATTGTTCCGACCGGGTAGATTGTCGATTGAAGTGGATGAAGTGTCGTAGTTCGCTCACGTCTCGTTGGATGGATTCCTGTTCCTTCCTCAAGTCCTCCAGTTCACGGATCTTGTCGACATGGGAGGCGAGGGATGCCTGGGTCTCATGGAGCTGGGTTTGTAGATCTGACAGTGCCGTTGGTGAGATGGAGGGGTGGACTTCGGGTTCTGGTTCGCGGGCAGGGACATCCGAGGTTTGGAGGGGGCGAACGGGGGGTAGTGTATGCGGGTATGGAGGTAGATTCGAAGGCTATCGAAGATTCATGAGCCTCTACGTATGAGTCACAAGGCGGGACTTACTAGCGATCCTCCAAGTGTATCGTGGACCTCGCTCATGGTCCCATTGAGGCTCTGCAGCTCCGTCCCCGTCTCACGGCTCTTTTGGAGCTCGCCCTGGAGCCGGTTGAGGATGTGCTCGAACGTAAGGCCGCTCTTCCCCGGCGCTCGCATGCCTCCACCCATTCCACCCATGCCAGTGATTCCCGGCTGCATGCCCGACGAGGTGCGCCGTGGTGGTCCGCTGCCGTTATTAGCGCCGAAATTAAAGGATGAGTTGTTGATAGTGGATGAGGATGGGCCGGCTTGGAGTGAAGGCGGAGCGCCGTGGGGTTGCAAGGCCTGTTGATGGTGCTGCTGCTGTTGATGCTGTTCGGAGCGGTGGGCAATCTGCAAATCTTGCTCGTTGAATATGCAGAAAACCCTGGCGGCGACCTTGTAGTGGAGGATCTTGTTGTCGTCGCCGACGATGTCGATACCGAATTCCTGCGGTGACGTGAGACGCAGGCATCTCTACGGCGTAGGGAGTACGCACCACGATATCATCGCTTTTCAGTTCCCAAGGATCAGACTCCATACCCTCCGGGCTAAGCCGTTCACCGTTTATGAAGGTCCCATTTGAGCTCTTGACGTCCTTGATGAATATCTACATAAAGGTGAGCCATGACCTCAAAGGAGACGCAGTAGAATGGATATACCTTGCCTGTCTCTTCCCAGATCTCCGCATGCTGCCTACTGAGGACTTTGGAGTCGAAATAACCGTTTCGTTCGCCAGGGACAGTCTTTGCATTGGTTTGACGTCCAATTTTCACGCGTTGGCCACCAACCAGGGAGATGTGTTTGGGGACAAACGACTCATTGAGGGGGTAGAGGTAGAGAGCGGGATACATCTGGGAGTGAGGGGTAGCAAACGGCGTCGGGGCGGGCATGGAGCGTCGTCGGCGTCGTGGTGGTCGGGAAGAGGGTTGAAGCCGCACGGACCAATTTGCCACGCCCACAACATCTTCACACGCACCGTCTATAGCCAATCACTGACTGGCACATGACTCAAGGACTTGGTTTGTTTGGCTGTCCCTTTGAAGCGCCTACGTGTTTGGCTTCGACTGGCACCAAAAGGTTGCAGGTTCGAGTCCTGCACTGGTCATTATAGCGTCTGTGCTTGCATTTTTCCCACCTCAATTGCATCGTATCTTAGCGTCCCGTACGTGGCTGAAGACGGCACGCAAGCATGCCTCATCTTCGAGCTGTGCAACCAAGTACAAATCTATTTTGGGAATGGGACTCAGCAATCGCTCCGTGCTGGCTGTCCATACTAGAAGTACAACAATTATCTAAATCTAAGCTACAAGTCCCAGTATATAGATTGATCGCCATTTGGGCGAATCGAGTCCCTTTGGGATCGATTCAAGCTTCAGAGGAATTAGGCATTGTGCTCGAGTCAGCCCACGAATTGCTAGGTATCCCTATTGGGCCTCTCGCCATGCAACAAATTCTTCATATCTACGAGGGGAATTGTCGATGGTCCAGCCTCGTTCTCCTCGTATTTCCAGGAGTTCTCGTCGTTTCCCTCGCCCCCTGCTTGGAATTCCCCGTCACTAGTATCGTATCCGTGATCTCCATCGATCGCGTCGGTTGCGTTAGGAGCCATGAAAGACGCTCCGGTCCAAGCATCAATACTGCCAGGTACGGCAGCACGATCGCTCAGCGAAGCCGCCGCCCGGCACTTCGCGGTCTTTTGATGAACTGCCAAGGAATCCTTTCGACGATTTTCGGTGCTACATCGATATAGATGGTCAGAACAGCACGCAGAAATGAGAGAGCCGTGGGGTGAAGGTGGAATCGAGCAGACTCACGTATATCCACAAATGTTGCAGACAGACACCGTGCGTCCGCATTGACCGCCATGCTTCTTCTTGGATTTAGCATTGAGCTCTTCGTCACAGAGAGAGCATGAGTAGACCTGGAATTCGATATTAATAAGGGTGAGCGAGCAGTCGGGGGCCAATAGATCCCAAAAGGAGGACTCACACCAGGACGGATCTCGGTATAAACTCGTTTGATTCGTTTTGGCTCATCTGCCGTGAGCGAAGCGTCGGTCTCGTCTATGCGTTTACGCTTCTTGGACGGTTCCCCGCCTGCGTACGTATTCCTGAATTTATACTGGATGCCCGGGGCACATTCGCTCTCGCCATCACCTTGCCTACCGCCCTGAAAAGCGGAATATAACACTTGGTAGTCGTATTGGGCGAATTCGTCGCTTTCCTTGCGGGGCAGGAAGGCAGAAGTAGTCGCATCCTGGATGTATCCAACATTCTCTTGCATATCTCGTGCTCTGCCTTTCCCTTTCTCGCCTATAGCGCCGACACTCTTCGCAGAAGTAGAAGTAGAAGCTCCTGGCGCGGGCGGGACAGGCTCATTCGGCCTCCTCGTCGCTGAAAGCGGCTCCGTGCAGAGCGTCGCCCGCTTCGTAACGGCGAGATATTCTGCCTTGACAGAGTCGCAAATGGCTTCGATCTCCTGCATGTTGACTTGATACCCATATCCATGTGCGACCTGAGGGACATCACAATTTTCGGGCGCCATTCCACCGGGAAGTGCAGAAGGTGGGTAGAAGTCCTCGTGGCCGGATGAGAGGTGATACGGGTACTGCGCGGGGAGCGAAGGTGCTTGTAGTTGATTGCACAGGAGCCCTTCGTCAGCCTCAGGGAAAGCGGCGTAAGGTGCGACAATGCACTCAGGCGTGCTGGCAGAGGACATGGCAGCGACGTACTCCAGAAGTGTTTCGAAGTTAAGGTCATCTAAGGAGTTCGCAGGGGAGGCGGCGGGCGTATCAGTATATTCGGCACCAGCCATGGTTGAGGGTGGGTTGGTGGTAGCCTCTTCAGCGAAGATTTCTAGCGCATTTGCGACTGGGTATTGGAGCAGGTCGTACGAGCCTGCCGACCTAGAGAAGGGCATGAAAGTATGGTAGGCATCTGGCAGACTTTCGTCTGAGTATGTATTAGGTGGGGACAACGACGACGTAGTAGACGTGGAATTGGAGGCGGCGGAGGCGCGCGACGCGTCTTGTCGAGCCTGATCTTCCGCTTCCAGAGCAGCATCCATCCAGTGGAGATCATACCCCGAAGGTGTTGAAGGGGAAGAGGACATGGAAATTTCTGGGCGTAGACGCGTGCCAATGGAGAGGTTGGTTTTTACGGTGGAGACGAGTAGCGTGCAAGTACACTTGGGAGTTTGGTTTCGTCGCGGCGATGGATAGTGGCCGTGGTCGTAATCGTGAATAGAGAACAAGAGCCTCGCAAAGGGAAGGTTATGATATAGGTGGTTGTGGTTGTGGCTGTAGTAAAAGTCCTGAATACCATAAACCCACAATCCTCGCCATTGAGTAAATCAGTTCGAGCATGTGACCGACGCGTACGGTTGGGCCACCCTCCAAAACAATGGATGACCATGATTTCTGCCACCAGGTTTGTCGGTATTTCCTAAACAGGGAATTTGGGCGGGAGGTACGTCCTTCGTTCCATGGCACCGAGCCTAGTATTCATGGAATGGAGCCACTGCGATGACCTGGTGAGGCTGAGTTAACTCGAACGCGTAAATTGACGCGGCTTGCGCATTACTGACCTGAGGGAATCGTGTAAGCACTGCGCCTACGCAAGTTCCTCTAGGTCCGACTCTATCCGTGTAAATCGTGCGATTGGAACGAACCCCAGTGCTGTCCAACGCGTAGTCGTCCGACTCGCAAAACAAACAGCGATAGAGCCTCCTGCATTACTTGTTGATTCCGGTCAGAGATGGAGCTGCGAAACAGCGCTGGCGATTCGACTAGCGGACTGGAGTTGGAGTTAGCAAACCCGTCCCCTGTCGAGTAGTTCTTTGTGCCGCATAGCGCAGCACAATCCGGCATCCACACAGGTAGCATTGCGCTCCGCCTCTCCGTTCACTGGGCTCCTTCGATAGTGAGCCGGGGAGGGAAGACATAGTGGCATAGTGGCGGCGTGACTTTATACACAACCGCAAGGATTCGTACGCGCAGGCCTTCACATTCACTTGAATCGTCCTCTAAGTTCCCGGACAAATGATGAGACGTAGTTACGATATACGTGACACGTCCTCATCCCGAGTTTGTGCCATCTACACCCCCAGACTTCACCGCCCAGACACGGTACCAAACGGCCCCATCTTGACGGCAAAGTCCTACTTGATTCGCCGTTGTCGCCTACTCAGCAGAAGTCTACGCCCTTCCGTACCTTGGGTAGTAGTTTCCTGATGCGAAGAGGTATCAGTCAGTTGCGAGCATCATGACTCGTACGCTCAAGTAGAAAGCAGAAATCAAACACACCTGTTGCGCTGCTCAGAGTAGTCTCTGTGCTTAGGAAGGCTGCTCCCATATCAATAGTAGTTATATGGAGTTCGCGTCGCAGTGCGTCCGAGTACCTGTTGATCAACTGGTGGATTCGGTATTATGGTCATCGACGATTATACCAGCTTGTGAGTCCGCCGGGCATATGTCGGGAACTTTGAGTCTCTTCGTAGGGCAGCGCCTCGCATAGTTGGTTCAAGAAGCATGTGGACGTTTGATCGGCGGTGCGTAGATACTCCAGCTGTGTCTAATGCGATTCCCGAGTCGATATTGGAAGTGGTTGATTTTCGGCGCTTGTTCAGCACTGACTGGGATCGAAGCTAAATAGGCAATAACCACCCACGCCACATAGCTCAGTCAAGGTTCGAACTTTCGACGATGAACATGTTCCTTACCATCGATCCGGCTCCTTGCTCTCTTACCACCATAATGTGACTTGAGTGCTTTCGCTAGTGGCTTCGACTTTATCTGCATGCTGTATCCGGCCCATGAATCAGGCCCTCGCTGATCTCGCGTCACAGAAATCGCAAACGCTCAGCTAGTTACCACCAGAGAGAGAATATCGTTCGACCAGTCATCGGCGCGTCTGCAACTTTTGACCGGACACTACCCCACAACTAAGCCACAACTCTTCTAACTGCGGCGTAAATGGAAAACTGCTGGCTTCGTCGATGTGAACAACGGGAACGCCTACACCAAGGGCACCAACAGATTCTTGCAGACATCCGGCAACTGTAAGCGTGAGTCCCCCATAGTCCCTCTCGTTGCACAGGATCCACTGCAATCTCCAGCCTTTCTGCTGGTCTTCACTCAGCGTCTGATATACAGGCTGTACATCTGTGCTTGTATCTGTGACACCGTCCGAACAGGACATTCAACTGAATAAAGTTTTCTTGTGCGTAGGTCTTTGTCCGCTACCGCTCCTCATCTTGCCGTTCTTGCGCCCGAGGGCTCCCACCTTCTCCAAGTCAATACAGCTCTTCGATCTTGCGATCCCATCACGGCGGCTCGAGCTGTCGAACTACTTTGCGCGTTCGAATAATATTCATCTCCTACGCCCCAGCGATGCGACGCCGCCAACTGCGGCAGAATCTCAGCCGCCCTCCCCGCGTCGGACGTATATCTCGTCGAGGTGGTGTTCGTACTCCTTAGGAGCCTTGCGGATGTAGTTCTGAGTTCATCAGTCTCGTCACGATAATTTAGCCGTTGGGTAAGAATCCCCGTTTGTGCTTCTGCCTTCGGATTTCCCACCAATGCCTCGCTCATTCTCAGACTTCAAGACTCCAAGTCTGAGTCGTTACGACTCGGCAAGAGTTCGGAGATAGGCATGCTTGTACGCGTGGTATCGGAAAACGACGCTTCGTACCGATATCAATGTCCGCTCAAAGCCTCATGCGTAGGGACTGTAGACGGGGGATAGGCAACGTAGAGCAGAGAGCCGAACAGGTCGGGTTCGAGACAGTAGCCTGGTCTGGGTGGTGGCGATGCACTGAATTAGGCGCTGCTAAAGATAGCATATCTGATAGTATGTATGTCGATCTCGGAAGAAGGGGACAACCTGACAGATTTCGTTAGCAGGTGCGAGCACTGCGCGTTGGAAAAGCGCTAAATAAAACCATTCTCATCATCCCAATCAGACGAAGACATGGCCTCGTATTGTGCACCGCGCCACTAGAAGGGTCCGGCCCAAAAGGAAGCTATGCTAATTCTGCTCCATAAGTTAGGTATGCAACATTACATTCCTTTCGAGGCAGTGTCTGCCCATGATATAAACGTCGAGATCTGGCCAAGTGCCCCCTTCCTTGCCCTCCCCCATCACAAAACATGTACACCGACGAAGATAACAAGGCTACACTCGACGACCCTACGAAATTTGACGATACCGCTCGTGAAGCCGACCCGCCACTCCCACCATACTCTCACTCGCATCCCGTAGAATCAAGTAGGCATCTCGTTGAAGAATCGGTCAACTGGTTAAACGTTTCACGCGAAAACGAAAGCATCAGCGGAACGTACACAGTAGACCCACATCTCGATATTCCTGCGGCGCTCCTCGCTTTACCGAGCAACAATGGGCGGAGTCGTGGCGATAAGGAAACGGAAAGGATGAACTTGGCCCTTGAGACGAAGGAGGGGGACATAGACGTCACTGTGCGTATCATCGGCGAGAATGGGAACGTAGGTGGCCTGGCTGGGAGCGCTGCGGAGATAGAGCAGAAGGTGAAGATCAGGATGCGGTCACCCAAGGGGTCCATAACTTGTAGAATCGTGCGTAATTCAAATCGCAGCTTCTTACTTACGTACCTGTGGCCGTGGTCTCTAATTTTGCGCGTCCTAGGTCCCCATAGACGAGCCGACTGACCCCAGCCAAGGCGTCACGCGCCCGAGGTTCATCGCTTACGCCTCGGCGGACAACGGCTCGGTCAACGTCCTACTCCCTCGTTCGTTCGCGGGGTCCATCTCAGCGTTCGCGGGATTATCGCCCTCGCCCAGGGGCCCGATAGAACTGTCTCCAGATCTGCGGCAAAACGCCAGAATACTGATGGACACCGATCGGAAGAGATTCTTCGTAGGCGACTTTACGCAATTCGATAGACACTCGAGCTGGGATGCGCTAAGTATTGGCGTGAGCAGCGGGAGCGTGAAGGTGGCATATAACGACGAGGTTCCTCCTGTTTCCCTCGAGGCAGAGGGAAGGCGAACTGGATGGAGACGGATTTTCCGTTTTTTGACCGCAGAATGATAGTATATCTATGCAGGACATCGCTATCCCTTGGAATCACTCGAGGAAGTAACTACGCCAGCGTGGGCTGCTTTTATCGAGGGTCTGCCTCCTAGATTTCTCCGATAAATCTTAGAGGTCATCCATACGTTAAACCCAACAGCCAATCGTAGTAGATATCGACCCAACTCGCCGTAACGCGGGAGAACCCTTGGCGAATAATGCTTCGAATAGCCTGAAGATGTAAGTGTCACCTATTACGGCTGACGCGTTCGCGTTGCAACGGTCTGATCCCCGCCTCGGAGAGCAGAAGCCAGTTGATTAAAAATGCCTCTTGGTGAACCGTATATGATATGTAAGCCAATTGCACAAAAGGATGTCGTGTAACTACGTCTGATTGTCTAGTATACTCTATACCGACGATACTCAGAGTTTCACTGAAGATGAGGTAGACGAGGAACCACTCCTTGTGGCCAAAGAGGTGTCAGAGCCAATCGCAGATGAAGAGCCCCGCATCGTAGCCATGGAAGTGCGAGAAGCCATGATAGATGAAGATGAAGACCCTACTATGGAAGATGACGAGGGTATACCCGTTAACGACGAGGGCACTGGTGCTGCGGAAGATGAGACTATAGCCGACGACGAGCCACTGATTGTAGACAGGGATATAGCGGAACCAAGCCCCGAGGAGGGACCCATGGCAGATGAGGGGTTCGCCGTGGAAGAGGGTCCTATCTTTGATGTGGACGACGCGAGTATAGACGAAGAGATTGCGGAAGAGATTGACGCAGCAGACGTGATGGATGGAGTTACGGTGCCGGTGTTGGAATCTGGGTCGGGTGGCGAGTTCGATAGGCATCAAAGAGCGAATCGTAGGCACTCACTAGAGCTGACCGCCGTAGATTGCCCAGCACTACCGGATGAAACACTACCACTGTTAGCCTGCAATGTACCAGCTTTAGTATGTACTTGAATGCGGAGATCCATAATTGCGTACCCCCGATGTAGTCTGGTCCAGCGACCTTCGTAAGATATTCAGCTGAGGAGCCGTGAGAGAAGGGTAGGTAATAGCCTACCAAATAAACGTCCCGCCAAAGCAAGTGGTCGCAGCGAACTGTGACTTGGCGCTATTGAAAGGAGTTCAACCTCTAAGCGATACTATACATTGGAAGAGTACTTACGCCCAAGTATCTGATTGGTCAAATGTGACGAGCGAACCCTAGTAGCTCAGTGAGTATGGGTCATTCCCCGTTGCATAAGGACAGTGAGAACACACTTGATTGTCGAACCAATATGTTTCGCTTGCAATGTCTAGAGTCGGAGTTATGCCAGTCTTTACCAAGGCATCAACTTCGAACTGAGTGAGAATTCCCGCAGCAGCAGAGCAAGGCCCCGGTGCACCACCGCCGACCATCTATATGCCGCGATTCAATACAAATAGATAATGAGAAAGAGAAATTTTACCGTGCAACCGTATCCTTTACACCCCGAATTAGCCAGCTGGTAAGTCCTTGCGTAGAACGCCAGACCTAGTGACGATGAGTTTCGTGAGACCGACGGAAATGTTTAAGCTGCAGCTTACCCAAGTTCACTGAGTATCATAGCGGAAAGTCAGCCAGATTGTGAGATCCAGTCATATTGTTCGACTCACCCATGGAAAGGTCAATCCCAGCTCGGACGTAAAGCAGTGCGCTATCTCGCATGTCGAGGATGGAGGTGTGGGGATTTGTAACGGGGTCTTGACCGGCGACGTTGGTATCCCACTGGCCATGGTAGTCATACGCTGAATGGATCCCTGAGTCAGTGGTGAAAGTGTCTGCTACGAACCCGTCTTACACATCATGTTGATATACGACACGCTGCTAGTGATCTTGTTGATCTCGAATCCTTGGAGGAACCAATAACCCGCCGGAGCGGCTGGTAGGATAAATTACAAGAACCAGGAAATGCAAAAACAGGAGACGCGTACCACAAGAGATAATCTGGGTGGGGAGCGCTGTTCTGAGGTCCTTGAAGAATGCAGTAAGGTTCGGCGTATCTGAGTTTACCGGATATGTGGGTGAGTGGAAGTATAGAGATGTATATGTTGGGGACTGACCAGTCGCAGGAGCATTACGTTCTATGGCACCCGGGTATTCTGTGGAATGGTATCAGCTCGTATCGTAGGCAAGGATCAGTCTTGCGAACCGAAATCAATGTCTGCATGTCAGTGAATGAGCAACCACCATCAGGCGGGATGTGTTTAAGTGCTACGCACCAATTCCGTCGACCCCAAATTCAGAAAGAAAAGAAGCAACGGAGGTGATGAATGTGTTCCTATTGGGCGCAGAAGATATCACAAGAGAAAATAGGTCTCGCGTCGGCTGGGATTCACTATGCGAAACTGAGACGGGGATCAGAATGACCACCGAGGAATGCTCACGAGAAGTCCCAGCCGCCAACAGCGATGATGACCTTGAGCTGAGGATGATTTCCCTTCTGAGCGACGAGCCGCTTCAGCAAGGGTACATCAGCGTCGTCCAGCTCTAGCAAGTATTGTGCTATATGAGTGAATACTGGTAGAAAATTATAGACAGCTTACGGATCTGCAGGCCTTGAGTAATAGTCGCGAACGCAAAGTGAACGTGCGTGTATGGGGTCCAGTCAATATCGTCCGGCGCTATGTTGATACCACAAGGACGCCGATCGCCAAACCCAGCATAGTACGCGACTTTACGCATCGATCGTGAAGTGGAACACGAAGGGAGTGTTGGAGCGAAGCAGTTCGAAATGCTGTAACGAGCGGGAAAAGTGTGAGTCGCAAGACGCCCACGTGAAAGGACGGGGCGAATTACCAAGGATTTGGTTGCTGGGAAATACTAATCAATGGAAGCAGGGAGTGACATGGAGATCAAACGTACCTGTGTTGTGCAGAAATCGCTAGTAAGGCCGCAAAATCCGAATGCGCTGCAGCATGCGTTCAGTGGACAAGTGGCGTTTCTCTCGCTTTGTGGACCGCACTGAAGTCCAGGGATGACGCTTTAATAGAATCGGAATCGTTAGTTCATAACCGAGACTCAAAACAAGCTGCTCACGATATTGGTGGCGGGTTTCCCGGTGATACGCACATCGTGAAGCCGACTTGCAAAGCGCTGCAGCCTACAGAGGAGCAATAATTCGTGACTCTCACTGAACGAGAGCCTCATGGGTTCACTTACCTTTCCATTGGAACGTCTTCGCGTTAAACGCCTCAATTTGGTCCACCGTGATGCCGAATTTCGTAGCAATGGCTACTACGATGTGAGTGATAGCAAAGACGCCAGGATGCATAGACTCACCAGCACAAAAGTCGCCAGAAACGACCGTATATTCGGCACATGTACCATTGGGTGATGGTGACGGTGTATTAGAAGGAAGCGTCCCAGACGAGATGCACACCTTTTGTCCTACGAGCGAAGGATTAAGTCAATGATCAATTTGCGAACTTGTGAGAGAAGAAATGGACCAAGTTGCAGCCGTGAGCAATCCAGGCCTGGGTTATCAGCAGCGAACTGAGCAGCAGTTAAGCCTGCGTTCGTGTAGATATCGAAGCTGACGAGGTACCATTGCAATGAGTCCTAAAACGACATTGAATGCTGGCAGCAAACACACCAAGTTGAAAAGGGTTGCCCGACAGTAGCTGTAGTACAGGCTATGGCAGGAATCGCATGAGTACGAGTAAGGATACAAAGTGAAGGTGTCTCACCGGCACCAAAGACGCTGATGGAGAGAGTGGATGCTATGACGAACAGAGCCAGTATCCTTGATGGCTCGCTTCTGGACGTCGAAAACATGGTCAGCTGTGATCGAAACTGATGCTCGAACGAAATTGGTACTCGCAAGCGTGCCCTTTATACGACATCTATACTGTGAATATAACCTATTGGAGTACGCATCTGATGCGTTGATAACGCACAAGGTTGCCCGGAAGACAAAAATAACAGTTTGCGATGGACTCTCGGGCCTCTCAGTACTCGTCTCGTCACCGAGCAAGGCATATCAAGAGAATGATTTTTTGCGAGGCCCACCAGCCGCTGCGTCCTCGCCGAGAGCGTGGTCCCTTTGTCAATTGTCATTGCCTGCTCCAGCGTGGAGCAACGTGGAACTCAGTGAACAAAAAATACAATGTGCTCGATTGAGGGGGGAGCGTTACCCCAAGGGATCGGCGAATGCGACGATATAGATCCCGAAGGGGGTGTTATGATATGTTGCCGGCCTAGGCAAAGAAGGAAGGTTATCGAACCGGCTTCAAAAAAGCCACTTTCGCCATTCGGTCGGCCGGGTTCGGGATACAAAGCAATGTCAGCGGCAAGCTTCACGTTGAAGGACCGTTTACCAGTAGATGCCCGCGTCGGGATCATACAATGCACCTCTCGAGTCCGAGTTCAGCAAAGCTTGGGTTGTATAATGTCAACGTCGTGAATTGGGTTCAAGGAGGGTCTTTACAGAATCCGACAACTGCGGTTCACGACTGACAGGAACCATCAAGCTTAGGCACCACCGACGCTCGTTCGCACCGGTAGCCGCTATCTCCAACGGCCTACGATTTACGAAAGGAGTCGAGTCACTGTGTACGAAAAGACAACTTTACCCTCTGTTCAGATCTCGCCGTATAGTACGGGGGACTCGTGCCCCTCGGATGGGAACGCTGAAAGTTTTCATCAGCAAGGGGGGGATATCTTACTCACCTCGAGCGTCAAGCACTCCAAGTCATTAGAACGGACGCATTAGCTCTAATTGTGCGACTTCTATACGTTATGTTCGGGCTAGTGTGATTGGGCTGGTGTGCGATATTTGTAGCAACGGCGGCGTTTGGTTGGCTCCGTTAAACGTCAAGACGGAAGAGAATCTGGAGTCCGACGGTCAGTCTTATCGTTCGATGTCACGATGAGGAGCGATGTAAACATAGTTCAGAGAGTTTTGGTACTCTTCCGAGGGTGGTAGCGCATTGTTCTCAATGGTGGTAACAAAGGAGAGGCCCCGGGCGCTTATGAGCCCATGAACATTTGAACCGTGGGACCGAAGACCTCGAGCAAAGAATGATACAATAATCTCGACAGTCGTCCCACGAAATTCGAAAATTACGAATCCCGAAGCTATGCTCTCCGTCAGAAAACCGATATATGTATACGAAGACGATACCCTAAAGTCGGAAGAACATACAGGCGATACTCAAGGGATACTTGCGTAATGTTAGCACTTGTTGTGGAATCATTGAAAACGAAGTTGGTAGTCGCCTAAATTGGCACGCTACGAGCGTATGGAGTGGGGTCTCCTTGCTGTCCCGCATGGAGCTGTAGAGTATTGATTTCGGGTCCTCTATCAATGTACGTTCAAATGGTCATCTTCAGGTATCCCGTGCGACTCATACTGACTTGCAGAAGGGATTCGCTATGTCTATGCCGTAAATCGATATACCAATTTGGATCATCTATCGCATGCTCCACCTACACGCAGGTCAACTTGAAGAAGGGACGAACTGTGCAGCCTGGAATAACTGCTGTGGTAGAGGGATTACATTGACGGGCAGACAGCGCGGTGAGAGCCCCATCACCTCGACGTCGAAAAGTAACCCAACCCTGCTATCGCCTTGACTGCATCTCAACCAAGGTCCCAACCCGGAAGCTTGAAGTAAAAGCTTTGATTTGAGGTCTGGAATCCCTTATCCCCTACTTAGTTGCGCTCAGTTGTGCCCTTGCCAGGTCTGTGGAGCCGTATCTTGTTCGGTTCAGCGATCAGACGGCTGGAAATTATCTATAGATTCACGTAGCCTGAATCCGATCACAGTTGTACAGCAAGAAATACAGCAAAGAATGGTGCCTGCCAGCGATGCATCACGTATTGAATAACGAAGCCCGCAGTTGCTCAGTTCAAGCGCGGGTCTTGAGGACTACCAATGGCCTATATAACAGGGCTTGGATTCCATGGAGTTAACTCCCAATCCCCACTCACTTCATAACAACATGAGCACCGTCATCGAAGCTCCCTACGGTACTTGGGAATCGCCAATCAGTGCCGCCCAAGTTGCTCAGTTGGTGCGTAAATTAGGATCGCTGTGACCTATAAACTAATTGATCGCTTATCCAGTCCAATTCAATAGCAGAGCTCCTTGTCGATCCCATCACGAACAAAATCTACCACGTCGAATTACGGCCAACGAACGAGGGAAAGAACGCCCTAGTCGAGTCTGATACACGTCGAGATTTAGTTAGTGGGGACTGGGATGTACGCACAGGGGTGCACGACTACGGCGGAGGTGCTGCGATCATCTACGGTGGTATCGCCTACTTCTCCAACTACAGCGATGGCCGGGTGTACAGCATAGATATCAAATCGGAGGGGGGCACTCCTGAGGCAGTTACTCCAGGTATGCCTCCGAAGCGAAAATTGCCTAATCAATCAATAATCAACTTGGTCGTTTCTGTTTACAGATAGTCAAAGCCTCCATCGGTTCGCCGATTTCGACGTCCATCCCAAGAATCCTGAACTTGTGGTAGCAATTATGGAAGACCACACCGATGATCCTAACGGCGAAGCCCCATCCAAAGTAGTGAATACTCTCTGCATCATTGACACGGTGGCGAAGACAGTCACTCCCCTGGTCTCTGGCGCGGACTTCTATTCTAATGCAAGGTTCTCGCCAGACGGTACTCGTCTCATCTGGCTTCAGTGGTTCTTCCCAGATATGCCCTGGGAGGGCTCTGAACTTAGGCACGCTAATGTCAGCGTCACGGAGGGGAAAGTCAGTTTGACGAACATCATCACTATTGCCGGTGAGCCCACCCAGATTAGCGTCGCTTTTCCATCCTGGATCAACAACGACACCTTGCTGTTCACGAGCGATCAATCTGGATATCAAAACCTTCACAAGTATACAGGTGGCCAAGCTACGCCGGTATTCCTCGAACCCATTGCTAACGACTTCAGCCAGCCGGCCTGGACGCTAGGCTGGTCACCGCATGCCCCCATCGACGAGGCTGGACAACATATCCTTTGCACGGCGTGGAAGGACGGGAAAACCGTCATATACCTCGCCGACATCCAAAGCGGGGCTCCCCCGAAACTCATCGAGTCGCCTTTCGTGGCCATCAATGTCATCCGCGCTGTTTCTACAGCAAGTCATCAAGCAGTATTCTCGTCCCCCAAAGTTGACGAAGAGAGTGCTATAATTCTTTGCACCCTGCCTTCTTCCCTTGAACCCAACGACGCCAAATTTACGGTGGTTGGACCTGCCGCAACGAAGGATATATCAGTCGAGTTCCCAGACGGAATTATTTCTGCTCCTCTGCCTCACGACATCGGCCCAGAAGATGCTCCTGTCCACGTCATTTACTACGCCCCTACCAACCCAGCGTATAGTGGTCCCCCGGGCGAACTACCACCTTGTGTCGTCAATGTCCATGGAGGTCCCACGGGCCTCGAAGGCCAAGGTCTAAACTTGACGAAACAATATTTTACAAGCCGAGGTTGGGCCTGGTGCGTAGCACCCCTGCGTGTCAAGATGCGCCTTAATAGCTTCTTAACAGGTTGGATGTCAATTACGGTGGTTCATCAGGCTACGGTCGTGCGTATATGTAGGTCACGCCTCTCCCCTGCTTCACACCTCATTCTGAGCTATACTTGAAGTCAACGCCTCGCAGGAAAATGGGGAATTGTAGATACAGAGGACTCGATCAAGGCCGTGGACATCCTTTCGAAAGAGCCGTACAGTCTCCTTGATGCTGGAAGGGCCGCGATCCGGGGAGGCTCTGCAGGAGGGTATACTACCCTCGCCGCGCTCACGATAAGCTCGAATCCGGCTGCCTTCACCGCTGGTACCGCGTCCTATGGCATCTCCGACGTAGCCAAGCTCGCCGAGTCCACACACAAGTTTGAATCCTACTACATGAACAAGCTCATCGGAGCCTCCCCAGAAGAGGACCCTCAACTGTACCAGGATAGATCTCCAATTTATCATGTAGATAAGGTCACGTCCCCGCTATTGGTCAGTACTTGCAATGCATACACCCGGACTGGATAACTCACTGCATGGAATAATAGCTGTTGCATGGAGAACTCGATCGCGTCGTTCCAGTGGAACAGGCCCAACAGATGCATGATGCCATCTGTGCAATTGGTCAGGCGGAATGTGAAATACACAGATATGCTGGCGAAGGTCATGGGTGGCGTAAAGAGGCCACCATCGAGGATGCACTCGAACAGGAGCTGGAGTTCTACGAGTGTCACTTGCTGCACTCCGAGGGAAGTGGCCATTGAGTAATAGCAGATGGCAATTACTTCTATCACCTATCTGTCGTTACTTATGTATATTCCATGTTTACTTCGCCTCTCTATCTGACCTGGAGCAATGTATATGATCTCTCATGCTCTCATGAGTGCAACTCACTTTTGTCCCAAACGGCTTATCATGGCTGACTGGATGCCCAGCCAATTTAACACCGTAGGCAAGCGGGTTGCGACTTGTAATCAGCGGGCTTACGTCCAAATACCCAATCATAGTAGGTCTTTGAATGGGCAGCGGAAATCAGTACGTAGCCAGCTACTGCTTTACCCTTCTCATTGTTACCATCTTCTTTCGTAGCTCGATCTGGTCTCCGAACAAATTCAGTGCCTTGCAGAAATCATAGGCCTGCTCCTTCTCCGAGCCCTACTGTACTGTCAACCTTACCATCACGTTCCCCAGCCCACCCGTTTCTGCGATCGCCACAATTATGGACTATTACATTTCCACAATTACACATTTACATTCTAGCTACTTACAACAAGTGCGCTTCAGCACAAAAGTGTTTCAAACGGCGAAGAAAGAATCCGTGTACAGAGTCGCCAGCCGTTTCAGCCCCCCGACGTGATTCTTCGTGGTATGGAAGCACCTGTACCGCATGTTCATATTCCACTCCGGGATGAATGTCTCCCGGCGGCCTACCACATTCTTCTGGCGCGTCTACACCAAACCCAAACCCAAACCACACGACCATTAATACATCAGCATCCTTCATCCTCTAACCACACGCACAAAAAGAAAGAGAAAAAAGAACACGCACCTCCCCTCTCAACGGGCGCGCCACAATCCCCAGACGGCGCACATTCGGGAAGGCGGCCTTCAGCCGCCGCAGCAAAAACACATCGATCTCCCTGACCTCGATCTCGAGGAGCTCGAGCCTTGGGCTTTGGAAGAAGTCACACAGGCGTACAACATCGTCCGGCGTAGACGAGCGTTGGAAGCAGTTTTTGAGGTACAGCTGTTCCAAGCGAGGGGCGTCGAATGTCCCGGACCAGAATGCATCACTGTCCACCCTAGCATGCAGTACCAGGTGCAGCTCACGCAGATTTGGGAGATGCAAGGAGCTCAGCCACGGGGAAGAGGATGAAAAGGAGGGTATCATGGGCGTTCATACTTGCATCAATAGGACTATGAGCGCGGGGTAGTTGTTGTTAATAGCGTGTATCGGCTCGTGGGCGCCGAGCATGACGTCTATATCCAGCCTTCGGAGGTTAGGCATGATGACTGCCGAGTACGAGATCATTAGGTGAGACTTCGGTTGGGGTAAACGTTAGACGGCGGAAACTCACTGTCATTGTCGAGAGCCGCAGATGTGAGGTGCTTGATCGTTGAACAGACCGACAGCTTCTCTAGTGTTGGCCCAACCTCTCTGAACAACGCGTGTATCCTTGTGAAAGCGACTCTGTCGCGCTGGACACGGCGCCGGTAGCGCTCAATACCGATATAAAGTTCCTTCAAGCAGGGCGCGCGGATGTACGGTGCGAGATCCAGCAGCAGCCCAAGTTTCGTGACGTCCAGTTGGAGTGTCAAAGATGTGAGGCTGTGTGGGTTGGGCACGCGATACCATAAGTCTTGGAGAGACTCAAGCTCGAATTCCTCGTCGTCCGCTGGGGTGTTAAGGAATATTAGTCTGATTTCGTTGAGTGTAATCGCGTGGGCGAAGACATTGCAAATGCAATCCATGAAATCCTCCCCGAAGTCGCATTCGGAGCCGAATGCACCAGGGTCTGCGTCGTTCGTTTTGGTTTCGTTTGCCATGATGAATGTGTAGTGTGTCTGCAAGGCCTTGAGATGCTGCATGCAGATTGAGATCTTCTGGATGCGCCTCGCGAACTGCGGAAACCTCCTAAACACATTACACATTCAATGAGCACGCCCATCCAGAACACACTACAAGTATAACGGGGAAGAATATATTTGGCCACTCACGCAGCGTCTCCAAGCCTTCGCATGAAAGTTTTGACATTATTTTCAACCTTGCTGACCTCATCGTCGTCGAAGGTCTCGTCTAGAATACTAAGAGTACGAAAGCGGTGGTCGAGCGCCACCGCGTAGAATAGATGATTGACGCGCCGGACACGCATGACTTCATCTGGTGGCAGATGCGAGAGGACTGCGCGCCACATTTCTGGGGGAAGCTCTACCGCGGGCTTAGTTACTTGCGCGGTTATATGAGGAGACAGACGGGTCAGTGGCGAAGGTGACGGAAACACAAATGGGACTGCTCGAGTATTGTCGGTATCATGGAAGTTTCGAGGCGATTGAAACGTGAAACGAGGTGGTGAAGCACCTGGCGTCCATGTAGAAATTCGAACTAGTGTGCGGTCGTCGTTGTTCGTAGCCATATTCTAGGTCGCAAGTATGTGGCTAACGATGAAGTCTGTGGGGAGAGGGATAGAGCCACCCAAATCAAAAGTCAACTCAGTGGCCAGCCCGTGACCACAGGCCTCCTACTCGTTATAGCTATTGCCACCCGATGGTTCTTCCACCTTACGCCGTGAACACGCATAAGAGTCTGGCGGACTGGCCCCATCGAGTTCAAATTAATGTCTTGCGTGTTTGAAGCTCGTAGCTAAGTCGGACGATCTGATCTTCCTCCATGCCTATGTATGTCGTGGTTGATATCTTGGTTATATGAGATGTCGTTAAGGAGGGAGCAAAGGACGAGGGCGAGCTAGCGATATAATAGGGTCCGAGGAGTCCAGCAGGTGCGAAGGTTGCAGCTTGAGGAAGAAGACGGGAGAAAGAGGAGTTGTGTATGAGGGGGGAGAATATCAGCGAGACCGGCCCATGTTGCCAAAACGTCAGAGGTGAGAAGAATGCGACAATCTTCAGCGACGACGGGAACCGCGCGCCCATCTCCGCAGCACATACCATCCCACGGGGAGAGCCGACGCTGCGATAGTGACTATGCGGGATTTCGTTACCTCAGACGAGGCATTCTATCATTTGCAATACTACGAAATAAGAATCACTTAGTTCAACGCCGATTTGATGGGCGGTAGCTGAGAATTGTGTTCGCTGTTATGGCGGAGGCGCAGAGTACGACCAAGGATATCGACGGCAAGGCCGACACAGACGGGGGCTCGGCTGAGAGTAGAAAGCGATCATGTGTATGTCTATCATTTTCGTGACTGAAGCTACAGATATTGTAGCTACTCGGAGCGACGACGTTAAGGAAGGAACTGATCCCAATCGACGTGGATGATATTCCTTAGGGACCGCACTGTTGCTGGTTCAATGACACAATTTCGAATTTTGAAGATCTTGAGGGGTGTCTGGTCTATGCGCTGTTGGAGAAGCTCACTAACACGGGGCGTAAACCTGCGATCGGAACGATGACCATCGAAGCAACATCTTATCAGCATTAGGCTCTTGAGCTGGGGTAGAATGCTTGTGTCCGACTGGTCCGTCAACGTCTGAATGATCCGAGGATGTTCCTGGGTCTCCAGCACCAGCCTCTGCACCTGATGATTCCGAACGAACAGCTCCTTCCACTCCTCGGGGTGCTCGATCGCACCAAACCCACTGATGTGAAGTATACGGACGCAGCGTGAGGGAAGCAATGTGTGCAGATGGAACAGATGGCGCAGCTGGTCCCTACTCCCCCCTTCCTCGCAGTGTATATCCAGCAGCGGCACTTCTCCGAGCGCCACCCCGATCTTAAAGTCCCACGCAAACTTGTTGAGGAGCCACATGCGATCTGCTAGCCCAGCTGACGTGCTTTGCGCCCAGCGGGAGAGGACGGCGGTCAGGACCTCGAGGCACCCCGGCTCCGTGAGCCCAGCCTCATGGGGGAATGTGACGGAGCGGAGGAGTACGCGGGCAGAGCATGGGTAGCGGACGTGCTGGAGCAGGAGAGCGATATCGCGGAAGTGATTGCAGGAGACGGACAGGGATGTGAGCTGTGCGAGATCCACGAGCGCGTACTTGGGATCCTCTCGCGCACTGGGGCTAGGGGGCGTCAGGAAGAGGGCGTGCGTGAGTGTGAGGTCGTGAAGAGTAGGTGTGGCGCGCAAGACTGTAAGAATGTCGGGGAGGGATAGCAGGCGCTTTGGTGTGGTAATATGGAGGGTTTGGAGACAAGGGGACGGCTGGAAAACACGTATTGAGGGGAGGTAGATGTTTTGGAGTTCAAGGGTGTGTAGGCGGGGCATGTCCATGCTGAGGACTCTTTCCATGGAGATGGGTGGAGCGTCGGTGGCGCGCACTTGTCGTCGTAGGGCTAGGCGCTGCATCTCCGGCAACGCCCTGTTCTTGGAGGGGAAGAAATCTAGGATGGCAAGAGACTGGCCACAAATGTCGAGGTCCTGGATCCTCAGGATCTGTGACGACACAGCGCTAAGGACAGATCGGTCAAGCAGCGGCCTTGTCCACTGGATATGCAGTGCACCCTGCTTCGAGCGCGCGAGCATGAGTTCGGCGCAGTCCTGCGACTTGATCTTCGATAGATCGAGGTCATCCCACAGTTGCGTTGTACTGACGAAGACCTCACGCCAGCTGTGGCAAACGGTAGCGACATTAAGGCCGCCCGGGAAGTCGCCAAAGTCGCTGAAACTGCGGCGTACAAGGATGAAGAGTTTGGCGAGGATTTCGGCGGGGAGTTTTGAAATGGGGCTGTATGCATTCCTGCGCACTTTGAGTTGTAGTATGGCGGCTTCGTGGGCAGCAATTTCTGCTTCAATGAGGTTTTGAGCGGTGCAATTCGATGGGGTATCGAGGTAATCGCCTGATTGTGGTGTTAGTTATATACGGTCAATAATGAAGAATAGCAGAAGGCGTACGGTGGGTGAGCTCTGGATTGGGGTGAGGCTTTGATACGCCGTACTCTGATTCTGACTCTGAGTCCGAGAACATGTCGAAAGACCTTAGCAATCTGACCACTGGTACGTGAGGTTTGCGCGTGTGCTTCGGTGACTCACTTAGGCGCCCATCGTTTACGCTAACTTTACGGGGTTCCTGCTGGGTTCTTGTCTTCAAATTCGAACCGCGTTAACTGAGAGTCTCCCATCGTTTGCCTTCTTCCGCGAGCTATTTCCGTTGATTCATGAACGTGTTGTCTCATGGAACCATCCAGAGGAGGAAGAGAGGGTATTCTGCCCAGAAAACGTGGAGAATTGGAGTCGAGTGTGGTGGTGTGAAGAACCCGTAACGCCATGTGTGACTTCGATCGAGGTGCGTTACTCGGTCACTCCTCTCTGTGTTCCACGTCGCAAAAAGTCCGTCAACCGTCCAAACGCTTGACTTAGAAAAATCCTGCTTCATTGCGCTGAAGTATCGAGCGAAAATTTATTCTATCAAATTGCTTACAGAGCTTGGCTACACATGGCGCAATCGACTCTCCTACAAACAATCTGGCTGTCGCCAGAGTCTCCCAATTTCGCTGCAGCTCCGCTCGCGCAATGGACGTTAATCCTTCCATATTGGGGGCCGTGGCTGCGGGCTATGCGTATGGTCTACTTGCTAGTGTTTTTCCTCACTTGGGACAAATTAGGACGAACGTAACCTCCAAGTTATCCACTCTCCAGACCTTCCTTCACTCGTTCACCAGGTTTCAATCGGTCGAATCAGTCGGATCTGCGTAATTCCTTCAAATTCGTGATGCTCTATCTCATTGTCTCTGCGCGTGCCCAAATGGTAAAGATCTCCTTACACGCACAAACCTTCCTTTGACTTTCTCCATGTGACTCAATGCCGCCAACTCGGGGGTACTTGATGGACGTGAAACACGCTTGGTACTCCGCGCTATTCAAGCAAGTCTCGATATCCTCGACAACGTGTCCAAAGACCCAGAAGGTCAGTTTACCTTGTCCACGACTACCTAGCTGCTAAACCGTTAATCGGACCCACCTTAGTTCCCCCCTCGCCCCCCGCCCCCCGGGACTTCAGCAACTTGAGAATGGCAACATGGACGAACCCTCCCATGACGACAGCTTCTACACGTCAACATCGAAAGAAATCATACGCAAGGTCACCCGAATATCCACGCCAAAGCGCCGCGGACGTTTCTCATATTTGCCTCTACATCAACACATTACTGAATGCCTCTCGTACCTGCTGTACATGCCGTACCGCAGTCCAGAACACACGATTGAATTGCTGCCCCTCTCTCAGTCCCGTTCGAGCATCGTTCAATGATCGGCGTTGTCGTTGGACCGAATAGAAAATGTCAAAGTCGGGCGGCGTGAGTGCAAGTCTATTGACTATGTTCTATGCTCTATGTTCTGATTCTGAACACACCCAATAGTTACCGCGCCTCAAGCTCAAGGCTTGAGCTTGAGCTTGAGATGTCAGAAACGCGCGTGTCATGTTCCGAGTGCTTCAGATCGTCTCACTACTCTTACAGACAAGGGAGTACCATTATTCTGTAGGTCCGCACCCAACTCAACACCTACAATCCACCCTGTGCGTCTTACGTTGACCAGCCGCGCAGGTTCAGTGTAGCGTGTCCCTCTTCATGTCAGAGAATCACTGCCAATGAGGGTTCCCCAGCCCTCCGTGTAACCTCTAAGGCGCTGTTCCATGCGCTTCGATCCTTTCCATAGGCCACATCCGTGCATGACCAAACCTTCTGCGACATCATAGAATTCTCTTCGGTTTCGAATTCGCTTCTAAACACTCCTTGTCACCGATGCGCTTAGCAGCACGCATCTCCGTTAGTTTCGACGAATTGCGCCATTCTGAATTGCTGGTGTTTCAGGAACCCATCCAAATAGCACTAAGATGATATCTACATCTCGTCGTCCTGGAGTATAAAGTCTCAGTCAATCCACATACTGTTCTCCCAACCAACTCTTCCGCCTTGTGACGTAGTGAGCCCTTTGTATATTCCCACAATTCATCGAACTGACTTCACGTCGCAGGCTACGCACCAGCACTGAATCCAACCCCTGATCTAGCCCCAGCACCGACTTCTACGAACTATGACTTCCTACAATATCCACCAGCAGATCTTCTCGCTCTCATTCGCGTCAGGCATTGCGACGGGTTGCCTAGGCACGCAGGCCGATCTCCAGCAGAAGATGGACGACGCGCTGCAGCCCTCTATCGACAAGCTGCACATCGGGCCCTGGGAGGTCGTCTGGGGGCCAGTCGCCTGGAAGCTCAACCCAGACGACACATGCTCCTCCGCCGACCACAGCTTCTACGTCGCCCGCAACGCCGCGGCGGACTGGGGCAGCGGCACACTCTGGAACACCTACGTCGTCGCAATGGCAGGCACTGCTACGAAATCGGATGTGGACTTTCACGAAGACGTGGATATCGACCGCGTCGTCGACTTCGAGACGTTTGCACGCGATGGGGGGAGTTCCGTTCCTGTCCCCGTTGACCCAGATTCGATTGACCCGTCGAAAGCGTATATCGCGTTGGGCACTGCCAACGGCGTAAATCGACTCTTGACCATTCCATCCGCTGGTGACGGCACGACGCTATCCCAATTCCTGGGAGGAATCCCCGCCGTTGACGATACCCGCATCGTGTTCACCGGTCATAGCCTTGGAGGCGCACTTTCGCCTACTATTGCTTTGACTGCTCTCAAAGCAGGTATCCTTAGCAATATCCCCCCAGGGAATACCTTCGCATATCCAATCGCAGGACCGACTCCGGGGAACCGCCCATTCGCTGACCTCTTCGCCGAATCGTTTCCCCTCGTCACAGTCGGCCCCAGCGCATACCAAGTCTGGAACGCAAACATCTGGAACCAGTACGATATCGTACCGCACGCATGGAATATCGGCTCTGTCGAGGGACAGAATCTCTGGGATATTCTCAGGATTTACGGGGACTTGCCTACGGGGCTAGCTTTGACGGTCGCGTCGGCGATTGCAGTCGTGACCAACGCCCGGATTACGCCTTCCGGGATAGACTATGTGCCTATACAGGGCAGCAGGATACGTCCGCTGCCTGCGCCCCCGACCCCACAGTCGTTTGAGGAACTTCGCGACATAGCTGGGCCCCAACACGTGCAGGGGTATATCGAGTTTGTTGGAGCGGCTGTCCCTCCCGCGCTATGCGAACCACCTAGCCCGCAAGCTACGCCCGTGCTTAGAGTTATTGACGAAGGGAGGAAGAGGAACAAGAGGAATGAGGAGGGAAGGAAGGAGAAGTTCTGAATCGTCGTTTTTTTCCTCTTGTACTTGTTTGCTTACTGCCTCGGTCTGTTGCTCGTCGATTCTCTTCATCGAAGCCTTTCATTGATGGGAAATGAATCCATGATATGTACCTCATGTTCGTATGCATCGTTTCCTATTACTGTTTGATGCAGTACGTGCTTATCCCGCTCGCGACATCGATCTTGTGGTTTGAGCGGCCATATCATTCTTAAATATCCCAGAGCTCTAGCGATACTGTGGGGGCTTCTGTTGGTCGGGCACGCGTGAACGGACGACTAAACGAGCATTTTCAGTTTGAGATGACAGGACTATCGGTTGTGTGGTGACTAGCGGTGGCTACAATGAAGTCAAAATTTGGTTTGAACTTGCGCTCTTGACCGAATGAGATTCCCACAATAACAAATATCTTCCCACAGTCAGAACGTCTTTCAAAGCTCCATGGTCGCTTTCTTTTTTCAACGCCACCTGCCCGTCGAGATCATTGCATCGATACCTTAGTGCAGTCCGCTGAATTCCCACCAACATGTATCGCGCCGATATCTACAAAGTCTAGATTCCCGTTCGATTCTCGTGCAATCCGCGCAACCTCTTGTCAACTTCACCAAGGTCAACACATCCATGTACAAGCAAGTGAAGCCTGTCGAAATCTCTACCGAATACAACGACGATGAGGACCACAGCCCATATAGTATGGATACACTGTGATTCTCAATATCAGTGCCATCGCCAGGAGCCATCCATACGTTTCTCCTTGCTGCTGCCTTGCTTCGAATAGGAACTGGGAACGCAATTTGGGTGCCTGCGTCGCTTTGGTTCCTCTCGTTCACGACTGCGGGGATGTTCTGAGGTGGATATGAACGGGTAAAGCGACTGGTGCTTCGCTGCGGGTTCTTAAGGTGAATTCTTATCAGTCAGTTGATGGCTAGACCTCCTGATAACGTGCAGACGTTTAGATTTGAACGATTTTCTATATGGTGTAGGCTCTTCGCATACCAGCGAAACCGTTTATTTTTGTAGATGCCCTTCACGTATGAACGTCAAGGAGTCGTTTCTCGCCGTATCTCCCCGTTGACGCGCTGAGGTATGAATTCTCATCGGGTTGCTCCCGCGCCAGCATTGCTGAGGACACTCATTCCACGGAACGGCCGTGCTTGTATCGATCACTAAATTCACGAAAGCAGTGTACTCGATGTGAACGCTCCTCCGGCGGAACACCAGCGGCCGTAACTAAAAGTATCATACTAGTCAACTCTCGGAGCTGATGGTACGTCCATCTATAGTGTGATCGTCTCTCTAATTCCTGCTACAGTGCACTTTATTACTGGCCGTCGGATTGTCAGGCGCCACCCCTTACGGCAAGTCCATGAGTGTCAGAGCATTGAACCTTGCTTCGATTAGCGATTCGTGTACCGGTTGGAGGCTACGTTTTCGTCGCACTCCTGTTCGAACTCGTGGTTGGTCAGGCGTTTCTAACCCTGGTGTTGATCTGATGACATTCGGCAGGTTACTCTGTTGAATGAAGTACATCGCCGAGTCGTCCTAGAAGTAAGATAGCCCTCACGATCTGCCATCCGACTCATCAACACCGTGATGTAATGAGCGTGAACGCAGACCTGGCAGCAAGAGTTACGGGACATCTCACGCCGTGAATTCGGGTATGTCAAGTGATTACTGGTGAATGGTACGCCTTGTTCAGGCCCAAAGGAGGCTAAGGTATATAACTCTCGATCCTCGCGAATCGTCGTTGCCCCCATGCCATGCTTTCCGATTACTGCTGCCGGGGGGGTGCAATAGCAGCTACGCAGTAGTCCACTACACTACCGCGCGCCCCTAGGCAACTTCCTTGTCGACGTCCTGCCGTTCCTGAAGTATATCCCAAGCTGGTTTCCTGGGGCTCGCTTCAAAGCCTACGCGGAAAGGGTGCGACCCGATACTGTGGATATGAGGGAAGCTCCATATAGACAAGGTTTTAACCTTTTAGTGAGTACTCTGCCGCTTACAGTTCCATCCAAGTTCCGTCACCTTGCCGTTCTGGTGATACCGCAGCGCGAAGGGAAGGGCCAGCCAAGTATTTTATCTCATTGTCTACAAAGGGGCGTGTACAGCATTGATACTCCCCCCGATGAAGAGGTAATCAAGGATGTTACCTGGATCGCTTACGCAGGTGCGCATCGTCTTTGTGTCGTTCGTATTTCAGCTCATGAGAAGTCTGCCAGGCGGTGCTGAGACATCGCAGCCATGCTTCTATATCCCCAAGTGCAAAAGAAAGGCCAAGAAGAGCTCGATACGTACCTAGGAACACGACTTCCTATCTTTGAGGATCAACACTTACCATATGTTCGAGCAATCATGCTGGAAGCTATAAGGTCTGATACTTACTCCCAACTTCTCCTTTCTCCTCATTTGTTACACATGCTATCCTAACCGTAGATGGCAGTCCGTGTTTCCGTTAGGCAGGTTAACTCGTTCCTTTCGCCCTCGTTTACCCCTTATGATCGCCCAACAGGAGTGGCACATCGCCTCACAATGGACGACGAATACAAGGGATATCTTATACCGAAAGGATCCACTGTCTCCGATTTTACTTGGCAAGCTCCCAACGTCGTGTGCGGCGTCATCGAGAAATGAACCATCTCTAGGGCACTCTTGAGAGACGAGGAGCACTACCCCGATCTGGACACATTCAATCCAGAACGATTTCTGAAAGACGGTGAAATCAACCCCAAGACTCTCGACCCAATCCCGAACTTCTGATTTGGACGTAGGTTTGTCTCCACATATTGTCAACATTATTTCTCGTCTACGTGGATGCAGAATATGCCCCGGTCGCTTTTTTGCTATGGACTCGCTTTTGATGTCGATTGCGTCTACGCTCTTCTGCTTTGACATCACAAAAGCGAAGCACGCGGAAGGTCGGAACATCGAACCGGACATTCGGTGGGATCCTGGGTTCACAAGGTAGGCGCTTGCGTCTGCGTTGGGTATCTTGCTATAGGCTGCTGATGCGCTAATCGCTAATGAATGGTTGACAGACACATAGTTCCGTTCAAATGCTGCATCGCGCCCCGCTCTGCTGAAGCCGCGAAACTGGTTCAGGATTCTGAGTTTACGTGAAAGACCACACTCTGCGACCACCGGTATAACTAGGTAGATGTCCTGTGTGCCCATAACCTTCGGTTCAATTTGGCAATGTGAAAGGGAGTCGATCGTTCACATTACTTCCCAGAAGAAGGACAGTATTGAAGACCGCAACGAGGCGAAGTTTGACTACGAGTGCCCGTCCAATGAAAGTCACCTATATGACTTTCTTATCGGGGATTCAATAGGCCCTTCTGCGGGAAACACCGTATCGAATACCACGAGACGAGGGCAGCAAGCTGGAATTGCGTTATTTATGACGTATGACTTTGCTCCCCATTCGACGTTCGGTTTCGTCGAACTGTCCCCCAGTCACATCAATGATCAGCCTCACTGTGGCGGCAAAAGACACCCCGTATAATGAAGTTATCCGGAACACTGACAGTTGGGTGGACGGCTATTACGAACGATTTCGTCATTATCGGTGAGTCGACATATACAGCACAGGTTTTCTTGCATAGGTTTTTCTAACGGAACGTTGAGAAGACATCCGAATCGCACCACCTTAACATTCGTGTCTCCTCTGCCGGGATGCCCGAACCCCTGCCCAAGGGGGTAGGGGGTAAAAGGGTAAAAGGGGATGGAGGGTTTGCAACTGGCTGGGTAAAGGAAGCCAGAGCTCCCATTCGAGATCTATACTCTGAAAACAACTGGTATGTGAGGCTGACTTGCTAATGGTCGAGATTCTCACTATCACCACAAGACTCACGCTCAGCAAGGCTCAGAATTTGGAAGAAATACGACTGTCTGCCCACCGGAAACAAATCGACGGAAGCAAAGCACTATACTCCTATCGGGCAACGGAACGGATCGGCCAATGACACGACCACGGCTAGTAACAACAAATCCAACTTCCGGGGCAAAAATGCCTCGAATCCGGACCAAATGTGCGGATGTCGAGTGAGCGCGGAAGGAGTGCAAATCCTAGAATAGGGGTTGGAGAGGTATATAAACCTCGCATCTGTCTCTTCTTCCAGCAGCATCTCTTCGACATCTACCAGAACAACATTTATCACCATGTCTACCATCATGCCTCAACTAACCCAACGACTCAGCAAAATCATGTCTTCCCGTAAGCAAGTCCACAAGAAGTCAATCCCTCAGGTAAAGCCAGCACCCCCTCCTTCAGAACCTACCTCTAACCGTTAATCGATTTCAGAAGGTTGACGCTCCCTCTCCTGTCGACAAGACACAGCGTCTCGCTGCCAAATGCGCAGAGTACACCACGCGCTACGTCAAGTCGTCTCCCTGCCATTACAGGACGCCGACATTCAGCACCCCTGAAGTCGACCTCGAGACGTTCATCTACCGCCTCCTAAGCACATCAGACGCACCACTCCTCACCACCGTCTACGGCACACTCGCGCTCATGGGGCACATAGCCGAATCTGGCTTATGTCGGAAAGCATCCTCGTCCCCGCACCACTTCTTCCTCGGCGCGTTCCTCGTGATGACCAACATCACTTGGAACACGATTTGGGACGACGAGCCCTGGGTTGCGCGCACGGAGGGGTTGGTGCCTCTCAGCGAAGTGGAGGTTTTGAGAGACGAAGTTGAAGATGCGCTGCGTGTTGCGGGGCGATCGCAGTGGGACGTGCTCAACGAGATCATCAACTCCGAGCTCAAGACCCCCATCGTATCCGCAGAGCGCACGCACGAGGTCATGCACCTCGACCCCAAGTGCAGTGCGTACTGCGAGACTGTTTTCACCCGCTACACCACCGGCAGGACCACCACTTCGGTCAAGATATGCCACTTCTACAAGTTGAAGATGGTGGGAGGCAAACAGGTCCCTGATCGCTCAGATCCTTGGTCTTCGAAACCTTCCCATGAAACACGTTCATCCGCCTGACATTGTTCGCTTGTACTGAACATTCCGGACTTTTGTGGACATTTCGCTTTTACTTACCCCATTGTACGCTTCTGGTTTACGGACATACTATTGGACACTTCCGTGCTACTCCTCTTGTACAATCACATTTGCTTCCGCATTGTTATTGACGCCCAGTTTCGTTCTCAGAATACATATTCATGAGTTTACCATGATCATAGTGTTCGAAGAGAATTGCCCAGACGTCCTTCAAAAGTGCGTGGACGCTTGTTTGTCCTTCGTTTTAGTTTTGTTCGCCCTTTCAACGACCTCAACGATGTTGCCCTCTGCCTCAACGCAATGGATGAACAGCTCGAATCCAGGAACGAAGACTTCCACTACCCAAAGCAATCCTCAGGGCTGAGCGTTCCAAGAAGCCGCCACCACGTACACTCACTCCTGAATCCTGATCGCAACCCAATATCCAACATCCGCCGCAGGGGGTAGGGATATGGTAGTGTCGCTAGTGCTTGCTCGGTTGACGGTGAGTGCTTGTATTCGCCTCGCAGTGGTCATATTCTCACAATAGTTCCGCAGGCTCAACAGCCGCGCCTTAGTGCTTGCTCCATCTTCCACTCCGGCTTCCTGCTTTGTACCCTGGATGAGGTGACTTTCACTCACGCTGCGGACTGTGAAGATCACTGACTTACTAGGAACGCAGGCGCGACGTCGGGATTCAAGGCGTCAAGGCCAGCAAACCGCAAATCGCAAACCGTTGCTAGCATACGCTCACTAAGTACTCAGCGCCAACTCAGCGGTCTCCCGAAACTCTCGCGGAGTTTTTGTCCGAAGGTCAGATTTCGGACGTCACTTTCGTGGTATGGTAATACGGTGAGCACCCGATCTATCTAACAAAGGTTCGAGCTCTCGAGGCTTAACATGTAACATCCTGCACTTGATTTCCTAGTAGCGGTCGTAGTGGATGCCTTTCTGACAGGGGCGGGGTAAGGCGGAGAGGAAGCCGTGTAAATGGCTGGCCCCATGACGAATCCTGAGTCTCGAGATCAGAATCGAAGTATATCCTCACATTAGATACTACACGCTGTACTACAACATAATGCTGTACATCATTTACCTGCACAGAGCAAGCAGCTGAGAGCCCTACAGAATTCGAAAGAACACGCAGGTGCCGTCTGGGTCTGACTTGACGCGAAGATGCCTGTGCTCAAAGAGAGTTGAATGTTGTAACGTTGATTCTTGACCTTCGATGCTCATTCGAGGGTTTACGTTGGCATGCCTGGTAGAATTCGGCTCCAGAGACAGGGCAGACGAGGGCCTGAGCGGAACCGATAGCGTGTTTGTTTGCCTTTGTTATCTTTGAAGGGTGTCGGCGACGGAACGTCATGACTTCGCCAATCGTGACTCGATGTTGGCATCGTCCTTCATCCAATGGTCAAGGGCAACCCCAAATCCTCGGCATCATCCAGTACGAGGAAAAAACATGCAAAGAAGGCACTTGGCACACCCGATCAGCCAGATACACCCATCAGGGAGAAGAAACCTAAGGCGAAGGAGAAGGGCAAGGGGAAGAGCGGCTCCAGCAAGAAGGAGCCGCGCGTGAAGATGTACATTCCGCCTACGAAGCCCGCGCCGGTACAGCCAGATCCCCTGGACTCGATGGGGCTCGCCCACCGCCTCCCACCCGATCTACTCGTTGTTCTGCGCAGTCTGGGCAAGAAGGCGGAGGTGACCAAGGTGCGCGCGCTGGAAGAGTTGCAGGCGAACTGGGTCGACCGGTGCGACGACGAGGCTGTTCTGTATGTCATAACGGATATGCTTCCCGTATGGGTACGTCGCTAATCCTACTCTGCACAATGTCGCCAATGTCACGACAATCATCCAGTTGCACCACATCCCGACCCTGTTCGTCCACCCTTCACGGCGTATCCGTCTCCTCGGGGCCTCCATCCACGCTGCCTTCCTCAACATCGCCTCTCTTAGAGACCACATCTCCCTCTTTCTCGCCGACTCCGCCCCGTCCCAACTCGAGTCCATCCTTGGCACATGGTGCATCGCCGCGCACGATGTCGACCGAGCCGTTGCCCTCAATGCCTCCAAGTCCTGGAACGCCTTCATTTCACGCAGCGGCCGGCCCCCACCAGCACTCACTCTGACCTTCGAGTTCTGCCAAAGAATGGTCCTGGATCCGCTGGGGACGTACGTCTACCTCAACCCGCCCCAGCCCGCCGCCGCCGCCGCCCCGCCGCCTGCTCCTCACGCCCGCACGAAAGCGGCGAGCAGACACGGACACGGGTCGGGGCACCAAACCCCTGTCCGCCAGCGCGACGACCCAGACGCGGCGCCCCGCGAGCGTGACGATGAGCACGAGGAGGCGGAGATAGACCGCAAGGCCCGCCTGCGCGTCGGCGCGTTCGGCGCCATTGGCTCGCTACTGACGCGTGAGTCCTTGAATACTTACTTGAGTGTACTTGCGCCAGCGCGTTGATCAGCAACCTTCGTTTGGTTGTTGCCGTGTATTCGTTTTGTATTTACACATTCATACCATCTAAATCTTCGAATACTCACTATCCACTTACCATGCCGACGACTAACGTTTCTGCTGCAGGATGCGTCGAGGAGGAGTACGAGGGGGTGGACCAGGGTGGACACGTACTGCTGGTGAACCCCGCGCTGTGGACGGCGTTGTTCCACGAGAGCAGCTGCTCCGTCTGCCCCACCATTGAGGCGTTTGGGGAAGCGCAACCTCCAGTGCGAAAAGCTGCGTGGGGTCTAGTCGATGCACTCCTGCGCCTCCGCACACTGACACAAGGAAAGATAGGTATGCATGCACTCTCCTTATTCCCTTCCACTCCTTCTCGTTCTCTTCCCTAACTTATGGCTGATACCAACACTACGCACAGACTACGTACGCTCACCCCCAACCTCAAACTCAAACTCAAGCAGAGAAGGGGGAGAACAAGCAGAAGGAGGAGAAGGAAAGGGAGACGTTTTGAGTGTGATGAGTGCGGCGCTCCTCCGCGCGGCGTGGACAGAGCCTGACCCTGGCGTGCGCACGGCGATGTGGAGTCCGCTGTTGGGATTTCTGAGAGGTATGTTCTACCTCCTCCGTTATAGTTTCTCTTTCCCTCGCGTTTCCTCCTACATCGTTTCTTCACTTCATTCTCATCTTTCTTCTCCGTTGTGGGTATTTCGTTACATGGCTTTCAGCTGCGGATGATGGTTAAGTGGTCGCTTGATAGAGAGCATGTGTGAGGGATCGCAGATTGCGGCCCTCTCTTTCTTCTTTTCTTATCTTCCTCAATCTAAATTCTTACGATCCGGAACCCCGTTTCGTTTCATTGTGGCTGATGACTGATACATCTGATGCTAATACGTGATGTATAGCGTTTCCGGAGGCATGGGAGCTCGAAGCGCGGTTCGCTACCACTTCTACTACGGTGACTGCGGGAGAAGGAGATACCTTGGGCATGGGCGAGGGCAGCGGCGACGAAGGGGAGGAGGAAGAGGAAGAAGGCGAACCCCCACCACCACCTCCACCCATCCCTCAACCTTCGGCACAGTCAGATTCGCCTCCGCCGTCTGCAGGGTACCTATCCTTCCTGCATTTCATTGAGCGGGGATGCGCTGGCGCCCCCGTCCAGGGGTACCCCGCCGTGCTGGTCGTGTTCGCGACCGTGCCTTTGAGTGTGCGTGTTTCTCCGTCCTTTCTGTGTTATATGCGTTCGGCGTATATAATGTTTCGATTCTTCCTCGTAGATCATGGCATCCTCTTCACCGTCTCCCCTCGGCGCCGTTATCGCAGCGTTCTGGGGCGCCGTCGAGTCCCGTGCGCTTAGTGGGATGCAGCGCGGCGCGGCGTTAGCAGCAGGGGCAGCTTTTTTGGAGTCCCTGCTCGAGTGTGTGGTGTTCCTTGGGAAGCGCGTGCATGGGGAGGGCAAGGAGGGGGAGAGGACACTGCTGCTTGGAACAACTGCATCCACGTCCACCGCAACCAACACCTCTGCATCTACGCCACACGAACCAATCCCCGATCCCATAACCGAAGGCGGTGAGGCGCGTCTCAGCACACTAATCGCCGCCCAATTTGTGCGATCACTGCACGAGATCGCGGCCGGGAACTTGAAGGTTGATCCCCGACGTGCTGGGGCTGTGTTGGCGCGCGGGTTTGGGAGGTTGCGAGGTATTGATGAAGGATGGTACGCCCGTGCGTGGACCGGCTTCGCAGAGGCGGTTGGCGAGTATTTCCTGTTTGGTGGGGGAGGAGAAGAGGGGGGAGACCGAGGATCAGGAGGGACGATTTTAGTGGATGTGCTGAAGGGGGTCTACGACGCCTCTGACAGAGTTGACGGTGAGGACGCGCGGCGGCTGATAATCGCGACGGTCGAGCGGTGCGTTGTAGGCGCTACACTCGAGCTTGGTAGGTTAGGTGAAATAAAAACGTCAGATGAGATGAGCACGGGGTGTGTAACCGCACTGCTGGCGCTGCTGGACGCTTTCGGAGCTGGATTGTGGGCGCTCGATGAGGGTATAGTAGCAGTGAGTAATCCTTGATTTCTGCATCTGGCTTTGACGTGCATTGCTCACGAGAGGATGTTCCCGCGATTTGCAGCGTCTGGATGGGCTTGTGAACGAGGAGGTCGGGGCGCTCGTCGAACGAGCGCCAGAAGTGCTGCTCGCGTACATCGGGGGGTGTCCAGACGAAAGGAGAAAAAGGGAGGTGTGGGGCAAGATACTCGGGCGGGTCTGTCAGCAGTCACCGGAAGAGGGGGAGAAAAAAACAGAGGGATTGCTGAAACTCCTGAGGCCATGGATCGACGCCGCCAAACGCGGGGCTCTGCCAGCCTCCCTCAGGCACCCTACAGCGTCGACCACTGGCGCTGTGGATGGATTGGTTGCTCGGTTCCTCGGGGACGCTTTGCAAGGCCGTGTTACAAACCCGGTTTCGGAGGTGTTAGTTGAAGTGTTCGCTGCGTCAGGTCTGTTCTTGTCCTCTCTTCGTGGTAGTGGGGTTTTGTATTGACTCTGTTTTACGCAGATTATTTCGTTACGAAGGAGGGTGTGCAGGGTGCCATCGGCGCGGTTACATCGTTCATCACCGCAGAAGTCGATGAGGTGCTGCGCGATCGGGAGGCGACCCTGCGGCCCCTCGTTCTTCCCCTGCGAGTTCTTGACGCGATCCTCAAGACCGACTCGAAGTATATGCTGCTAGAGAAGACGCTGGCGGTCTCTTTGACGCCGTCCCTGGCCCTCTCCGCGTACCTGCTACCACTCTGCTGCGCCGTCGATGCAGGGGAACGCAAGCTCGCAGCGGATATTTATGGGATTTTGGTGGGGAGTGACGATGATGTGAAAGAGAGAACGGCTGCACTCGTGGTAGAGCGACTGCGTGCGCTCCTGGCAGATCCCGATGCCCGCCCGTCGTAAGTGTGCTTCTACCGTAGCCTCATTCTTGTGTGGGTGTGTTGGCGCTGACTCCAGCGTTGCTTCTGTAGGTACGAACACATACTCGCGGCGATCAAGGCGGGGATCCCTGGGATGTCGATTGACTTCATGCGCGACGCTGCGCCGTCCAGAGTGGAGCTGGATGCGCAGCTGGATCAGCTGGAGGCGAATCCACCCCACGCAAGCCTTGCCGTCATCGACCCGCTAGTTCCCCCAGAATCCTCCTTCGAAGCCGCCGATGCCGACGCCCGAGCACCTGCAGCCACTGCGCGCTCCTACGCCGCTATCGTCTCCGCCATCTTGAAGCACCACCTCGACAATCCACGCCTCCTTTCCCATCACACGCATCTATGGACAATCCGGCACTTCGTGGCGCTGTCCATCTATGCGTCCGATTTGTTGGGGATACCGTATGCAGCGAGTAAGAGCGGTGTGTTCGGCGGTGGCGCTGCGGCAAGTGGCGTTCTGGCGGAGGTTGTGAGGGATGTGGAGGCGGCGATGAAGGTGATCTTTGAGAACGATGAGCCCCGAGGGTGGAGGCGCCTCGTCCTTGAGGCCGTACAAGCAAACAAGGTCGATACGCTTGACGGCCTCCCACGATTCGTTGCTGAGATGATCACGCTTTCGACGGAGAAGGAGACTATCAGGGAGTCGCGCGCACTGCACCGGGTCCTACAGCGCGTCCTGGATGATGGTATCAGCAGCGAGGAGGTCGACTTGTGGGTAGGCGTAGCAAGGAAACTCGAGAAACTAGGTAAGTTCAATAACATTGTTTGTGTACACGACACCCCTAAACTTTCTCTTGCAGCACTCTTGACGTCTCTCGCTCTCACCAAGGCGGTCTCCAGCATCGGCGTTGATTCCCCGCGGCTCGACAGATACCGAAACGAACTGACCGCCTCAATAACAGGCGTCCCGCCCTCCAAGGCCTCCACCGCCGGGCTCGCGCTCCTCCGCAAGCTCATCGCCGCCGCGCCGCCTGCTGATTCCGATGTAGTATTCCTCCCGCAGCATAGAGCTGTGAATCTTGTGAAGGCGTGCCAGCACTGGGCGACGTCCGATGATGAGGATATCGGGGAGGACGTCGAGTGCGCGATGACCGAGGTATTCGTGCACGTCGCGCCGATATTGCAGAATGTACCCGGCGCGCATTGGGAGTTTATCTTCGATGTCGTGGAGAGCAATGTGGAGGTACGTCGTACTCGCTGAATGCTGAACTGCGCTGGTTCTGATAAATTGATTGATTGGTGGTAGACATGTTCCGTGGGCGACGCGTCGACGCTGGCGACTCTGTGGGCTACCGTGCGGCTAATAAGCGCGATCGAGGACCTGTCGTCGACCAACCGTGCCCTGCGGGGTGTGTGGCAGCTAAGGCGCACACCGGTGTTCAAGGCGCTCCGGGATATGGTTACGCGGCGCTTGCGTACGTGCTTATCCTCTTAGTCTTCATCCTCGACTTGTCTCATATTCCGTTTCTTTCTTCTCTGATATCCCGTTGTTGTCTTTTCTTACATTCCGTTCTTCTCTCACTTCACCTCCCACTAGCCATAGAGAGCGCGTCGGTGCCCCGCTCCGTATGCCTCGAGGCGCTGCTCACTCTCCTGCAAGAATTGCCAGACGCGTTGATCGACTCGGATACGTTTGCACACGTGAGCACCCCTCTCCCCTCTGCCCGGGCCTCACTCATTCATTCACTCATTCCCTCCCTGCCTCCCTCCTCCCTCCTCCCTCCTCCCTCCCTCCCTCCCTCCATTCCTCCCTCTTCCTCCTTCTCCACTATCTATCTATCTATCCTTCTTTCTTTCTTATATTTAGATGTGCCCCCTCCTCACCGACCCCGCCACCCCCGTGCAGAAAGCCGCATACGCGCTCCTCCAAAAAGCCGCGCAGAAGCACACGGAGCGCCTCGTCATCGAGGCGGGCGTCGACGCGGACGCGCCGGTGCAGGGCGCGCTGCCTGATGAGTTAATTGAGGTTCTGAGGATGGATGATCTGGGGGTGGATGTGGATGTGGATGTGGGCATGGAGGGGCATTCATCTGTGAGTAGTGCTATGCGTCGTGCGTTCGTCACGGGTTTTGGTGCTTAATATGTATCGGCAGCGCGTGTTCGCGCATTTACTAGGGTGGATGGTCCTTTTCGACCTCTTTGTGGACGCTGTAAGTCCCGTTCTCATTCCCCGCCGTACTGTATCATCTAACGAGCCCCGCTAACACCCCTCCTCCTCGTTGTTATTATTATTGTCGTTGTCTTCGTTGTTATTGTGTTATTATAGTCGCTGAAAGTGCGCTCGGCCTACGTGGAGCAGCTGCGCGAGCTCGGCCTCGTCGCGACGGCCTTCATCCCGCACATTCTCGACATTCTCCGCCTGACTGAGGGTGTTGTTGGGCGCGCGGTCAAGCTGGATGTGTGGGCCGTGGATGAGTTTTATGTGCAATGTGAGTACTTGGGTTTCCTCCTTCTCCCGTTCTCCCGTTCTCGCCTTCTTCCCTTCCATCCACACCTTCGCACCTTTATTCATCTTCGTTCATCTTACTACCATACTTACCATCCGCTCGTGATTCAGACTACGACGCGCGCGCTCCATTCAGCCTCCCACTGCTCGCCGCGCACCTGTACTTCCGCGCGCTCCTCACGATCCCGAGCCTCGTCTACGCTTGGGTCTTGGACTGCAAGGACCGCCAGCTCTCCTCTTCTATATCCGCGTATACGTCGTCGTATTTCTCGCCGCCCCTCATACGCGCGGAGCTCGCGCATGTGCGGGAGTGCGCGCCGGGGCTGGCGGATGATGCGTTCGCTATCAAAGTTACTGTAAGTGGGGGTATAAGTGGGGGAAGTGGGGGCGAGGTGGCGGCGGTGTACACGGTGGACGAGCAAGCATTAGAGGTGAGGATACGGATCCCGGGGGAGTGGCCCCTTAGGAGGATCGAGGTAAGGGATCATAGGAGTGTGGGCGTGGATGAGCGGCGGTGGCGGGCGTGGATATTGGGGATCCAGCAGACACTGTGGGCGCTTGTGAGTTTTCTCCCTTACACTTTTATGCTTTTATGTGTTTTTGCTTTTATGCGTTTTTACTTTGTTGACGCGATGCTGATTGTGATTGTGTTGCTTGGGGTATTTGTAGAACGGGCACGTCATAGACGGCCTGAGTGTGTTCAAGAAGAACGTGGCGCTCCATTTCGAGGGACAGGTCGAATGCGCCATCTGCTACTCGTGCGTCTCCCCCACTCTTCACTTTCGTATCAGCGCTATGGCCTTGCTCAAATCGCCAATATGTTTTTTAAGGATCATCAACGTCACGGACGGGAGTCTGCCCAAAAAGCCGTGCAACACGTGCAAGAACCGGTTCCACGCGGGGTGTCTGTACAAGTGGTTCAGCAGCAGCCATTCGTCGAGCTGTCCTCTGTGTCGCTCTGACATCATCTAAACAAATGAACGGATGAATGAATGAACGGGAGATAAAAATAGAACGTTGTAATAGTAATAGTAATTCAATGCGCTCTCGTTACCGCGAGTAAAGTAAAAGTAGATTTGTGCTGTGGACGGCGCGCGTGGGCGACGCGGTGACGGTACTCCCGGGGCAGCGGCATATGGTGTGTATCCTACTATCGCGAGTTCTTTCTACATCCTCATCCTACTCCCTACTCTTCATCCTTTCTACGCGCAATCCTCATCTACTCTTCATCCTCCTCATCCCTATCCCTCATCCTCCCTAAGCAACCCAGTCAGTTTTCCAATACTCATCACCTTCACAATTAATTCTGAGGCTCTTGTTTAGGATCTTATTCCAGCAGGATCCGTACCTTGTTCTGGATCGCGGTATCCAATTTCATCTTCCCAGTGATTGCCAGCATCACTTTGCTCGTCCTCTACTCCCGCGAGGGGGACTACCTCAAGTGCCTTATGTTTTTAATTTCCAACGCCTACATTGAGATTATTGCTGTTCTGATGGCAACGGTATGGTCTGCAAGCACACATTGGCAAGGATCGGAGAGCCATCCCCCCAACGCCCGATTCGACGGCAACGGAGCAAGCGGCATTCCTACGTCGAAAACCCGCTGGGAAGCATCAAATGCCCGCCCATCTGCCTCGTTTCCAGTTCGCTTCGACGGCGACGGGCTCAGTATTCCTACCTCAAAGGCTATTCAACCTTCCCCTCGCGAAGATATTTATGGAACTTTGGACTCTTCCGACCCCTTTGGGATATACCGGCCGAGTACTAAAGAATCTGTACGTCCGATGTTACAATCTATCCAAAGGGATTACTGATATTGGTTCAAGGTAGCACTGCGCCGTGACCTGTATGTTTGATTATTTAACTATGTATTGACGGGCACGACTCTTACGATTGTAAAACATTGTACAACCAATGTAAAACACCAGTTCTTTATTTAATTCGGCTTCAATCTCGGATGATGTGATCAAGCACGGCCGGACGTATATTTTGATTTTGTTTCACGGCATAAACTGACCAGTTCAACCGACGATGCTTAACGAGTGTCTGCCATTGCATGCGTCGTATTTTTGCAGAGTATCATAAGTCTTGAAGAAATGCCTGGACCCCTTGGTGACCGTGCCATACTTGGCCATGATCCAGCAAGGCACATCACGTGGTGGACTTCCGTTCTTCTGCCTCACCGGTGTGTGTTGACCGCAGAAAGTTGCAGGGTATAACTAGTTGCGCAGGTTAAAGTTCCCTGGTTCGTTTTCTCCCCGCACCGCAAGTCTGCCATGTCCTCTCCAGAGATGGCATCGACGTCCCTCCGCTCGCCCTTTGGGGACTCCGACACACCTAACCGCACCCCGCGCGCCTCTTACCTTGCTTCATCGGATCGTGCACCCTCTTCGTCACAGCTCATTTCACCTGGCGAACGAGTCGAGAACGACTCATACGATGTAGCGGGTACCGCCACCGCCTCTTCCCTGCTCGCTTCCCCGGACAACACCTACACTGGAGAAAAGAAATCTAGACGGCCAATCATATGGATCCTTGTCGTCCTGGGCATTATTGCCTTGATCTTGGTCGTCATTCTTCCGGTTTATTTTGTTGTGGTTCAGCCTAGAAACCGAAACAGTTCTACTGAGTCTGAGCCATCTACGGATAACACCAATACCCCGAACGCCTCTCCTAAGGCTCCTGTCTTGGCAACAACTGGAGGCGATGGATCAGAGGTCACTGACGAAGATGGCAATAAGTTCACTTACAGGAACTCATTTGGCGGGTACTGTGAGTTAACGCCGTCGTGGACTCCAGCCACTGTTCTGCTTCGGTGAGTTGCTAACTATTTTTTAACATCAGGGGTGTACGATACCAAAGACCCTTACAACAACGGCGCACGACCGAATGCTTGGACACCACCTCTGAACCAATCATGGAACTGGGGCACGGATAGAATATTTGGGTGAGTTGTTTCCAAACAGTTAGAACAATGCTCAGGCGCTAACTCACACATGCTTGCCGCAGTATCAATCTCGGTGGACTCTTCGTTCTCGAGCCATTCATTTCTCCCGCCCTCTTCCAAAGGTATCCTGGCACAATGGACGAATGGTCTCTTAGCATGGCCATGGCAGCAGACACGGCTAACGGAGGGTTGGGTCAGCTCGAAGAACATTACAAGACTTTCATTGTATGTGAATGGGGCTGATTCAGTGTCTTCGTCTTCCTAACGTTTTCCCGCTGTTAGACTGAACAAGACATCGCTGAGATTGCTGGAGCCGGCCTTAATTGGATACGACTCCCGGTACCATTCTGGGCTATAGACTCGTGGAACAGCACAGAGTATGACGCACTTGTGATTGTTCATCAACAGTGCTAATCGTGCTTAAACTAGCGGTCATGCTCCTACTGCGCAGGAACCCTTTATGGCGAAGACTAGTTGGAAGTACATCGTTCGCGTCCTTGGATGGGCTCGCAAGTACGGTCTTCGAGTATGCCTAGATCTCCACGCGATACCTGGATCACAGAACGGTATGCCATAATTTCGACGCCGTTAGTTTATTTCATAAAGATAACCTTTTGTTAATCAGGCTACAATCACTCTGGGAAGGTGGGGCAAGTCAACTTCCTCTATGGCAACATGGGTATGGCGAACGCACAGCGCGCCCTCAGCTACATCCGCACATTTACCGAGTTCATCAATCGTCCTGAATGGCGCGACGTTGTTCCGATCTTTGGAATCATGAATGAGGCCCTTACTAGGGTCATTGGCGTAGATATTGCTCGCAGCTTGTAAGTCATTGAACGTCTCTTTACGCCTTCGGTCTGGCCTCATCCTCTTCTTCATTCACAGCTACCAGGAAGCCTACCGCATGATGCGTGAAATGACTGGCATCGGCGCTGGCAATGGTCCTTTCATGGCTATTCATGATGGTTTCCGTCCACAATCTGATTGGGCTGGTACATTCGATGGCGCCGATCGCGTCATGCTCGACAGCCACCCGTACTTTGCTTTCAGTGACCAGTCAGCAGTCGAGCCAATAGACAGCGGCACTGACGAGGACTCCGCTGGGGGCGTATGGCCAGCCCGAGCATGCAGTGCCTGGGGCTCGAGTATGCGCACTAGGTCAGTGTCTGAACTCTGTTGCCGATGCGGATCAATAAACTCGTCGTCCTGTTAGCCATACCGAGTTTGGGCTCACGTTTGCCGGCGAGTTTTCGAACGGGTTCAATGATTGCGGTCTATTCCTCAGAGGCGTCCCCGGCTCCCACACATATGGCGGCGACTGTGGCGATTGGGAAGACTCCAGAAACTGGACGCCCGGCACCAAAGCGGGCTTACAAGCATTTATCGAAGCCAGCATGGACGCCCTTGGCGATTACTTCTTCTGGACCTGGAAGGTTGGTTGCTTCAGTTGTTATCACTGTGCCGCTGGACTTACTACTATGGTCGTAAGATCGGTAACTCTACGGCAGGTTTTGTTGGGGCCCCTTTGTGGTCTTACAAACTTGGTCTCGAGAATGGATGGATACCGAAGGACCCACGAACCGCCACTGGCAAATGCCAGCGCGTTGGTCAGTCATTGGGACCATTCCCGACTACTTATTCCGCGTGGCAGACTGGCGGTGGTGGATCGGGCTCGATAGCAGCGAGCGCTACGGAGGTGTGGCCCCCTGCAGCCGTCTCTGGTGACTCGGGCATGATACCCGTCGGTCAGCTTCCCCTTTACACCACGACAGGAACGGAAGTACGGCTCGCAGGCCCTACGAGTATCTCCACCGCAAGCGAACGTACGGTGACTGGTGGCCCAATTGAAGCCAGCGGTTGCAGCTATCTCAACGGCTGGGACGCAGTCACAGTTGCTCTCCCCGCCGGTGTATGTACAGGCGCTATTCTCCTTGCACGCGACATAGCAACTCCCACACAAACTATTCTCGAAAACGCTTCCAGAGCTTTCGTGACACCTCCACCGAAACCATACCACCGAGCTGCTAGACACGGACGATAGCCACCAGTTTTCTCATGAACCTATATTGGACATTTACTTGACAAGTATTCAGACACTCATTTCTATACCCTCCCTTGAACGAACAAGTATTCCCATCCTATTATAATTTTATATTCATCAAACCCTCCTCGTTGATATATGTACAATGGCTACAATCCTTATACACCTTCGAAGACGATGTATCCCCACATGTATTTCAATTCGAGAGTCCCCAAACTCCCAAGCCTATCGCCGAACTTGGACTTAGGGTTACTAGCCCTGAGTTTATCTTTGATGTCGTGGAGAGTGGTTTGGAGGTATGTGGTGTTGTTGATGCATGCTAGGTATCGAATCCTGACTTTTCTTGTTATCGTAGACGCGCTCTATCGGCGAAGCGTCGACGCTGGCGCCTCTGTGGGCCACCGTGCGGCTAATAAGCGCGATCGAGGACCTCTCGTCGACCCACCGGGCCCGGTTCAGCCTCCCACTGCTCGCCGCGCACCTGTACTACCGCGCGCACCTCACGATCCCGAGCCGAGGTGGCGGCGGTGTACGCGGTCGACGAGCAGGCGCTCGAAGTGAGGATACGGATCCCGGGGGAGTGGCCGCTGCGGCGGATGGAGGTGCGGGATCGCGGGGGCGTGGGGGTGGATGAGCGCTGGTGGTGTTGATGGGGATGGTGTTGTTGGTGTTGATGTTGATGTTGGTGGTGATGGTGATGGTGATGTGATTGTTTGCAGAACGGGCACGTCATAGACGGCCTGAGTGTGTTCAAGAAGAACGTGGCGCTCCACTTCGCGGGCCAGGTCGAATGCGCCATCTGCTACTCGTGCGTCCCGCCCTCTGCGCTTGCGTGACGTGTCGTTTCTGAACAGTCGATTTCTGTTTCTTTTTTGGTTTCTGTTTCTGCACCAGTTTCTCTTTCTCTTTCTCTTTCTCTTTCTCTTTCTCTTTCTCTTTCTCTTTCTCTTTCTCTTTCTCTTTCTCTTTCTCTTTCTCTTTCTCTTTCTCTTCCTCTTCCTCTTCCTCTTCCTCTTCCTCTTCCTCTTCCTCTTCCTCTTCCTCTTCCTCTTCCTCTTCCTCTTTCTCTCTACGGACGGCAGCCTGCCCAAAAAGCCGTGCAACACGTGCAAGAACCGGCTCCATGCGCCGTGTCTGTACCGGTGGTTCAGCAGCAGCCACTCGTCGAGCTGTCCGTTGTGTCGGTCTGATATCATTTGATCGTTTGGTCATTTGGGGGTGTAAGTAGGGGTAGGGGTAGGATGGGGGGAGGGGTAGGGGTGGGATAGGGATAGACGCTGGTCCGTACCCCATTTACCGCGCGTGAATGTGAACGTTTGGACTGTAAGCGAGAAGTGGGGGTTGTGTTTTGTTTTGTATTTTGTGTTCTGTTGTTGGGTGTGAACGGGCGCGTCGGCTGAATCAGACGGTTCCAAGCCTTGTCATCGTACATCGTGCACCGTGCAGCGTGCACCGTGTAGCGTGCAGCATAATGCATAATCGATTAATCGTCTGTGCGGTGACCCGTCGCGCCTCTGTGGATATGCAGTACCTTGTGAGGTGCGGAATGCGAAATTTGAACGTCCAGAAATTTAGACGTCCAGAAATTTAGACGTCCGGCGGATAACTGATAACCGAGTAATCGGTAAACGATAGACGATTAAACGATCACCGATAACCGATAAACGTTAATCGATAATCGGTAAATACGAGATGTGCGTGTCGTTCGTCCCGTTCCTCGAACATATCCCCATATCTCCATATTTCCATATCTCCAGACACGCTAACCGCTCACCACACTACCCCACCACCCCACCACCCTACCACCCCACCACCCCACTACATCCACTACATCTACTACATCCACTGCAACCACTGCATCCACTACACTACCGTGCATATGCGTATCCACTACACTACCCAGGCGTATGCATATGCGTCCGCGGTGCAGTTCTGGTCCGACCAAAATGCGGACGAAGATGAGGAGTGATATCACCGTGCGCGGCGCGGCAGGGTCCGCGCAAAGGGTGCGTGTCCTCCTCCTTCTTTTATCACCCACCCTCTCATCCCCTCATCCCCACATCCTCCCCATCCCCGCATCCCCTCATCCCACCCTCTCACCCATGTGTGGCGGGTGGTGGGTGTCGTGGGCAGTGAGTTCCTCGCTTCCTTACTTCCTTACTTCTGCGGTTGTGTATTTCGGTACTTCTATTTTCCTACTTCCCCAGTTGCTTATTTCGGTACTTCATCGGTTGCTTATCTTAGTACTTCCCCGTCTGCGTATTTTAGTACTTCCTCGGTTTCGTACACCCGACTTCCTACCACCCCGCATCCCCTCATCCCTCCCCGCATCCCCAACTTCCCCGCATCCCGCATCCCCTCATCCCACCCCGCATCCCCAACTTCACCGCATCCCCGCATCCCCCACACCCCACGTTCCCACCCATCTCCTCCACCCCACGTTCCCACCCCGCATCCGCAGTGTCGTCTATTCATGTTCGTTTCTTCGTCTACTCGTCTGTTCATGTTCATCTTTGTCTGTTCGTCTGCCCGTCTCTTCGTCCGCTCGTCTCTTCGTCTGCTCGTTCTTGCGCTGACGCTTACGCCACAGACGAACGCGTGTACGTGTATGTTATTGTGTGGATGTGGCGTGTGGGTGTGGCGTGGCGTGGTGTGGGTGTGGGTGCTACTCGTGTAGGCATGGCGTGGCATATGTGTGGTGTGGTGTGGTGTGGTGTGGTACGCCCGATGCTCGACTCTCTGATTTCTAATCTCTAATTTTTCATCCCTCATCCCTCATCCTATCTCATCTCGAATCTCGAATCTCGAATCTCGAATCTCTCACAAGATTTGCGTGGCACATCCGTGGATTGCTGCGAGCGCTAGGCGGACGTACAGGAGACAGAAGACGGGAGATGTAAGATGGGAGATAGACAATGGGAAATGGGAGACGTACAGGATATGGGAGATGGAACGGAGGATGGGAGGATGGGAGATGGGAGGCGCCCCGTAGGCGTACATCCCCGTATGTATGCGCTCGTGCTCCCGCTTCCCGGTATATGGTATGGATATGCATGCGGCGCGCGTGGATGCGGATGAAAACCCACAAACCCACAGAGGGAAACGCAAACGCAAAAGCAAACAACGCAAACGCAAACGCAAAGGCAAACGCAAAGGAAGTACTCACCTCACCTCACCTCACCTCACCTCTTCCTTGCACCCTTGCGCCCCTTGCACCCTCTCACCTCCTCATTTCACCTCATCCCAGCTCGTCCCCGCACAAGCAGATCAGCAAATCAGCAAATCAGCAGATGGGCCACTCCAGTTCCCCGATTCCCTGATGTACGTACGTCCGAGGCGCGCGCGAACACGGTGGCGTCGACGGTGCGGTGAGATTGTGTAGGGTGGGGAGGAGTGATTGAGGTGAGGTGGAAGGGTTGATTGGGGTGGAAGGGTGGAGGTGAGGTGGGGCGAAGGCGTGAAGGAGGAGACGGTTGGGTGGGGATGGACTTGAAGTGAAGTGAGGAGACGGACGAATTCCGTACTGGTTTAATCGGTCTACGTGTACTCGGCCGTCTACTCAGTCTACCTGGTCGTATACTCAGGTCGTCTACTCAGTGTACTCGGCCGTCTGCGGGTGAAACGAGGACGCGGAGTGGGCGGATGGAATGCGGACGTGGGCGTGGGCGTGGATGCAATAAGTGCCATCGCGTGCGGACTCCGGAGTGGGGGGGGGGGAATTCGGAAGTGAGTCGGGATGTAGAGATGTAGAGATGTAGAGTCGGGAGCGACGTTGAGAGTCGACGTCGATGTCGCTGATGTGTTGTGTGTTGTGTGTTGTCGCTCTGTCGAGGAGGTTGGAAAGAGGTAGTTTGGAAAGAGGTAGGAGGAGTACGACTACGAATGCGAAGCGAATACGAAACGACTACGAATAGGAGAAGTGTAAGTGAGTAGGGAAGAGGACGTACCTAAACACCACACGAACCATCACCACCACCATTTCATCGCTATCACGACACCCAACCCTATATAGCTATATCCACGCCGACACGCGCCAACTAGCAGCTGCGCACGCGCGTACCATAGGAGATCGAAAGGACAGGGTGGATAGCTATAGTGCTAGTTGTAGTGAACGTTTGAACGTTTGAACCATCCGAAGACCGAGTCAGAGAAGGCTTCCTTCGCGAATGCCCCCCGAGCATAACACGCGCAAATCGACGTCATCTGCGTCACGAACGTCATTGGCCTTTTGGCCGTTTGTCCGTTTGAACGTTGGAATGTTTGAACATACGAACGTACGAACGTACGAACCGTCACATTGGTGGAACCCACTCTCGACTTATGGATACATCCGCACGTATGGCGACGTTGGATATCTGGGAAATCTCAATGCAGCGCGTAGGCATGAACACAGGAACACACACCAACACACACGTATGATTACGGCGAGCATGAATGCAATGCAAGGCATGACGCTCACACGTCACGCGTGCACCGCCGTCGACACGCCCAATCACTATCTCCCAGACGCACGGAGCTCTCCATACTCGAACCCCTGATTCACCACGCACGCACGCACACGCACCACCGTCCACCGTCCACCGTCCAACTTCACCCTCTCACCTTGTCCATCTTCCCTCTTCGCGTCTACTTAGTACTTCACACTTAGCGCTCAGCGATGCATTACACGGTACACGATACCCGCGCAACGTCCGTGTATCCTCCCCTCGCCTGCGCTCCCCTCTTCCCTCTTTCGATCGGATAGGACCTCTCCCCTCCAATACACGCTCCCCCTCCAGCTCCCGTAGATCACACGAACAGGACGATAATCGATAGGATAGTCCCTGTTATCGCTGGCATCGTCGTTGGCGTTCGCATCACTACAGGACGCGGCACGACATGCATAGAGGTATAGGTATATCCCGTGTATATCGTACATCCCTGTGTACTTATACGTGTACGCCGCGCACCAAGCCCCCCAATCCCCACGTTACCCGACTCTTCATCCAGACTTCCAGCCCATCCCATCTTCGCGCACCTCACCCCAATTCATATCACCCCGTCTTGGCTTCTCCGTGAACATTGACATTAGCCTTGGCCTTGAGCTTGAAGCGAACCTCCCGAATCACCGGATGCTCGATCCGTTCGACGCGAAGGATACGTTCAAGAGGCGAGCGCTTGAGCACGATGCCCTCCTCTCCTCAGCGTGAGTATGTAAACACGAACTATCGCTTACGACGCATACTCGATTCGATTCGATTCGTTAGCAGCGGCGCATCCGATGGGGTGGAGAATGGCGACACCCCGTCGTTCATAGTCATAGTTTCATAGCCGCGATCTCTTGGACCCCGCCATCGTAGCTCCCTGTAGTTACGAGAATAGAGCAATTAGCGGTGAAAAGGCTTTCGAAGCAGCGAGTGTGCCCAGATATAAGGGTAAACCATGCGCACGACCCCTTGTCCCGTATACGTATATACGTATACTACTTCGCACCACAGGAGACCGGTCGGCGGTGGCTCCCACCTCCCAACTCCTGATGGTGCCGGCCCGTCTCAGGACACATCTGCGCCATACACATACGCGGGTTGGCGGGACCAGGCGATGAACGGATGGCGATAAACAGATGGCGAAGGCGAAGGCGAAGGCGACGCGGGAAATTGCGAAACGATGTGACATCCGCGTCCATTAAGGCAGTCAGGCAGATTTCAAACGGGAAACTTGCAACTTGCGACCCCATTATTACTTATTACGCAATACGGTGCGGGAATCGGGAGCCTGTTTTGAATCTGTATCTCGCGTTCCGGGTAAATCGTCTAGCGCTGAGCGCGGGGGTCTGGGGTCTGGGGTCTGCTCTCGGGATGGGCGTGCACATTGCACGAGGATGTTCCGAATCATGCATGCATGCGGCGTAGAGACACGATGTATCCTACGATGATGATGATGATGATGATGATGATGATGATGATGATGGAGGTGTAGGTGTGGACATCCATACCGCGTCCCAGAAAGACCATACCTCGTCCCAGAAAGACCGTACCTCGTCCCAAAAAGACAATCGAAATCAAAATGAAAATGAGAACACTAGAACATCAGAACATCAGAACATCAGAGCTCGAGCGTGCTGTCAATGTATGTTTATGTGAGTATGTGAGTATGTGAGTATGCGATGCATGTGCACGGCCCCCGTGTACGTGTGCCCAATTGCAAGCGCCGTCTGGTCTGTAGGGCGTGCCGTTGATTTGTTGATGCGTTGATTTGTTGATTTGTTGATTCGTTGATTCGTTGATTCGTTGATTTGTTGATGCTTGATTCGTTGATGCTTGATGCTTGGCGGCCTCAAATTTAAAACGGAGTGTCACGACTCACACGCACGACTCACGGACCACGGACCATCGAGATTCGACGCCACCACGTTGTCTGTGACTCTGTGACTCTGTGACTCTGTGCACGGACCCTCCCCCTCCCGACGTTGTTTGGCCACAGTATCCAGTATCCAGTATCGCCAAACCACCAAACCACCAACCCCCCCCCGACTTTTCCTCTCTTTTTCATCCTCTGTTTCATCCATCCATCATCGCTTCTCCCTTCTCCCGTCCCGTCACCGTCCCGCCACCGTCCCCGCCCTCGCCCTCGCCCTCGCCCTCGCCCTCGCCCTCGCCGCTGCGCACATACCCATCTACCCATCTATCATCTATCAGCACCCAGACGAGCAGAAAGAGAAAGAGAGTACCGAGTCGTCTATGCCTATGCAGTCGTCGCTCGACAAACAAGAATGGTTGCTTGCGAGCCTCTTGGAAGAAGTGTTTCTTTTTTTTTCAGCGACGGGTTCGTAGGCGCCGGTTTCGTGGGCGGGTGGTGGCCGGTCTAACTCGAGGTATCCTCATACCCCGTAGTGATTCTCGATTCTCTAACCGCTACCTCACGAAACCGCTACCTCTCAAAAACTTCCTTTCTTTCCTTTCATTTCTTTCATATATACCATACATTTCACACCCGCGAAGTCCCATTTTTCCACCCGTCAAAATCAGCGCTGCTTGGTAACCCTGTTCGTCGTCCCTTGCAGCTACTTGCCATATCCATATCCCAAGTTCCGTCGCCTGAGCTTCGCATACTGTCTACTGTCTACTGCTACTGTACTCAATTCCGTGCGTGCCTCGTTCCCGTTTCCCGTTTCCCGTACCATGCGGCTCCGCCCTCGACCTACTCCCCCCCGCCTGACACTCACCAGCGCACCGCCTCTTGTCCCTGGAGCTTGACCCTTGAGCTTGAGCTTGAGCTTGAGCTTGGGTTTCTTGGAGCGTGGAACGCATCGCATCGAATCGAATCGAATCGAATCAACTGTGCGTTGTTCGTCGTACGTTTTCGCAGGTCTCAGGTGCTCATTAATCATTCTCCAGGCTTCTGGGCATCTGAGGTGGTGCTCGGTACTGTTGGGCTAGGGTGATAATCCAACCTCTTCGAATGACACTGACCTGCGTGCACTGCGGCGATGGGATATCGATTAGATCATTACTCCGTGGATTCATCTTCCGTGCGATACTCTACACCAACACACCAACACACCAATACACCAATACATCATGCGTCTTCGATCATCCCTCATCCCTCATCCGACTGGCTTTCGAGGCCTTCTTAGAGCCCGTGCGCACCTCCACCTCCACATTCACACCTGGGGCCCCAGCCATGACGAACGTCGAAGCTATATTGAAGCTCTGAAGCTCTGAATGCATCGTAGTTGCCTGACGCATCCCGCACGGATATTTCTGGTCTGTAGCGCTCCCAAATACATGTCGCCTGTTGGTGACACTTCCTCGGTAGACAACTTGGCTGATGTCGCATTGGCGTTGGCGGCCTGCGAGAGCCTAGAGGCGAACAGTGGACTTTGCGGACTATACTGCTATACTGTGTGTAGATGTCTCGCATATGTCCTCAGGCATAAGTACTTGACGGGTGGACGCTGACGCCGCTGCTCTCACCTCAACTTCGATAGACGTGACATGATATCTCGATACATATGTCCCACGGAGCTCTATGCCAGCTTTTCGCGTGGGAGGAAAGGAGGCAACGTCTAGGATAGAAGGGGAAACCCGTGGTGCTGGTTATTTTAGATTCACCATGCAGCGAGTCCCCCGATTGCCTCCCTCTTTGCATCTCCCCTTAAAGGCGAGAAATACCATCAGATGTTGATCTTACTCATCGTAGACATTGGCATAGCCCTACCTTGTCACCCTTGTGTATGCCACTCGCCATACACCCGGACGACCCGTACGACCAAGCGCGATTGAGTTTGATGGAAGTGATGGCGTCGAGGCCGAGATCAATCCTCTGGGTGCAGCGCATTTGGTGCGTTTCCGAACACAGGACTATGGCAGAAGCGTACAAAGCCCGACGCACTTATAACTCTCAAGAATAGAAACGACGTCAAACAGGCACTATGTTGAGTGTACGCGTGTTTGCTGCAACTCTGGTTCTTCCTGCACGCTACACATCCCGGGTCGCGCTTTGCATTTCTGCTCCATACCCTACCTCGACCTTGACCTCGACCTACTGCTTTGCACTACGAGATACCTTCAACCGAAGTTGTAGACATCGTCAACCGCTGCTGTCATCCCCGCTTTGGGGGCGTACTGCGCGCGTTGGTGCGTCTCCTCCCTGGTCATTTTCGGGTATCGAAGCTACCTCATGCATGCATGCCTGACCAGCGAACGAAGCCGAGGCGCCCGCTGCATCACCCGTTTGTGTCGGTACCTTCTCCCCTTCCAACGCTCGGCATACATACTCCAGTATCACCCACTACCGCAGGGACGGCCGACGCCGCTTTCCGCCTCAGCTTCAGCTTCAATGTTTTCACGGCAATGCCAACAAGGTACGCTCCACGTTCAGTGAAACATGTGTCTCCTCAGCCTCAGAATACCCCATGATAGACATCTTATATCAGCTCGGTGTGGAGGGTGTAGTTCGGGAGTACACCGGTGAGCTGCCAATATCCAATTCCAAGTCACCGTCGTTTGGCTCGCGGTCGATGATTGATGATCTGATTGCAGTCTCCACCTGCCGTTCCGACCCCAATCGCTAAATCGCCACCCACAATCTTAACTCGGTACCACGACAATCACAGTGGCACCACATGCCAGCGCCACCTCAGCGACCACCCAGAACGTGCCGCGGAGTTCTTGAATAGTCGGATCGGAATTGAACGTTTTTACGGCATGCACCCCGCTGAATCTATGCATCCTGGGTGTTCGAAACTTATTATTCTTCACCTGGTCTGCAGCCGCCGTCGCTGGGGAGCTCGCGTTGGACCGTGTGCGTGTCTCGCCGTCGGAGGGGTGCAAGGCAGGGGTAGATACGGGGAACCATGCTGTTGTGGTGCGTACACTCGGCCCCCAAGCTTGGACGCTTGAACTGACATGCGGAACAGGCGTTCTTGAGATCCCTGAAAATTTAGACGCGGGATATGGCCGTGGTCCCAAGCAATCAACGCGACATCCCGCGCGCATCTTGCATCTCCACCCCCGTTCGTCGCAGTCGCGCAGTCCTCAAGCCTCCGCTCTCGTTCCGCTTTCCAGATGTGATTACCGCCCCGTACGGATCCTTGCATACCTCATATATATCGTCGCTGAATGCCTGGTGCTGGCGCGCCGTCCCGCCACGCTCCGCGCGATGATTCCGTCCGAACGAGAGGGTGGGTTTCTGTTTTCGGCATAGGTTCTGCGTCGATGGAGCAGCGAGGAGGCATCGTCCGAAGCGCACTGATACTCCGCTATATGACGGACCTCGCTACCCCATCCCGGCGTGTTCAGCCCAATAGCCAGGCGATGGACGGACTGCTCCGCATGGCAGTAGGGAGAAGGACGTCTGCAACTGGCTGCGATCCCGAGCGCAGTCGACGTCCACCTCCTCCGAGTGGTTCTGCTCGGTGCAGACTTTTCTTCTCATTCTAAGAATTCATCTTCCGTACAACACTCCACACCAATACACCATACATTATACATCAGGCTTTTTGTCGGTGGTCAAGAGGAACACTAAATCCGCCCTGCGCTAATGCCCAACTCCTTTGTTCTCGACGCACTCTCTTGCGCCTGGGCATGCCACACACCTAGTCTCCGACTGTTGGAGAGTGCGTTGAGGCCTCCCTCTCGTTATTGCCGCCGTACGGACTTCTCGTGCGTTACTCCCCGTTTCGGACTGAGTGCCGGCCCATACTCGACGACCTCCCAGCTCGAGACTATGTCGGCCACGTCGTCTACCTTCTGCCTTCCTTAGAAGTAGGACATTGGCCAGCGACAGAAGGCGGGTTCTGCCAACGGCACGTCCCATGCTCGTCACCGATGCTTGTTATTGTTAGAGCATGGACGCCGGCCTCGAGGTCGTAAAAGGACAGTCGCCTAGCGTGCAGGCGCTTTGATACGTTCACGCGGAGTTTGTCTATTGCCTGCGCCATCGGCACCTATCCGGTGTAGACCCTCGTTCCGGGTTCTTAGTTTTGTTTCCCTTCGCCCCCGCACCAACCCAATTCTCTCATATCGTGTTGAATACCGTCTGCGATTACGTGCCCAGACAACCACGCGACTTGCGTGTCTCGGCAGCGCGTCTCAACCGATGCCCCTGCATCGCCCATTTTCTTTGGGCTCCATCTCTGTGGCGTGTTTCATGCAATGACACGGGGACCTGAAGCTCGCGTGGAGGGGTAGAACGACCAACGGATATCCGCACCACCGCCATTAGGCGTTCCCTCCATGGGCAATGCGTTCGTGTTCGCGACACCAGAATTTGCGGGCGATGCAGCACCCACACTCTGCGGCTTCCGAGTACGACTGCTCCGAACACGTTAACAATGAGACGCAGGTTCACGTTGCGGGCACTGATGCGGGGATTTACAGATGGGTTGACCTAGGATATTCCACACTTTACGAGGAGCACTGCTAGTCAATCACGCTGATATATCGAGTTCGAACAAATCACTATGTGCGTTACATTCTGTACTGTATCGTCTGCCTCAGTACATCCAAGACGACTCTCGCAATGGATCAAGCGAGAGTGGCGGTGATAGCGACATTGGCTGCAATTGCGTCGCTGGTAACTCTGCCTTGGGTGATGCTGAAGTTTCCTCCGCTGAACTCAAAAGAGAAGGCGGTGAGTTGGTCCTGTATAAAGCATTCCCAGTCAGTGCAGATTCAACGGAAGACACGTCATCCATACGTTGCCATAGTGGACGATGTAGCTTCCCGTGGTAGAGAACTGCTCCTTCTGGTTGATAACCAGTGTGACGGGGGCAGCGCCTCCAGGAGGGGAGATGGTAAGATCGTCGACGCCGAGGTTCTGGACGGCTATGGCTTTCACGGTGATGTACTTGACCATCTGTATTAAATCATTAGATACTGATACTGCACAGTCTCGAGATGAAGGATGAGAGGAACTGACTGTAGAGCGAAGTTTGTGTGTAAGTAATCGATTGAAGTAGCGTTGGATGCTGGAGATTTGGGGACCATCCCAGAGCAGTATTTATACTCGTCAGAACTGCGTACCTCTATTTGGAGTCGCTCATGAGGTTTGAGGAAGTCAGATACATCCAGCATCTGTGGCGCAGAAACTGGGGTCCGGTGTTGCGTCGTCTCCGGTTACTTGAACAGGAACTTTTGTTCCCTCCCTCCGTGGAGTTATTTGCATCCGAACAGGCAAAATGATCCCTCCTAGATCTGACAACGAAGATCAGAATCATGCTAAGCGCGTCGTTTCAGCGACTGCAGCGGCCTTGGAATTTTGACTTCAGCGGCACTCTGATTGGCATCCAAGTACTCCGATTACCACATGGGGTCGGTGTCTTTTATCACAAAGACGCAATACCCAGTTCTACCACCATAAATAGGATTCTGACAGGCGTAATTCTCTCAGTGGTTGACAGCTCGCGTGGATGGCAGACTTACCAAGAAACAACGAGTTTCCGACGGCACCGCAGTATGAATCTGGGGTGACATAGGAAGGCAGGCAGTTTCCAATAAATCTACACATCCGTCAGAGAAGGAGCCATGACCAGTTCGACCACCACGAGGCAGTTGTATACCCACGTAGCTGCGGAGGAATGACAATGAGCTCCCCAGCACATGATTAAAAGAAGCAGATACGACAGTGTTCTCTGCACCCTAAATTGTGTCCTGAAGCTTCTGGTTTAAGCACCCGGAGGCGATCGAGCACCGGAGACTGGGAACTCACATTACAAGGTGGCTGGATGTGTACTGCTCGTATTTGTGATTGGCCAGGCTGTTCCTGAGTCCGAAGAACAACTGCGAGCTTCGCAAGAAGTTGGGGTACTCAGGTACCAGTAGCAGCACGCCTAGAGCGCAGATAAAGATAGACCAGGCCTTCGTCATTGCCCCATTTACACGAGAGCAGTATGAAGAGCAACTTCCGCGACACAGAAACTGCGGCGCTTGACATGGGAACTTGACACATATGTTGTCCATGTGATGTGTTTCGAGGAATGGAAGGGTGTTCATGTGAGTCATGAGTCTATGGCATGATAGCATTGGTGGATACTTTAAGCGAAACTATTGTAAGTGTGGTACAGTTCAGGAAAGCCTACCCGTGACATATACTAATCCATGTTCCGGCATTGTATCGTCTCCGGTTACTTTAATGAGATTGTTTATATGGTTCCTCAATGGAAACCTTGAAGCGGGAATCTCAAGCGCTTCTGCGATCATGACATGCGTGACACCGTGGTATAGTCAGTGATATACAGTCGACTCTGTCATAACCCATGACCCTCGGTGGACGTGCTGGGCTATGGGTTTTGAGAGAGTATGGGTTAACTCAAAGCGCCTATTTGGGCGTCTAAGAAAAATCGCTGTCGAATTAGTCGGTGGATTTATTTACAGGACTACGGCTGTAACTATAATATATATGACAAGGAAAGATTAAAGCAAGACTAAAGTCTACTATAGTTAGAGAGGAAAGCCATGAAAATGTCAAATGCTAGCAAAGTGGTCGGAAATCTTTGTTGCTTTCATGGTGCGAGAAACCGTCTCATATCGAGTCTGTATGCCCAACGACTCGAGGGAGTCCTCCAATCTACGGAAAAGCGGAGAATCGAGGTCACTAATATATCCACGAAGAACCGACGCGGCCATGACCTCCGTAATAGGCTTCTTTTGCTGAATGCGAGTTTGAAGTTCCTCTTTCCGATTCCTAGTGGCACGTTGGAGGATTTCTAGCCTCCTTTTAAGTACAGGGAGCTCAATCATGTAGAGTGCGGACTCAAAAATGGTTTTTAGTTTCATAATTCAACCGCTTACAACAAATTTAATTAAATATATGACAAAAATAACATATACATATGGGTTTTGACATCCCCAAAAAGTATGGGTTATCAGGTATCGCAGAGATATGGGATTTCCCTGCGAACCAACTTGGTGGATGGGAAAATGTATGGGTTTCGGCAGAGTATGGGTTATGACGGTCATGGGTTATGACAGAGTCGACTGTAACAGCAACTTTTCCAGGACTCAAGTTTGGACTTCTGCGACACGTTCATGAGTATAGTCAGGTCAATTTCTCGATTTCTGTGATTGTCGGTCTGAGTCCCCCTCCAAACTTGTGACCATACATACTACAGTTGTGTAGAGCATAAGAAATCAAGTTATAGTGATATAGATCCTGATGTTGGCCCCGGGCGCAGTGCCCTTGCCGTGCTCGACGGATACATTCCCGTTCTCAAATGTAAAAGAAAATGCATCGTACTTTGTCTTGAAACATTTCCGGAATTAGCGCAGTTAATATAGGCAATAAATTTGAGAATACCCCTGGGTAACGGCCAGTATATCTGCCCTCAACGTGAAACTCCTCCTTGTCATCCACTTTCACAGTAACACGGTTGTAACTGCCAGGAGGTTGGATTTCGATGTCCTGACTGCCACGATTTTTCACACCGACGGCCTTGGCTGTAGTGTAGATCGGCCAAGGTGCCAGAGTGATCTCTGGACCTTCGACGAGAGCAACCACCCCGGCAGTATCAGTGGTAGCTTCAGACATCTATACATGAAGACATAGGTCAATATGACTACAAGGACATCACAAATCGGCCGTCACCTTTAGCCAAGTTGTGGGTACCAGTAGAGAATGAACTGAGACGAATTCAGAGAGAAGTAGGCGGCGAATGGAGCTTGTATATCTGATTGTTGGACCACTGGAGCGATATTTATGTGCTGCAAGGAGCGATTGATCGTTTGTTTAAGGCCATAATGCTGTCGGGCGGGGTCTAGTAAGCGAGCTAGCTTGACTGTCGGAGGGTGACATCAATTGGACAAGAATGAAGGTCCGGTATTGAAAAATGTCCGGGGCCAAATCCTTGGTTGTTGCTCGAGTGGTCTAGTATGTATCAATTGAGGAATGATAGAAACAGTATGTTCAAGGAACCGGAGGCGATACAACGCCGGAAAATGTGTGAGTATGATGTGTCGTTGTGGGTAGTTTTTCCTGAACCATACCGCATTCTCAATTGTCCCGCTTAAAGTATCCGGAGAGGTTATCACGCCGGAGACTAGTCACTTGCACGAACACCCTTCCATTCCTCATTTCGATTTGGAACACCACAACATCTGTGTCAAGATGTTCTGTGTTCCCATGTCAAGCGTAGGACCCCAGTTTCTGCACCGAAGAAGGTGCTCTTCATCCACCTCAAGCTTCGGGCCGCAGGCCTCATATCCGTCACAGAATAGCAGTAAACGATTTTTAGAGGTATAAATACTGCTCTGGGTTGGTCCCCAATTCTCCAGCATCCAACGCTACTTCAATCGATTACTTACACACAAACTTCAAGCTACGGTCAGTTCCGCTCATCGTTCGCCTTGAGGCTCTGCAGTATCTGATGATTTATTAAAGATGGTCAAATACATCACCGTGAAAGCCATCAATATTCAAAATCTCGGTATCAACGATGTTACTATTGCTCCTCCCGGAGGCGCTCCCACCGTCACACTGGCTATCAACCAGCAGGCGCAGTTCACTGTCCAGGGTGGATATACTGCCCGCTACGGCACTGTATTATCATGTTACCTTCAATTGAATCTTCACTGACTCACAATGATAGGACCTCCTGACCGCTTTCTCTTTCGAGCTCAGTGGAGGAAACTTTAGCATCACTCAAGGAAGAGTCACCGACGATGCGATTGCGGCCAATGTCGCTATCACCCCCACCCTCGCCTGATCTGTTGTGAGAGTCAGCTTGGAGGCGATTAATCAGGCGATATAGTATGGCATGTAACACATGTAGTGATTTGTTCGAATGTGGTATCAGTGTGATTGGCTAGGAGGGAAATGAATGGTTGAGAAAGCGAAGAAACGTACCTAGACTGGGTGATCCACTCTTCGAACGCTTCCATGCTGCTTCGAACTTTGAAGTGACAACCCTCTTGTGGCGAAGGCTAAGTCCATCTGACAATGACCCAGAAGTGAGTATCGGGAATTGTATCGTACCTTGGCTGCAGTATCGAGAGCGCTCCCACAACGATGAGCCTGGTGGTTCAATTCTCATAGAGAACTTGGTGCCCAGAATTGAGATGGTGTACCCACACGATCACTTAACGGAAGGGGACTCCTCGATAGAACAAGCTTCGCCCGACAGGATACGCAACTTTATTGGCAGAAGGCTAACACGCTCGCAGTCCAATCAGCGAGATCGGATAAGATCGGCACAACGCCTCATTTTCCAGCGCCCACGGCTTCGTCTTCCTTCCACATTCACGCAACCTTCTGGCAGATATTACACTGCAAGTTCCTCTATCTACGTGCGACTGGGACAAGTCGATCCTATGTAGGATTTTTTGCTCTCCATACAAGTAGTGGCGTCCACAGCCCTACGGCTCTGCGATACCGCAGCGCTCAGCGCCAGCTCAGCGACCACCCAGAGCGCGCCGCGGAGTTTTTGAATAGTTGGACCGGAGTTGCACGTTTTATGGTGCGTACCCAGCTGAATCTATGCATCCCGGGTGTTCGAAACTTATTATCCTTCACCTAATCTACAGCCGTCGCTGGGGCGCTCTCATTAGACCGTGTCTCACCCTCGGAGTGGTCCAAGGTGGTGTCAGCTATCGAGGAAGATGCTGTTGGGGTGCGCACACTCGGCTCCCAAACTTGAACGCTTGAACTGACATGCTAAACAGGCTGCTCTTGAAATTCCTGCACATTAGGACACGGGATATAGCCGTAGTCTTACGCAATCAATGCGACAGCCCGCCCACGTCTCCACCCCCGTTCGTCGCACAGCCCTCAAGCCCTCCCTCTCATTCTAATTCCCATCTCCGCATACTCCGCATACTTTCCAGATGTGATTACTGCCGCTTCACTACGGAGTCTCCCATGTCCATACCGGCGCCGAATGCCCGGTACTCAGTGCTCAGTGCTGGTGCGCCGTCCCGCCGCGCTCCGCGCCATACTTTGTCCGAACGAGAGCGGAGGTTTCCTGTTGTCGGCATAGGTTCTGCGTCATCGGAGCAGCGAGAAGACATCATCCGAAGCGCACCAGTACTCCGCTATGTATATGACGGACCTCGCTAGCCCATCCCGGCGTGTTCAGCCCGCTAGCGGGCGATGGACGGACTACTCCGAGTGGGAGTGGAGGAGAAGGAGGGTTTCCGAATGGGAGTGGGGAGAAGGACGGCTGCAACTGGCTACGATCCCGAGCGCAGTCGACGTCCACCTCCCCCGAGTGGTTCTGCTCGGTGCAGACTTTTATTGTCGTTCTAAGGTGCGCAACAACACCCGGAAGATATCTGCACGCATCAGCGGAGGCATGTCATTCTGCTTATTTTCGAAGGCCGACGCTCCCTCTCCTATCGGCATACACCAAATCATCCACACCTCACAACAGGACCCCGGGCTCAGCACTCCACAGGTCGACCTCGAGGCACCCACCCACCGCCTCCATGTACCCCAGACGCCCTGCGCCTTGCCACCGTCTACGCCATCCTCGCGCTTATGGGATACACAGCAAAGTTGCGGGCGCAGGAAGGCGTCGTCACTACTCCTTCCTCACTGCTGTTCCCGTGATGTCCGGAATTACTTGGAACACGATCTGGGACGCCGAGCCCTGGGTCACACACACAGAGGGGAAGACGCGCTGCGTGTGGAGGAATGGCCGCAGCGGGACGCGCTCAACGGGATCATCAACCCTGAGCTGAAGACACCCGGGCTACTCGCATAACGCACCCACGAAGTGATGGATTTCGATCCCCAGTGCAGTGTGTACTGTGAGAGCGTCGCCGTGCCGTGCATGACGATGGAAGACAACTCCCTAAACAGCCTCAAGATGTGCTGAGTACAATGAGGACGGAGGTCCGATCATGAGATCTCCGCGCCGAGCTCTGCGCCAGAGCGTGTGTCGCCTCTGTCGCCTCTGCCTCTGCCTTTGGGTCTACACAGGGAACGCTAGCAATAGCAGCACCCCGTGCCGAACCCTGCTCGTCCCCACGGCCAGCCATGAATCCCAGCTCTGCCATCGGCCACCGCACCGCTTCAAGGCTTCCATTGAGGAACCATATAAACAATCTCATTCAAGTAACCGGAGACGATACAACGCCGGAACATGGATTAGTATATGTCATGGGTAGGCTTTCCTGAACTGTACGACATTTACAATAGTTTCGCTTAAAGTATCCACCAATGTTATCATGCCGGAGACTAAGGACTCACATGAACACCCTTCCATTCCTCGAAACACATCACATGGACAACATCTGTGTCAAGTTCCCATGTCAAGCGTAGGGCCGCAGTTTCTGTGTCGCTGCTACTGGTACCTGAGTACCCCACTTCTTGCGAAGCTCGCAGTTGTCCTTCGGGCTCAAGAACAGCCTGGCCAACCACAAATATGAGCAGTACACATCCAGCCACCTTCTAATGTGAGTTCCCAGTCTCCGGTGCTCGATCACCTCCGGGTGCTTAAACCAGAAGCTTCAGGACACAATTTAGGGTGCAGAGAACACTGTCGTATCTGCTTCTTTTAATCATATGCTGCGTTGCTCATCGTCATTCCTCCGCAGCTACGTGGTGGTCGAACTGGTCATGGCTCCTTCTCTGACGGATGCCTAGATTTATCGGAAACTGCCTGCCTTCCTATGTCACCCCAGATTCATACTGCGGTGCCGTCGGACAATCGTTGGTTCTTGGTAAGTCTGCCATCCACGCGGGTGATGAAAACGAAGTTTTGTCAAACACTGAAAGAATTACGCCTGTCAGGATCCTATTTATGGTAGTAGAACTGGGTATTGCGTCTTTGTGATAAAAGACACCGACTGTGGAGTTATTTGCATCCGAACAGGCGAAATGATCCCTCCTAGATCTGACAATGAAGATCAGAATCATGCTCAGCGCGTTGTTTCAGCGACTTCAGCGGCCTTGGAATTTTGACTTCAGCGGCACACTGACTGGCATCCAAGCACTCCGATTACCACATGGGGAGGGAGGGAACAAAAGTTCCTGTTCAAGTAACCGGAGACGACGCAACACCGGGACATAGGTTACTAGGCACCACTTCGAAGAAGGGCTCAGAATCCACCGCTGAAATAGATACTGATGTGAATCACTCAAGATGGAAAGTACGCAGGATAAGAAGCTTAGCTGTGGTTCGTGTTGGTGGTTTTCCCAAGGTGTATTCTGGGGTTGTAGTCACGAGGTCTCGCTGTCCTCAATGTCCCAGTTCGAGTGCTCGGAGGTGATCTAAAGCCGGAGACTAAGGGCTCGCTTGAATGTCTTCATGCTTGCGGCTCACACAGATTCCAATTCAGATTCTGCAACATGAGCAACATCCAAATCAGGGTATCCTGTATTGTCACGTCAAGTGTAGGACCCCAATTTCTGCGCCACAGATGCTGGATGTATCTGACTTCCTCAAACCTCATGAGCGACTCCAAATAGAGGTACGCAGTTCTGAAGAGTATAAATACTGCTCTGGGATGGTCCCCAAATCTCCAGCATCCAACGCTACTACTTACCCACAACTTCGCTCTACAGTCAGTGCCTCTCATCCTTCGTCTCGAGACTGTGCAGTATCAGTATCTAATGATTTTATACAGATGGTCAAGCACATCACCGTGAAAGCCATAGCCGTCCAGAACCTCGGCGTCGACGATCTTACCATCTCCCCTCCTGGAGGCGCTGCCCCCGTCACACTGGTTATCAACCAGAAGGAGCAGTTCTCTACCACGGGAAGCTACATCGTCCACTATGGCAACGTATGGATGACGTGTCTTCAGTTGAATCTGCACTGACTGGGAATGCTTTATACAGGACCAACTCACCGCCTTCTCTTTTGAGTTCAGCGGAGGAAACTTCAGCATCACCCAAGGCAGAGTTACCAGCGACGCAATTGCAGCCAATGTCGCTATCACCGCCACTCTCACTTGATCCATTGCGAGAGTCGTCTTGGATGTACTGAGGCAGACGATACAGTACGGAATGTAACGCACATAGTGATTTGTTCGAACTCCATATCAGCGTGATTGACTAGCAGTGCTCCTCGTAAAGTGTGGAATATCCTAGGTCAACCCATCTGTAAATCCCCGTCTCAGTGCCCGCAACGTGAACCTGCGTATCATTGTTAACGTGTTCGGAGCAGTCGTACTGGGAAGCCGCAGAATATGGGTGCTGCATCGCCCGCAGGTTCTGGTGTCGCGAACGCGAACACATCGTCCAGGGAAGGCTGAGTCATCGCCACCACGGTTTCGATATCATACATTTGGAGGGTACCCCTAATGGCGGTGGTGCGGATATCCGTTGGTCGTTCTACCCCCTCCACGCGAGCTCTAGGTCCCCGTGTCATTGCATGGAACACGCCACAGAGATGGAGCCCAAAGAAAATGGGCGATGCCGGGGCATCGGTTGAGACGCGCTGCTGAGACACGCAAATCGCGTGGTTGTCTGGGCACGTAATCGCAGACGGTATTCAACACGATATGAGGGGCTGGAGTTGGTGCGGGGGCGAAGGGAGACAAAACTAAGAACTCGGAACGAGGGTCTACACCGGATAGGTACCGATGGCGCAGGCAATAGACAAACTCCGCGTGAACGTATCAAAGCGCCTGCACCCTAGCCGACTGCCGTTTTACGACCTCGAGGCCGGCGTCCATGCTCTAACAATAACAAGCATCGGTGACGAGTATGGGACGTGCCGTTGCCAGAACTCGCCTTCTGTCGCTTGCCAATGTCCTACTTCTAAGGAAGGCGGAGGTAGACGACGTGGCCGACATAGTCTCGAGCTGGGAGGTCGTCGAGTACGGGCCGGCACTCAGTCCGAAACGGGGAGTAACGCACGAGAAGTCCGTACGGCGGCAATAACGAGAGGAAGGGCTCGACGCACTCTCCAACAGTCGGAGACTAGGTGTGTGGCATGGTCAGGCGCAAGAGGAGTTGGGCGTTAGCGCAGGGAGGATTTGGTGTTCCTCTTGACCGCCGACAAAAAGCCTGATGCATAATGTATTAGTGTATTGGTGTAGAGTGTTGTACGGAAGATGAATTCACGGAGTAATGATCTAATCGATATCCCATTGCCGTAGTGCCACAGGTCAGTTGCCATCAACACTGACCATGACCGATGCTCGAAGAAGACAAAAGAAGAAGGTTTGTTTGCTCCACACCTCTCGGCTGCATACGGACACTTACCACTCACTGTGCATACTCGCGTCGCGTCAGTGCGGTCTACTGACGCTCTCACAACTCGCGCCCAACATGTCAGCCATGTCCGAACGCCCACCCAACAGCACCGAGCGACGTAATAGACGCCCAGAAACCTGGAGAATGAGCACCCGAGACCTGAGAAAGCGTACGGGAACAACGCACCGGGATTCGATTCGTTCCACGCTCCAAGAAACTCAAGCTCAAGGTACAAGCGGTGGTGCGCTGGCGAAGGTCAGGCCGAGGGGAGTAGGTCGAGGGCAAAGCCGCATATGACGGGAAACGGGAACGAGGCATTTGAATAGCAGTAGCAGTAGACAGTATACGAAGCTCAGGCGACGGAACTTAGCGTATGGATATGGCAAGGATATGGCAAGTAGCTGCAAGGGACGACGAACAGGGTTATGGTTATTATATAATTACCAAGCACAGACGGCTGCACCGCTCATTTTGATGCGCGGAAAAATGTGAAAGTTAAAATGGGACTTCGCGTTGGTGGAATGTATGAAAGAAAGGAAATGAAGTTTTCGTGAGGTAGCGGATAGAGAATCGGTGCGAATATGAGGATACCTCGAGTTAGGCCGGCGACCAACCCGCCTACGAAACCGTCGCCGGAAAAAGAAGCTTCCGAGAAGCTCGGAAGTGTTCTCGTTGAGCGACGACTGCATAGACGACTTGGTACTGTCTTTCTGCTCGTCTGGGTGCTGAAGGTAGTGGGTCGACGATAAATAATGTGCTATCCCAGAGACTAGAGATCCACGAAGACGGCGCTGGCGCATATTTTAAGAGAACAAAAGATGGCTTGAACGTATGATACCAGGACAAACCTGCGCTGCTCATCTGATTGGGTCTGCTCATCGGGGAGACATGCGTCTCATTGCGTGTAAAAAGACCATCACATCGTGAAAACGACAATGATGGAGGGCATGCCAGCAATCCCGTTGGAGAGCTTGGATCCTTACGGTCCAAAACGAGACCAAGGATCAGCAGAGTCGGCGCTTGCGTCTGATGACACTGAAAGCAAGGTAATGAAGACGCACCTCATGTTGCGCCTGGCTTACATGGTCTCGTTCCTTTGAGCGGATGTTACGAAGTATTTTGTACCATCGTCGGGCTCCTCCTCACCTTCCCCGTAGAGAGAAAAGCTTTCGATCATTACGATATGCCGCAGCATAGGAGTCGCTGGAACCAGGCGAACTCACGTATCAAGGAGTCAGAATCGGAGGCCAGCACTAGACGTCCAGCGTTCGAAAAATGTCGTCCTTCACCGGGAGTATTCGGGTGAACGTCACAAAATAGGCGTGATGGCCAATCCGATAACGCAGCCGTCGTAAGGAAAGGTAGTGAACTGCGCAAAAGAGGTTGCCTGTGTGGCAATAGTCCTGCCATAAAACTCAAGGATAAGAGTTGGGGTGCCATATATGGATATATGCGCGGCGGCGAGGACGAGGACAGCGACGGGAGAAGAAATTATGGATGAAAAAGAGGAACAAGGAGAAAAAGTCGGGTGTTTGGTGAGACTGTGGGCCAAATAACGTCGGGACGGTCCGTGCACAGACAGCTTGGTGGCGTCGATGGTCCGTGACACTCTGTTTCGACTCCGCCAAGAATCAACAGGACGCTTGCACACTCGGTGGCCATGCATCACATACACTGACAGCATGCTCTAATGTTCTCACTTTCATTTTGATTATCTTTCTGGGACGAGGTATGTCAGATGGTTCTAGTTCATGTCCACACCTACATATGATACACCGTGTCTATACAAATAGCCACGCGGACCCGTAATGTCGTCGACGCGCCACACCCCTCCCGAGAGCAAACCTCAACGCCAGATAATGGCTGGAGGATAATGGGAGATACGATGAGGCTATTGATTCCCGCACCCGGTATTGCGTAATGGCGGGCTTATCGCACGCTTGCATCCCGGAGTGCTGGGGTCGTGTCTAATGGGAACACAAGGTCAAGTTTCCCATTTGACTGCCTAAACACGATTGTCTCCTTTCGCAATTCCCCAAGTTGCCTTCGCCATCCATTTATCGCCTGGTCCCGACAACCCGTGTATGGCGTTGACGCGTCCTGAGATGGGTTCAGATTTGCCGGTCTCCTGTGGAGTGCGAACTAGTATACGGGGCAAGAGCCCGGGGGTCGATCTCATTAGTTACCCTCATCACTGGGTAATCACTCACTGAGTCGAACGCCTTTGCACCGCTAATTGTTCTATTCTCGCAACTACAGGGAGCTACGTTGGCGGTGCCCAGCGAGATCACGGTTATGAACAACGGGGTGTCTCCACCACATCTGATGCGCGACTATTAACAAATTCAGTATTCGTCGTAAGCGACAGTTCGTATTTAATCACACTGAACAGAGCAGGGCATCGTACTCACCTCTTGTTGTATCCTACGCGAATCAAACGCCATCGACTCATCGCAACCCTGGGTCGAGCAACTTGAGGCGTAATGGCAAATGCATTGCCCAGCGGCATACCTAAGGTGCCGCGAACGTGGAATGGAGACGAAATTGTAAACGTACGCTGGAGAAAGAGGCAATGAGGCATTGCACCGACCTTCTCCGATATCGCTGGTTGGACTGCGAGCTGCCTCCCACCGATGTGCTGGTCTTCCCAGAGTGACTCAGTGTATCCGGCCTGGCCATTCCTTGTTCTATCGAAGGGGTTCTCCGTCCGTAAAGTATTGTCGTGCGTACACCATCTTCATCCCGGGCACTGAGTTCTCCACGCGGATTGCAGCATCACGCAGACGTTGCACCTCCCCGTATTGAATGCGGAGGTTGCGGGGTCTGGAAGTACGGAGGACGATCGACGAGGCGACGGCCCGAAAACGTATATGAGGTCGATGCTGGCATGAAGGGCGTTCCCCAGCGAGTTGTATAGACGAAGAGAACAGTCGCAGTCGCGCCATATCCGCCATAAGCTTTCAACCTGCGGCCTAATCGCACGCACACTCGGCGGCGGAAAATACGACTGAAGCATTCTTAGGCGCAGTCGTCGATCCCGGCCATGCAAGTAGGCGTCGCCAACCTGGAATATTGAAGCACTATGGGAAGGACGTTTACGATCAGAACCGCAGTTCACCGCGGAAACCTAGGCACGCACGTGTGTTTTCTCTGGCTAGTGGCAATCTGCCTCGAGTCTCAAGCCCATCCCTCACAATTGAGCGAATGCGCCCGCCCTTAACAAGAGATTACGAGGATGTCGGGTGTTCGGCATATGAGGCCCGAGGGCTTCAGATTGACATTTTGCGGAAAATATGTGTCGATTCCGGTCTTAACATAGGATGGGATTGAAAGTCGTCGACTTGGAGGAGAAGAGACGGAAGTTGGAATGAAGGTCAGCGGCCAATTGGCGCTGTATCATCCGGCGCTTATCTCCATCTTATCCGATTTCACGATGTTCCAACGAGGTTCCAACTCAAATACATGTAACGCCACGAGTGCCCGTACTTCGTACTCCTACCAAACCACGTTTGGGCCCCGCGAAATCGGCACAGATGTGAAGATTATATGCAAGGATCTCGAAACTCGAAACACGTCCTCGCGTTATCTCGTATGCACGCCCTTCTTTCGAGATCTTTCCTCAACTTATAAACTTCCCACTCGCACGCTCCTCGAGCGTTATTGAGGCATACGTTTGCACGGTAGGATTAGTGGGCGTAGAAGGCGTAGGCAGACTTGCTTCCGGAGAGGGGACGTGGTCAAATTCTGGGGAATGACTCGGCACTGAAGTGCACAGTTATATTGCTTTAGTCAAACGGAAACTTCGCCCCCAAAACGAAGAACTCACCTTCCGTAACCACTTGTCTCCGTAAACTTTGCCCTCCGTTGACAAATCCAAGATCTATATCGTACTGAACGTTGCCAGTGTAAGATATGAGAATCTTCGCGTCGATGGCCCAACGTTCCCTTCGGCAGTCCAGCGGAATCAAACTTACGAATGACACCCAAGGTCGCGCCAGTTCACCACCTACTACGATTGTGTTCCACGCAGCGCAGAGTCGGAGAGTCCGATGTACGTTGTTAGTTTGAGCCAAGGTACGCCATTTCTGCTTTGACAATATCACTTGCCTTTATTGATGCACGCATACCGAGCCATCCCGCTCTACTTCGCCACAAAACTGCCACTGGTGTGCCTCACCGACCTGGTACACCGGAACTGGGGCATCGTCCGTTTTGGAGACACCGGGTGGGCCGACGCATGCTTACTCTACGGTCTCTATGTTCCTTCACTGCCGATGGTTGTCATATCCATATCTATCGCAATGAAAACTAGCTTTGGGGAACTGAATGGTTGATACATGAGCACGAAGTGTGCAAGTGACCTTACCACGGCCTCAGGATGACCTCGATGACCTCGAGTGCGTGAATATTTGGAAAATATGTTGCTTCATATGTCCCATCATGCATCATCAGCGCTGGCAGCCGTACCATGAATCCGCATCTTAGTGTTCGACCCAATACCCCGTAGTGTTACTTGCAAGCAATTTCCTGGTCAGAGATAGGGGTGGACGATTTCCGTGTCCGCCATTGTTTGGTCGCGTACACGAAAATCGGCCATATGACGTCTTCTGCTTATACGATTAGCGCATTCCCTGAGTGCATCCAGGAGGGAGGTAGGAGAAGGGACGGCGTCCGAAAAACAGTCTTCGCGGTAGATCAACGGTCGGATGAACTCAGTACGCTCTAGGTTACTGGGGTGATATGATTGCATGCACATGTACGGAATGACGGGAGACTCCGCGCATGTTGAACGTTACGTTGGACGTTGAACGGGCATAGCAGGGTCTCCCTCACGGTGCAGATATTCACCTGTGCATCCAACAATGATGAAGAGCTGCTGCTGCTTCCTTCTATCTCTATTTCCAGAGTCTGTAGTTCCGTGAACGTGACGCAAGTGCCGTCGTGGTTATGATCTGAATCAGGTTCGAGTTCAGCATAGTTCTAGGAAGGTCGATAAGATAAGATAATCATAGTGAGGTGTCAGTTCGGCCGCTTGGCTCCGTCACTCCTCTCTCTCAATCTCTAGACAAAAGTTGGAATTGTACAAACCCTCATGGATCTTATTGGTCCCCATCACTAGTGTCATATCGCATCGCAGAGTGGACTGCATTCCGGGGTCTAATCAACAGATGATGGGGACGTGAAATGATGTCGCTGAAACGCTGAAGCTTGAGCCCTTGATCCCTGGTGTGTGTCCCCGCGTCTGCTTCCCAGCTCGCGCAGCTTACAACGGTCTCTTCTAGTGAACTTGAAACCAAACCTTGGATGGCCAACATTCGTACAGGGTGAAGCCCTAGCCGAACAACAAGGGCATGAGGATACACAGTTACGACAGCCTTGCTCCCGCTGGCCTCACCTCACGTGCACATCGTCATTCCCTTGCTGGGCTTATCGCTAACTACTTGGGGCACGGACGTGGGCGTACTTGCTGTGGACCCAACCGAGGCCAGAGCGTTCTAATTGTGCCGCCTTCATCGCATCGAAAGCTTTCCGTGGGTCCAACGTAAGTCCGTATCGTCCTCACTATAGAGATTGCACTCGCGATTGCTTACCTGGCATCCTACAGTATAATAGCCGTACCGGAAGACATGGCAAACCTGCGTGAACAAGGACGCCTCCGGGATTTTGAGGTCGTACTACGAAGGCCCGGACTGCAGGATATATTGTAGCAATCCCCCAAGACCGTGGTATTCGCAGGCGTATCATCACGGAGTACGCCATTCATTCCCAACACACGTTTTATGGCTAATCCACTAGAAGTGCTCGTAACGACACACGAGCAAATTCGCCGTCCATGCTCGTACGCCACCCAGCCCCCCAAGCGTTCCAACTGGCCCTCGAGCTAGCAAAAATGCTCCACGTGTGGATGCGGGATACTCTATCGATACCTATGTGAGAGTACAAGAACCCCATCCGTGGTTTCTACTCATCTCTCTGCATAGGCCATGGGGCCTTCGTCGCTCCTGGACTATCACACGGGTCGTATTAGCATGCGTCGCCAAGCAGATCATCAACATATCCTAGAAGTTCGTCATTTGCTATCCTTCTGAAATCATCGTCTTAGATCCCTTTTACGCAGGGCTGGCCCAATTCTCACAATCCCTTTACATCTCGCGATCGCCATTGGCCCCGACGTGAATGGCGTCTGGGTCAAACCAGTTTCACCCCTCGTCACTTCCCCGCTTTCTGAGCGGCGACGGCAGAAGTCACTTCAGCCAACATCCTTGGATCTTAGATGAATAAGGACGGGGCAGACTATTCTGTGGGCGCCTGATCCCGGTGAGACAGCGGTGTACTCGATGCATGGACGCTCCTACGCCTATCAATTCGCGCACCGTTCTAATATCACCGCTTCAATCTCAAGGAGATCCTGGAGCGTACCAAGTCCGTTCAAAGGGTTTTCTCAATCGAAAACCGCCTCTTTAGCGCTGCCCCATTTCCTGCCACCCTCCTGGATGCGCTCGCGGGATATAATTGTCCCGTGAACAACATTGGGTCCAACGCAACATCGTCATCAATTGTGATTCCGCGAGGGCTAACCTCGTCCATGCTCTCGCGCGTTATCTTGTCGATCATAGCGATGACGCCAGCATCCATCTCCCCGCCCCTCGTGCGGCGTCAAGAGTTCTAAGCCAACTTTCCAAAGTCACCATGGTTGCCGCGCTGCAGAGACCCATCGTGATATCTCATCGGCATCGAACAGCACTTCAAGCCCTTTCCAAGAACTCTCGTCGTCGATGGAGGTGCTGAGACTACAATCAGCACATCCATCCCACCAAGGCAGATACAACACGCATAGAGCAGCGTCTCCGAAGACATCGCGAGTGGAATCGACCAGACGAGAAGATCTATTAACAGACGTGGGTATGCTGCAATTATATAATGATGATGCCGCCCTGCTACAGCGCCAAACAGTCCCGAATTGCGATTCTCAACTTCCCACGACTAACACACTTCAAATACGCGTGGTGACCGGTGACCGCCAAGTGGTATTCAACCATTATGTTCGTGCGATACCAGCCATTCAAGGCGTTGTACCTCGCCCTCGAGCTCGTATTCACTCTCTTTGTGCGAATTCCGTTATGGACTCTTCTGTCGATTCCTAGGTAAAGAGTTCGCTGTTCTTTATTTACCGCCAACTCAGTATACAGGTCGTGGCGCCCCCGTCGGTCTTGGCCTATCAGCCGGGTCATATTGGTGCGACTTGTCAAGCTACTCATGGAACTGCCACACAGGTTTGCCCACCGTTATTTTCTCAAGACAATCGCATTAACCTTCCTATTAGAACTGGCCCCATTATCGCCACTCCTTCGCATCTCGCAATCGCTCCAGGCCCCAGCGTGAACGGTGTATGGGTTGAAGCTGTTCCACAGCTTGTAACATTCCCTCTTTCCGAATGGGCAAACATAGCAGAAGTCACCGCAGTCAAGATCCCGGGGTATTGGATCCACAAGGCTGGTTCGAACCTATCTGTGGGCGACTCTCCCATGCCCGGTGAAAAAGTTGTCTACTCAATGCATGGTGGTTCCTACGCATATCAATCTGCGCATCCATCCGACCTCATCGCTTCCATCTCGAGGGGCATTCTAGAACATACCGAATCCATCCAAAGAGTCTTTTCTATTGAGTACCGTCTTTCTGGCGCTGCTCCATTTCCCGCTGCCCTTCTCGATGCACTCGCAGGCTATAATTATCTTGTCAATGACGTTGGTTTCAGCCCCTCGGATATCATTTTCGAAGGTGATTCCGCTGGGGCCAACCTCGCCCTCGCCCTTGCGCGGTATCTTGTCGAATGTCGTGATGATACCAGTGTCAAACTGCCGGCCCCTCCTGGAGCACTTTTGCTCCTTTCCCCCTGGGCTGACCTTTCCCATTCCCACGACATGGATCCTACAATGGACTCCTCGTCCCGTTTTGTCAACTCAGATTACACCGATATACGCCCCTCTTCACGTAGCGTCGAACATTATGTGGCAACCTTTTTGGGTCCTCTTGGTCCCGGCGCCGCGGAAACCAACCGGTACATTTCTCCTGCGTCGAAGAATGTTGTCGTCCCCAATATGGATAAAACAACGGACACCTTATTCAAGGACTTCCCCAGAACTTTCATCGTTGTCGGCGGTGCTGAGACTCTATATGATCAGATCAAGACCCTCATTAGCCGCATGTCTAGTGACTTGGGTGTAGGTGATGGGGTGAAAGATGGGGAAGGCAAAGTGTCGTACTACGAGGCTCCTGACGCCATTCACGACTATCTCGTATTCACATGGCACGAGCCTGAGCGTTCTCAGACGCTTAAAGCTATTGGCACTTGGGTTGATGCTGATAAGCCGTGATTTAGTAGTACGTGTAATGTTCCTTAGTCGACTTCAAGCCCGTCATGCCTATGTTACTTGTTGAACGACTTCCGGAATGTGAATTAGATTGATGATTCAGGCGAGAAGATCGTGGGATCTAACTGGATGGGTGATACAATATGTATACATCACGCACTCCTAAGCTCGCAGGACTCACGCTGCTATCTTGATTCGTAAGGCCGCTTCAAACCTCGCTTCACGCAACTGCCGACTATGGGCTCACAACAAGTAGTATTGATCACTGGTTGCTCCGATGGAGGCATAGGAGCTGCACTGTTGAGTACCCCATACTGTCGAGCCGGAAATCTATGCTGATAGGTCTACCAAGCGCTGCTGAGTTCGTAGAGAAAGAGTGTATGGTATACGTCACGGCGCGCTCCCTCGCGGCAATGTCAACGCTCACCCATGAAAACATGCTCATAAGTGCTGGCCCTGTCATTAGCAACATCGCCAAAGTTCAACCTGTCTATGAAGCTGCCGCTTGAAAAGGAAGCTACCGATAGGTGCGAAAGCCTCCTCGCCAAGCGACGACGTCATAGAGTGAGGGTAGACTCGAAGGTCTGCCGCGACGTTGGGGGGAAGGTGCTGCATCCGAGACTGACCGAGGAGCGCAAAACCTCCATTTGCTTTGGTTTCTGCTCGTCGGGACGCGGTTAGTAGCTGTCCGTGTGATGTTTCGTTGACGCTAATGAATCTTGTGTCATTGCCCCGGGTTAGAGGCGGTAATTTAAACAGTTCTAGTTCACGTCGACACCTACATAGGATACCTCTATGAAAACGACGGGCGTAAGCTTGTAGCCTGGAGGGCAGAGGCCAAGAAACTGGGGTGAGAGCGTCAGTGTCGATGGGAGAAGGAAATCGATGTGGATCAGGTTGCAGAGTCAAAGTTTTCGCGTCTGACTGCTCTGTTCGCGACGTACCGACGCGGGGGATCCACTCGTATTTTTCCACTTTCCTTCGTCCTGGCCCGTCTCGCTGTTCTTTGGTATATTCATCCTGCCCATAGTTGAGGTGAGCGCCATCCCGAGAGCGTAGCCAGGCCTCGTCAACTCCTTGATAGATCTTCAACTGCTGGCGAATCTACAAGCTCACAAAAGTCCTCTGGCACAGTCTAACGGGAGTTGCTCTCTCTTGCCTTCGCGAGGGCGGCTGGATCTGTTCCTTGTTCCAAGTTATCCACGGCGGCCCTGTGAGGATAGAATCCGACACGAAGCTTCGATGGCTCGTCATGCTCCTCCTTTTGCTCGCCATTTTCCTCAATGTGTCCATCGTGCTCGTTGTGTCGATATACCTGTCCAAACGTCGCCCAAAAGCGTGCATGTTCGAGTAAGTCTTGCATACTTACTCGTCTGTGTCTTCCAATGACCTGTCGTATAGAACGAAGAAATTGATAGATGGGATCATCCTGTGGACGATCTGTGCGTATCTCTTAATGCTGTCAACACTCAGAATACTGATGCGCGAAAAGCTACCTGCATGATTGGTTTGTACGTCTGAATCCGCGCGCTCGATCTTCCGTTGCTCCAAGCGACTGACTCTCCATAATTTCCAGGATACCGCACATAATATCTCTTGTCATGGTTAGTCCTTGAGTCCACTTGAAAGCAAGGCCTCCTCGTCTGATCCTTCTCCCTCTCCAGTTCGTAACGATGAAGGGAACACGTAAGTCCGTTCTATTCTTACTTTGGGATTCCCTTACGGTTGACTTGCACCGTAGTGGTATGGATGTGTCGTACCAATCACAACCAAGGGTGAGCCACAACAGCAGCACTGCACTTGACATCGCACCTTACTATTTTCCCCAGTCTTCGCGAATTGTCTGCTATCCGCGTATGTTCCTTGGGGAATTCCGATGGCCGACAAGGTCTGACCTATCACTTAGGTTGAACAACCGGCTGACAGACCTGAATGACCACCTCGGCCCTAACTCAATTGAGATGGCGCCTATGTTCGAGAGATCGAATGCGCCTACGACCGTCACTACCCATACAGTTCGCGGGGCTGACCGGGTGTCCGTTGTAAATCATGCCCCTAGTCTACCCACCGTCGGGTCTTCTTAGGCGACTGCATTAGTTATTGTCTCTACGCTCTAGACTTGAAGATTAGATAGTACGCAGGTATCAACCACTTAATGATTCGATGTATATCGATTGCGAGACACATACGCCCAGGAGCCAACATCTATACCTGCGTCAGATAATGTGCCATATTTTTGCGTAGGTCCACTTCAAACCACTACGAGGACCATGATTTGTTTTCCGTGTTTGTTTCAACGCCTATGGACCGTCTTGTACCGCTAGAATCAAGTCGTTACTCGGAGGTTAAGTGCAAGCGATGTGGCGAGGAATTTGAAGTTGGCTGAGTTCGAAACTGGCCTTGCTCTACTCCGGCTTCACTCCGTGTTCTCAACACTTGCAGGGGTGCGTATACACAGTCCGGATCTGTTTCGAGGACACCAGCAAGTGGACCTTTCATATGGCCAAACTTTATGGTACGAGCCAGTTCAACGTAGGATGTCATATTCCACAGACTTGCCAATGCAGCAAATTGACGCTGGTGGGGGTTGTATCAGATGATGTTTCCATTAGGCAAAGGAGCGTGAAGGGTGGATCCAGTGGACATCGGCGCAGTGGGCTTCGTCATGCAAAGTACGTCAATCTAGCGCACTCTCAGCATATTGGATGTGCGCAACCTACAGACCTCCTTCAACGTCTGAGGGAGAATGAATCCGTGTCGCGGCAAGCTTCTTCTCTTCATGGAAAGATAGTACTTCCGTATTGGAGGCTATTCTTAGGACCGAGTACACCAGGGTCGGCGTACCATGGGCGTCACCCACACATCCATTTTCCGGTTCCTCGACACACCTGCATTCCCCCTGGCACCACCACTTCAATGCCATCCTCCCCCATTCATCGCGCGCATGCATCTATCAGCGAACACGAGGTGGTCCACTTGAGCCCCGACATCACTGTCGTGCACCCGGGAGCGAGGCGCGCAGATGGTCACGCCGACAATCCAGCGTACGTCTCAGTTTAAGTATCCGGCAGCTATCACTGCAATCTCAACACGCCTCCAGGCTGGTACTGCTCTTTGGATGGAGTGAGTTCCGAGTACGACATCGCTTCGCAAGCCCGTGCTGACTCACCGAGCCGCAGCGGCCGCCCCCGAATCCCCGTTGCAGAAGTACGTTGAGGGTCACACCTCCGTGTTCCCTGCCGCCACCGTAGTAGTCGTGAGGGTCCACGCAGGTTTCTTCTTCAGAAGTATCAAAGCTCGAGTGTGTGTTCTCCACCTCTTTCACGATCAGAGAACTGACGGTCTGTCAGGAAGCGGTGTTGCAGCCGCTCTTGGATTATCTTACGGAGCGATTCTATGATCAGACTAAGAAGCCAGCTGGAGGTGTTCTGATACACGCCTTATCAAATGGTGTGTGATCCACTCCTTCCTCATCTCATCCTCGTGCACTCCTTCCTCATCTCATCCTCGTGCACTCATTCACGCACGACAGGCGGTGCCCTCCAACTCATGACTCTACACGGCATGCTGCGGCGACGCTTCCCTCCCAAAGGCCAGGATATAGCCACTTTAACCAAGTTTCCAGTCGCATTGGTCGTCGACTCCGCTCCAGGCGACAGCCAATACGCATCCATGCTCTCGTTCTTCACCATCCCGATGCGCACTCGCATCGCCCGCCTCGCGACCACCGCCGCCTTCTCCCTCGCCTACGTCGTCTACGCCAGCATCACCACCGCGCTCGGCGTCGACTTCTTCGCGGAGATGCATGCGTTCATGGCGGAGACGAGTGTGCTTCCGGGCCGCGTTGGCGCGACGCCGCGCCTGTACGTGTACTCCGACAACGACGAGATGGTGCGCGCTAAGGTCGTCGAGGAGCATGTGAGAAGGGTCAGAGGGTTGGGGTACACAGTTCGCGTCGAGAAGTTCGTGGGGAGCCGGCATGTGCAACATGCACGCAGCGATCCGGACCGCTATTGGGGAGCTATCAGAGAAACTTGGTCCGAAGCCTGTAAATGGGGTACTCAAGCCCGCCTGTAGGGCGTGTCAATGCGGAAGAAAGTACAAGATAATCTGGTCCTACTGTATACGTGTACAACTCGGAATCGAGCGCGACTACATCAAGAGAGAATCAAAGTACATACCGATACAGCCCACAGTTTCCCTCAAGCCTGGGAGACGTGATGTGTCTCCCTCGCATATATCTTTTCTTCCTTCCAAGTCATAGTTGCTATGTGATACTTCGCCTTTGGTTGGGGCACCACCTATTCCCAGACGATCCTGCTCAATCTTGCGGCGGGCACTGGCTCCCTACATTGATAATCAACCACACCATCGTGCGTTGTTGGAGAAAATGCTTCGGTTCGAGGTCTCGCAAGTACCATCCAAATATCTCATTTCTAAAACGACACCCAATAGCGGCCATCCATGCCTAACGGAACTCGGCCATGGATTGGATGCTCCGAGCCTCGAAACCACGGCACCGGTTCTCCCAGGAGGGAGCTTCGAGCTGCACACACCACATGCCAGTGCAGCGAAATATCGTTTCCAGGAGCAAGGACTGAGACCTGGCGATGGCGTGCGATCAATACCGAACCTTGGCCCCATGGACGCGTCGAGGGGAATGCAAGCAGATCACTTGCGGGGGAAGAGTTGGACAGGGGAATAGAAGATATCGAGCCAACAAGCGCGCAAAATGGAGGGTCGTGTAGTTTGGGCTTATCGAGGTCGCTACGCTCCCTACACTGCAATTTCGCGCTATCTCCCTGCGTTCCTCGTCTTCCACAAGCTCAAACTCAAACTCGAACTCTGGCGCGAAGCCAGATCGTCGAGATCAAATGTCCAATATCGCCACATGAGAGAAAGAGACTGAGACCGAGCGATGTGCAATGCCACAATGGTGACAAGGAATCGGCGTATTGGCGTTACAAGTAGAGACACTGGGGATGATGGACGCGGGTGGAGTGAAATGAAGACGAATACAAAGATGCCGCCGAAGGACCTCGATATCCCTGGAGCTTAAATTCAAGACCTCGTGAACCTCAGTTCAGAGGGTGTGGAGGCCATGGCCTAGAATGGTGTGCGCGATTCGCGTAGATGGACGTGGGTGAAGTCAGAAAGGGTTGGCGGCGGCAATGGTGTTGAGGCGGAGAGGAGACTCGTGGGCGAAGGAAAACTCCGACGAGGTGGAGATGGAAGCGTTCAGTCAACGCCCAAGCTTCAGTGCATTGCGAGAAAGGCCAATATGCCGCATTTGAAGCTCGCGCTTTACAATGATGGGGAACAACTCCTTTTTTTTTTTTTTTTTTTGGTCTCTGTTTTACGTCCTTCGGAGAATCTCCATGCGGACGGCACTGCGCTATGATACTCTGTGTCTACCAGTATGTATGTATGATAAATACCAAGGGCCCCTATGCCCGCCTTGACCCCCTAGCTCTTCAAGCACGACAGACGGACGGTCCAAGACCTCGTCCCCCTGCCGCCCAGCGAGTGAAACCGCTGTTAATCCGACGCTAGTGCATTATGGGGCGCTTCTGGTGTGGGTGTGTCGGCTGATTGGCTCATGGCCTCCCATGTGAGGTGCTCGTCCCGAGGGAGAGCGAGATCGAAGCTGTCAAGGTAAGAAGAAGAAAGTTGTCTTGAGGAGTCTTGAAGTGTCGTAGTGCCACCAGAACGAGGTCCTCCCTGACAGTATCCGGCTCGCACTCGAGCAAACCGCGGTAGGCGACCCACATTCACTGTCGCTCCGCCCCTACCCGCCCTTTCCTCTCTTTTCCTGCCTTCCTTTTAGCTCTCTTTTCCTCCAGCCTCGACCGCTTTTCTTTCAGTACGGCTGCCCTCTTTGGCGCCACCAGATCTCCCTCTAGGTTTCCGAATGGGGTGTTGAGACGTCCAGTGCGCCTGGCAAATGCGATGGTGGCCTCCATTCCGTTCGTTGTGGAGAGGAGAACCTTCAGAGGAAGGTCGAAATTCTTGCTCTCCGCTTGTAGCATGGCTCGTTCGATGTCGTAGGCTGGGCACTCAATGAGGAAGTGCCGGACAGTTTCCTCTTTGTCGTTGCAGTGTGGGCACATGGGCGAGGCGACTTTCTTTATTCGGAAGAGGTGCTGGTTCAGGGGGATGTGTCCAGTACGAAGTTGTGTGATAATGCTCGTTCGGCTCTTCTTCCAGTCGCCAACCAGTTCCAGATATTTCCCTACCTTGAGCGTTGGGTCAATCCTGACCAGTTTGGCCCTACGAGCAGACAGGCGCCAAGTGGCTTCCCATCGCAGTGGGATCTGCAAACGGGCAGCTTGACGTACCGCCGCCTTGCTGGAGGGTAGGGTGGATTCAAGCAGGGTGGGGGGATGCGCTGCTGGGCGGGCAGTACCTTGGGCAGCTTCCTTTGCCAGTGCATCCGCACGCTCATTGCCCGGGACGTCATCGTGGGCGGAGATCCAGTGCAAGCTGATTTGGAGGGGAGGGACGGTACCCAGTGCATTCTCCCTCGCGCGAATCAAGGTGTCCTCGATTTGCGAGAGGATGTATTGTCCTGTTCCTTTCCTGCCCGTCTCCACTCGCTGAATGACTGATTGATTGTCCATGTAGATTTCGACCTCGCCCTGTAAGTTGCTTGTCAGTATCTCGTTCGACGCCAGTAGGAGCCCCACCGCTTCAGCATCGAAAGTAGTGTTGTGAGTGGGTGGGCCTAGAGTATGGCTCAGCGCCGCGATCTCCTCGTTTCCATGGTAGACCACCGCTGCCGCTCCTACCCCACCTTCATAGCCAGATCCGTCGACATAGATTTTGTAGTCTGCGGCTGAGGTGGCTTCTCGTGCTTTCGAATCGTCGCGGGTAGTGGCGATGTGCGCAGGGATAGGGCAGGCTGCGCCCAAAGCTCTGTGGGATGTGGGTAGGATGGTCTCCGTCCGTGCTGGTTGGATATCGTACAGTCGCATAAGTGCGATGATAGGCGGAGTGTGACCGCCGTGGTAGCAGTGAGTCCAAGAGAGGATTTCTCCTATTGGATGGGAGTCCGGTAGTGTGGCCGCGCGCGCTGCGTTCCTGTGGCAAATGAAGTCCAGGGTGTACTCCAGAGGGGGAATGCTGGCGTGAAGGTCCAGGATGTCGCTGGCTGTGGTGCGCATGGCCCCGGAGATTGCCAGTGCCGCTGTACGTTGCGCTTTGACCAGAGTTCTCAGCGTTCTGACTGACCCGACCCGTCGTTTGCGCCCCGCTGGCAGGCGGACTGGGGTGTACCACACGTCTAGTGCGTAAGTTAGTTTGGGGATGGCGACTGCCAGGTAGAGTTGTCGGAGGAGCCTGGAGCTGATGCCTCCCCCGACACGTCCCAGTCTCTTGAAAGTGTTGATCCATTGAATTGTTTTGCCAAGGGCTGCCGCCGTTTGCTCCCTCCACTGGAGATGTTCGTCGATGATAATCCCTAGGATCTTGTAGGAGGTCTCGCGCGCCACCTCCTTATCTAACAATGTCAGTACGGGGTGCTCAACTTGCCTGGGTGTGAAATTCATGATTCTGAGCTTGCTCGCCTCGAAACGTGAGTTGTGATTGGCAGACCACTCATAGGCGCCATGCCGACGAGTCATCATGTTCTTTAGCTTGCGGTGTGCACCCTTGATGGTATTTGCCTCTGCTATGAAAGTGACGTCGTCCACGTACGCGATGGCTGCCTCTCCTTTTGCGGCTATTGGGATGTCTACAAGGTCAGCGTTATAGAAGAGGTAGAGAATCATGGAGATGGGGTCTCCTTGCCCGATCCCGTTGTCGACGTTAATCCAGTCAGATTTGTAGTCGTCGAATACCATCGTAGTTTGTCTGCCGACCAGAAGGCTCCGTATGAAGGAGACGAAATTGGCTGGGATTCTTCGCTTCCGTAGATTTGTAAGAAGTTGCTCCGTCACTGCGTTTGGGAAGGCCGCCTCAATGTCAAGGAAGAGCGCTGACACCACCTTCCCCCTGCTCCAGGCCTGCTTGATCTTGGTGGTGAGGGTGTGCAGTGCGTCGCTTGTAGTTCTTCCGGGTCTGCCTCCGAAGTGGTGGCTTGGCAGCAGGTCGTGCTTTTCGCACATTTCCACCAGGTCCTCCGTTACCAGTGCCGTGAGGACTTTGGCCATGGTGTTGAGTAGGGCGATTGGTCTCCAGGCCTTGGCGAGGTCGTATCGTGGTTTGCCTGGTTTTTTCAGCACGATGGTGGTCCATCTTTTCCAGACCTGTGGGTAGTGATTCAGTCGGAACACTGCTTCGTATATTCTGGTCAGTATCGGCGCGAGTGTGTCACTACACCTCATGAGGACCACATTGGGGATGCCATCTGGCCCGCAGACTTTGAATGGTTTGAGTCTTGCGATCACGTTCCTTGTCCTGTGAATCGATGCCGCGAAATCGTGTTCCACCGGCTCCGGGAGTACCTCTGGTACCGTAGCTGTGAAGTTAGCCGGGCGTTGAGGGAAGAACATGTCAGCGAGCATGCGGCCCTTCTCTTCATTGGAGGCAGCCTCCTTCTGAGAGCCGTCGGGCATGTTGAATTTTAACGAGGGGACACGCACCTTACCTCCATCCGATCCCGGGCTGGAGATGTACTTGTTGGCGATCCAGAGTTCCTGCGGGTCGAGGTCCTCCAAGAAGTCTTCCCAGTGCGCTAGTTTAACCTCTTCAAGTCGCTGCTTGTACTTAGTACCAAGTTGCCGAGCTTCGTCATGAATCGGAGAGGGGACATTCCGCAGCTTGTGTGAGGTGCGCTTAGCTCTCGTGTACTGGGTGCGTAACGAATCCAGTTCTGCGTTCCACCACCTGCGGTTGAAGGGGGCGGTGCCACTTTCCTTGATGGTGTCTGCGATGGTTTCCTGTAGAAGCTGTGTGAGTGTGTCAACGGCCTGGTCGATATCCTGAGGTGTGCGCAGGTGGTTAGGAATCCCTGCGAAGGGGAGACGGGATGTAAGCTCCTCGTTGAAGACTTTCCAGTCTGCTAGTCGGAAGTTGCGTGTTCGGCGTTCCTCGGCAAGGTTGGTGGAGAGGTCGAGGATGGTATCCACCGGGTAGTGGTCAGCGCCTGCGGGAGATTCCCCAGGGAGGACCTCGCAAACCAAAACTCTGTCCATAAGATCAGCTGACACGAAAACATTATCTACCCGATACTCTTTCTTCGTCACCATATGCTCCAGGGTGGGAGTTCCGGGTTCGAGGGCCATCTCCATGTTGAAGTCACCTGTGAGGTCAATGAGAAGCTGCGCATCCTCGCGGGCCTTATCTGTGAAGAGGTGGTGGTCAGCCGGATTATCCCACCACTCATGGTGACGATTGAAGTCTCCTGCCCAGATCATAAGGGGGTTCCCATGTTTTCGTTGCAGGTCCAGGGCGGCTCTCCGAGTACTGTCCAGTGCGCTTGAGTGGTCGCAGTCGTTGTAGATATTGAAGATGTAGATGTCGCCGGCGTTGGAGGTGAGGCGCAGAGCCGTAACATCACCAGTGCCTGGTATGGGTAGCTGGTCGTATGCGTCAGTACTGATCCTGCTGTTTACCAAGATCAGGGAGCGTGTGGGGTGCAGGTTGTCGCCCTGTGAGTATGGATATAGCGTGATCCAGTTGCGGTTAGTACGTGTAAGTTGGGCGTGGCAGAGGTAAGGTTCTTGAATTAGTAGGATGTCGTATTCTTCGTGGAGTGGGGAGTTAGAGATGGTGTGCTGCGCTGTGAGAGATTTGTTGAGATTGTATTGTCGGATTCGTATACTGTTGGGGGATTCGTCAGTCATGAGTCAACGGGCGTGGGGGACTTCTCTGTTGTTTGTGGGGGGGGGGTCCTGATCCATGGGCGGGTCCCAGGAGGAGTCCGCCCAGTCGGTGCCGGGGGAGTGGCGAGTGTGAGGCCGGCGAGTGAGTGCGGCTTCTGGGCGTGGTTTAAGGCTGTCTGCGATCGATGTCTGGCGAGGCTGGATCTTCTTCGACTGCTGCCAATCGCAGTCCAGAAGAGTGTGGGTCGAGACGCGCCCCGAGTAGAGTGGGGCGCATCGCTGAGTCCAGGGTTCTTCTGTGGGGAAGAAAGGGAGGCGGTTACTCTCAAGGCGTTCGTCAAGTGCTCGTTGTAGCTTGAGGCGGCTTGGACAGGTTCGCTCCCAGCTTGCGTGCCCCCCAGTCCTACACGCGATGCAGGCGTGAGCTTCTTTGCGGAACAGTTGGGGGCAATCCCCGTCTTCATCATGTTGCTGGGCACAGGTGGCGCAGGTAGTAGAAGTGGCGGTACAACCACTGGCGATGTGGCCGTAGTTTTGGCATTTGAGACACCGGAGCGGTTCCACTTTGCATTTGTGACAGCGGTAGTTGGTATCCATGAAAAGAAGACCCTGTCGAAGGATGAGGTTAGCACTGCTAGGAGAGTTAAAAGTGATGGTTGCGTGTCCGAATTGCTGATTTTTCCCTCGTCTTTCAGCTGGTTTCATCCACTTTATGAGGATGATAGAGTGCGGCGGGAGGTCATTCTCCTCTTCGATGTTTCGGCAGGTTTCCTCGTCGTCGATGCTGTGTTCCACCGGGAGGTAGAGGGCCTTGACAGTATATTTCTTTTCCCTGATAGTGGCTCCTGGACTGAAGGCGGCGACAAAGTCCTCGAGGCGCCCCTCCGTGGTGATCCACTCTTTGGCAGCTGCAAGGTTAGCCTCTAAGAGTATCCCACCTTTTTCAAGTTTCGTGCAGCCAACGAAAGCCCAGGCGGGCTTGCCTCCGATTCGGTGAAGTGCCTCGGTGGCTTCTTTGGCGATCCTGATGGCCCCCACTGTAGCGGGGTAAAGAGGGGTCTTACTCGTGGGTGGGTCGACCAAGATGCGCCTGCGGTCTCGCTCCAGCCTGGCTTGGGTGGAGGGTTGAAGGAGTGTCTGGTGTGGGGACGGGGGTAGAGGGGCGTTAGCGGCGACCACGTTGGCGAAAGACTTGGGGGCATGCTCCGTTGTGGCTTTTAAATTGCCGGCGGTTACCTTGAGGATGTCAGTGCTTTTGTCCAGTTCCCGACTTGCCTTAAGTACTCCTTGTTTGATTGCGACCAGGGTGTTTGTGGAGAGATCATCTAGTTTTTTGGCAAGGTTCCCTGAGATTTCTTTGGCGGCATCCCGCAGGGTAGTCGTGGCTTGTTCCGAGGCTTGACGAAGGAGGAGCTCGTTTTGAATAGTAGCGAGGGCGTGCAAGAGCTCGCTTGTTCCTGTATCTTGTAGGCGAGCCGCTATCTTGAAGAGAGAGTTAGTAACGAATTGCAGATCCATTTTACCTATAAGGCGGAACATCCCCGAATTTCGAAGATGCTGGGTAGCTATATCGAAGGGAGTGTCCGCCGTTATTTGGGGTACCGGGGGCTTGGCTCGTTTCTGCAAGCGTTTGCCGGATTTGCGTGTGGCGGGGGGAGGCGAGTCTGTCGTGTTTGCTGGGGCAGCAGCCGTGGGCGAGTGGGAGGCTGCCGTGGGGACGTCCTTACGCTTGAGGCCTGCCAGGGAGCTGGTGGAGAGGGAGAAGGGGAGTACGCTTTGCTGTAGCGGAGGGCGAGGGTGGGGTGTCGGTGTCGGTGTCTCTAGATGTGGAGGGGGGTCCCGTCGTGCTGGCGTAGGAGCGGGGGTGTGAACCCTCCCTCCCGATTTACGCAATGCTGCTGCTTCATTGCCGGCTTTCAACGCTGCCAGGGCTGAGTCGAGAGCAGTGTTGTCGAGGGCGGGGTGAAAATCATCTTCATCGTCGCTGTCCTCGTGTGAGGCCTTGCGCCGCGTGGCCTGACTGCTGGTGGCTGGTCTCACGCGGTTTGGTACCACGTTACTGTCAGCTGAGCGAGTAGGGCGTAGCCAGTCGCTTAAGTTAAACCCGGGCTTGCTTCCCGGGTTGTTGCTGTTCATATTACCTCTATATCTTCCCTTTTCTTGCGAACCTACCTTTGTCGAGCCCGTTGACGAACGGGCGCTTAAATTTTCAGGTCGTGGTAAAAGGAAGAGAGAGGACCCGAACAACTCCTTAATCCATCAATGCCATCACCTCTACCGCGCCTCAGAGCACATCGCCGCTTGATTGAAACAGAATCTCTGCACGATGCCCAGTAAAGGGACACGAGCGCGAGCACAGGATTTGATATGGAGCAACAATGTCCATATCCATATATCAGGCAGGCACCTGTGGATGAGCGAAGACATGAGCAAGCGCCTCGATTGTACCAGGAGGAGTGTGGGTGGACGTGGGATGAGGAAGGGGAGAGATAAAAAAGACGAGACACGTACATGTACGCCCAAGCCCTATTCTGTGGAGACGAGATCCCATACTACTGACACTGTAGCCGCGGGCTTTCCAACGGTCTTCGCGGAGGAAGAGGATACAGGGACACCGGGGCCGCTGGTTGCTGAAGGCGAGAAGGGGTAAGCGGTGTCAGTCGGAATGGATACCTGACGGCTGCGTCAGTCGGACTCCGACAGAAATCGAAGGGGGGACGGATGAAAAGCGTACCACGACAGCGCCCTGCGCCAGAGTACGCTACAAGCAGTATCGCGAGTATCCTAGCCACCGATCCCCTTCTCCAACGTCGTGCTGCCTGCTCGGGGTCGCCGATTATGCCTGTGCAACTTGAGGCGCTGTTTTGTTGTTGACAGTGTAGGCGCCGCTTCACGGACAATTGAAACTTGTCAAGTTCATTCAAACAGGTCACATCAGTTCTCAAGAGGTCGTTTCAGAGAAGATATACATATAGACCATACTATTCGCCCACACCCCAAACACAGAATGTAAAACTCGACGGACTATATCATTGCGCGAATTGAATGGGGTTGAGTCGTACATCATTGTCGGTATGCCCAACACTGGATAGTTCCCCGTTGTGGAATGGATCACTCCTGGCGATCTTGCGTATGTGGAGTATCATACGGCTGCCCAAGATGGAGTGTATCACACACTCGACCCTTCATAATAATTCGGAGAACATCAGAGTCAATCACATAGGTACGACCACGAGACTTACGACGCAAGAAGGAAAGTGTTGCGCTAGGTGAGAGAATCGTGTATATCAACGGCGTACTTAAATACCGAAGCGCGAGGAATGCTCACTGGGGATACCTTTATGACAATGATGTTAATAACGGAGAGAACTGAACCATGGAAACGTGAGCAACGAGACAACCTTGACGTACCCGCCGTGCTAGTTGACCTACTCACCGAACAAATACAAATAATACAGGATCCCTAGATGCGCAAGGCGTGAGCGTAGAGGCCAGGGATATAAATGTGCTCGCCATCTCGATAGATAACCTTGAACAGGGCTGTATTACTACCGCTTCGGTAGCTAATGTACCCACGATAAGCCACCAAAATCAGGATACCTTCGAATCGGCATCGCTCATGAGTACCTTAGAATTGAACGTCAAGGGGGAGTCTCACCGGCTTCATATACCATTAGAAACGCCCAGACAATGGACAATAATCACGGTACTAAATACTGTCAGCGGTGGATTAACGTAGGCTAAAATCATGAACACGACGTGATACTAACGAACAACACTCTGGATACCATTGAGAAACACGAAGTGGACTATGAAGGCCAAGAAGAGTCACTGCTTCTAACTGCTGGTGCTCTCTAATTTGGGCGGCCAATTCCTGCATTTCCGCGATCGAAGACATTGCTGGAGTCGACAAATTGAATAACTGGCAGCAATCTGCGAAAGCTGGAGACACAGGAACAGGTCTTGTTGGGCGATCTTTGTATTCGCGTTGTATTCATGATCTCAGTCAATCAATCAATCGAGAACTGGTATTACGCCGATCACTTGCCATATTGTACTCCAGTTCGTGTTGATTGTGAGAGACTCGTCGTAGCTTGTATCAATGCTGCGGAAGCCACAAAACCACAGGTGACGGACTGCGGACTGCTAGGTGAGTAGCATTTCATGAATCAACAAAGCTGCACTTACTCGTTACAAATATTTCGTACTCCAAAGACCTACTGGCTCCCTGAAACAGCCATGATTTGATCGAAGTTCCTTCATATGAAGCTCACGCACGGATTCGCGCGAGCCTTCCCAACGAGTAGAGATATCACTTTGATGTCTGATATGCTGATTCGGTGATATATTGACACGCTGACACAATGACACACGGCGGTTTCTCAATGTGGAGCACATGGTGTGAGTTCTATTGCTTTAACCGCAGTACGGTCCAATCGCCCAAGGGCTCGAGCTTGCGTCCAGATCAGTTATATCGCAGATCATCACGCTGAGTGATGTATTCTAGCACTAGAAGCGGGGGTATCTAGCGGAGACGACATGCAGTGAGATTCTTTGGCGCCGCGACAGTTCACTCACTGTGCCATGGTGAAGAGTGCGCGATATTAAGGAGGCCTTGTGCGGCTTGTTGGAATGTTGATACACCTGAAACTGTCTTGGCTTGGAAGTACGAGCTCGCAGCTTCTATCAGGGCGGGGCGTACGAGTGGCGAACAGAATTCGAAGTGGGAGAGGAAAAAGCGAAGCGGAAGAAGGTCCAAGGACCAAGAGCTTGATAGATCTATGGGACCTATAAGGACTCACACGGTTGATCACAGTCAGAAACACACTGACCGTAACGGCCCGAGTGCTCGGAAGGAAGTACTTACACACGATAGCTTCTCCCATCGATGGGCGTCGAATCTGCAACTGGTGGGAGGATTGACAATGACTACATGTTGAAGGTGGCATTGGCTGGCCGCAGTGGTCACCAATACTTAAGTATCGAGTCGGGAGTTGGGGAGGGCATGTCAATTTCGAACTCAGCGAACTTGGTCAAACTTCGCTTCCATCCAACCTCCGAGTATGGACTTGATTCGGGCGGTCCAAGACGGTCCATAGGCGTTGGCACAGTCACTTCAAACCATTAATGGCACCTCAAATCGAGGCCAGACAGTGGTAAAGATTTACTTTTGTCGAATTCTTGGGTTTCAAGCTTGCTATCCTACGCTCTTCATCTCATGCAAAGCTACTCAAACGATATTTTGGCAGAGAAGATCCGGCGTGACTGGCGATTCTGGTTGATATCCATGTCGATAGCGATGTCCCTGCTCATATCGGCACTGGAACTGGTGAGATTGACTTGCAATGGCTTTTCAACGACTCTCTCACATCTGCACAGTCAGTTGGTTTGACTGCACTACCTGCAATTGTCGAAGACCTTGATGGGTCAGACTTTGCGTGAATGGGTTCCGCATATGCTCTTTACGCACCGTATTTTGTGCCATTGAGTGGTGGGCTTGCACAGGTATATCCTCTTCACCCTGTAAACTCAAGGCTTGTGCTCATTTTTTACGGCTTTAGGTCTTTGGGCGTAGGCCCGTTATGTTGGGTTCGCTGCTTTTCTTCGCTCCGGGGAGCGCCCTTTGGGGTGCAGCGAGGTCCATGAATTTTTTGATCGCCGCCCGTAGTGAGTGCTGAGCTTTCATACTAGTATGGCCTCTGTCGCCATTGACAACTTGTTTCCAGCTGCTCAAGGAGTTGGAGGTGGTGGGATAGCCTCGCTGATGCAGATTATTCTGTCCGACTTGGTCCCGTTGCGTGAATGTGGTATATTCAACGGGTTCATCGGGATGTAAGTTTCTGTACTCAACACTGAGAACATACACCGACGTTGCTAAGTAGAGCTTGGGCCATTGCTGCTGGAACGGGCCCGGTCATTGGTGGATCTCTTGCTCAAAATGGACAGTCACACCGTGCACGGATTTGTAGTTTTACACTGGAACTGAAGAAAGTACGGTAAAAGTATTCAGATTACTTTCTCGGTACTCTCGGGTGCAATATCAGAGAAGTATTGATCAGAAATTTCCTTATATGGCAATTTCTGCTCAATACTTTCCTAATATTCAGCTCAAAAGTACCAAGGAAATAAACCACTTACTTTCACCTTACTTTTAACAATCCCAGTTTAAAGGTACGTATCAGCGCACGGTGTGAGTGGTGATGGCTTTTCTGTATGTGCTCAGTACTCATCCTCCTTTATTTTTCTCTCCTCATTATAACGCAAAATATATCTCAATCTACCGGTCTGCGGATTAGCCACAGCCTTCGTCTTTGTGTTTCTCAAACTTCGCACACCAAGCGGAACGCTCCGAGAGAAGATGGGCGTATGGACTGGATGTACGTGCGGAATTTGTTGGTTGTGGCATACTTTTGTGCCGAAATATTTTGTAGCGGGAACCTGATTGTCGTCGCAGCGACCACATCCTGTGTCATTGCCTTGACCTGGAGTGGTGTCCAATTTCCATGGAGTTCGTCGCACGTTCTCGTACCGCTCATTGTCGGTCTTCTGGGCCTCGCTGCTTTCCTCATTTACGAGGCATATGTTCCTCGAAACCCCGTCGTGGGTGTTACTCATCATTCATCATTTTCATTCGTTGACTAAAGCCCGGTATTTTAACCCAGGTCCCATTTACAATCTCACAGGCCTCAGTGGGTTTGCTCAAATTTTCATAATGCCAATCGTCATGCTAGCCCTCGTTCGTACGCCTTCAGTTCGGTGAATTTGAATGGGGCCCGAAGGCCTGACAAGTAACTAACTGGTAACGTCACCTCTTCCCCTAGACTACATCTCTGTCTACTTCCAAGCATGCAAGGGGGCGTCACCCATAGCCTCTGGGGTCTCGATGTTTGGCGTAGCCTTCGTCCTCACACCCGCAGGGATAATTGGCAGCATCTCCGTCGCAGCCACCAAGCAATATCGGCCACAGCTCTGGCTCTCGTGGGCGCTGACAATGATTGGATGCAGTTTGATATCTACGCTCCATGCCGACTCGTCGTGAGCGAGGGCTGTAGCGTTTCAGGTAGTAGTGTGTATGGGGCTGGGCGTGGTCAGTTCCACAACGTATTTCCCTGCACCTCTCAATGTGCAGATGCCTCGGAGCAGGTAGCGAATACCTCCCCAAGACCAATTCAGACGCTAGGCCTAAGGAACCTTACTAGGCTGAGAAACTGAGTGAATACGATAACCTACGGATGGATATGACCAGTAAGTCACCCTCGGCTATCGCTATGCTCTCGTTACAGTCTAAATGCAACAATGTATTGTAGACAATGCAGGACGCAAGGAGACGATATCACTTACGTGCCTCCTCCTGTGGCTTCTCCTCTCCTTCAACGCAGCTTTAGTCGTCTTTATTGTTGGTCCGCGCTGGTCCTCACTTGCATCATGGTCGTCAGCAGCGCCCTGCTCGTGGTCAAAGTCGTAGTGCTCAATCACGGTGGTCCAGACAGCGATGCCGTTCGCCTCAACATCTCGTATTCATACGTACACGCCGGTAAGGACAGGTGACACTGCCTTCGGCGGGACAAGTTACTGATATCCCTTGTCACTTTTCATCAACATCGACGAATTTCCTCCTACCTCGCCGCCCTGATCATTGACCACAATTATCTGGCTGACGACTCCGATCGCCTATTCGAGGACATCTAGCACCGATCGAGCTGACTCGGCCTCGTCAGGCTGCCACGGTCTTGTGCTAACTGCGCATGGGGTATGTAATTGGTGTGTGGTGTTGGGAGCTGTCGGGATGAGCGTAAATTACGAACTCAGGTGAGCAGGCATCTATCCTCGATAAACAAGTGGGAGATTGACAGCTCATTCCGTCGAATCTCTCCAAGGTTGGTCATCATGGTGCGAATGGACACCAGGTTCGGTCAACGCAGCAGAGGGCATCTAGGGAAAGGTGAGTTGGCGCTCCAATCATGTACGCAGACAGGAGATGACTTACCCTTCTCATGGCCGTCCTTCCCATGCCCATTCAAGAGCTGACCCAGCTATTCACCCCTCCTGCTCCCGTGATCTGTACTCGGGCCTCTCATCGTCCTGGCTCACAGCCGCGTCTTTTTCTTTGTCGCTTGTTGACGGTACGCACTGTCATGGTTGCCGATTCATATGCTTTGATCGTGGGGAATTGTGGTGCTTTGGAGTACATGACGGTTGTACATAGGAATGTGGACGGCGAGCAGGAAGTCGAGATGGTTCGGTTGCAAACTTGCGACACGTCAGCTACGATTATCTTATCCTATCGAGGTTCGAACCACTTGACGTCTTTTGTTTACAGCCATTCGAATTCCTTCCAAGATACCTTCTCTGCATGTTCGCGTCATAGCAGACAGAGAAGCAACAAAGAAGTCATCGGGTCGGCCAGAAATGGCACCTTGAAGCTGGCTACGAGAATTGAAGAAAGGTGTGGACGACGCGTTCAGAAATGTCATGCATCTTAAACTTTCTTTCTCATGGAGGTATTCTGTCTTCCCCTGCCCAACACCATCCCTGTCAAAACTAGTACTCTTCCAATTGTCGGGTATTTGCTGTTGACCCACCTCTACGCCTTTTTTACTGGCAATTTCGTTTTGTTTCACTTTGCTTGCGCCGTCCGTTCCTTCTTTCCTGAATTGTATTTGACGTCTCACCCCCCTTCCACCTTTGCCTAGTATCCCCACTTTACCACAAGGTCGTTCACTCTCCTACCTCTGGTCTGCTCATACCCATTTTGGTTTGTCCGTCCGCAACATTGACTACCGATAGATATGTACTCATAGACTGGTCAATATGTATATGGACACAGACATGGAAATTTTGAATACACCTTGATGTCGGGAGCACGGGTGTCAATGTAAGATACCCAAGGTCACACTTGAAACGGATCCACTTTGGTGGATGCCATTGCCAGAATTCACCACCCAGTGCGTGACTTGACATCATGCCTTTCATGTGTCCGTGCATTCATGGAAGACATGCTAAAATCGATGAAATTGAATAGGATGGAGCCTTATATCAGTGCCACTATCTTCAACATTTGATAGTTCCCCTGAGCCAAATGGATCACGACTGGCTAGGTCACGGATGTGAAGGATCACACGACTGGCCAGGACGGAGTGGAACACACGCTCGAGCCTGAAGGATATTATGGGTGACTACAAGGAACAGTTAGTCCAATGGAGGTGTAACGTACGCGGCAAGCAGGGTGATATATCTCTGTATGAGCACATATGTGTATCAGTCACCAAGTAATCCGATACATGGACAAAATGCCCACCGGGAATGCTTTAATGACAGCAATGTTGATGAGGGAGAGAACTAAATGACAGGGCATCAGAACTTGAGCAAGACATCACCTAAGCGTGTGCTTACTTACCGAATAGATACAAGTAATAAAGGATGCCTAAATGAAAGTTAGTGAACAGGATGTCGGGTGTACACATAAGCCGGCATACCGTCTCGATAAACGGCTGTGAACAAAGCTGTATTACCACCACTGCAGTACCCGATGTACCCGCGATATGCCATTAATATTAGAATACCTTGGTCATCTGTGAGCATACCTCAACGACGACACAGTTGCTGCTCACCGGCTTGGTACACCATAAGAAGTGCCCAGGAGACAAACAATATTTGATTGGCAGCCACTAAATTGCAGCCGACAAAACTAGGATAGGGGGCTGGGTCAACTGTGGTGCATTTAGCCCTCACGAGTTGCTGCTATCAGGGTCTAGCTTACACTGGAGGGACTTTGTGAAGATGGCCATCACAGCGAATTTTGGGCCCCAAACGGCAGCGAAGAAGAGTAATAGAATGGCAGCGAGTCTGCGATCCCTGCGCCAAATTGCCCATGTGCGAATTGTCAAGATAACTTGGGGACGTTATGAGCTTCACAATGCGTCGAGGTATTGCTAAAGGTGCACCAACTTTCCGTTACAGAAATTCCGATGACATACAACCCTAATGTGCTCCAAGTCAATGCTGGAACACCATGCAATGGAAATGAGGCCACCTACAGCCTGTTGCTTGGAAAGAGAGCATACAGGCATCGCGCGGGATACCAAGCACGAAATCATCTATATATGACGGGGTATGTAGGTGGTAAGTGGGGTTGGGGGAAGAGGACTCACGCCAAAGGCCGTTGATCGTGTCAACGAATGGGAGGTAACGGTTGAGAATATAGAGCATTGTGGTCCAACTCCAGCCAGAGTGATAGAACCAAATCAGAGAGACCTCCAGATCGAAGGTGATTATATAGTCATAGACCTAGAAATAGTGAGTACAATGAGCATCGTCGAAGCATTGTTTGCGTACCAGTATAATCGCACTTGATACTGCCGAAAGCGAATAAGTCAAAAGATATGACCTGGTAAGGAGGCGATACTAACAGACGAGACACTGCATTCTGATTAGTTATAATGGCAGCAATTATGATGTTTGGAGTACTCACCGCGTCGAGCCGTTGGTCCTTTGCGAGTTGAATGATGAATTCTGGAGTTTCTTCTATTGAAGGCATTGGTGGGATGTGTCTGGATCCTTGGGGTAGAAGGCGAAATGGACAGGTATCATCGTTAGGTGCTTTTAAATGGCATGTGGTATCGGGGGATTGTTCCCCGAACCTTGATCACTGCAACTCCGACAAGAAGTTGACGGTGCGAGACGCTGTAAGCAGTGTAGCTGCATTTTGCGAATCACCGAGGCCAGAGAATAACCATCACCTTGATGTTATTCCTTGAACACGACAGGCCTGATACTCCGAGCTTGTACGCGTTTTCAACATTCCAAAGTGAGGAGTACCATGGTTGAAAGGATAGCCGACTACACCAAGAACGCCCAAGGATCGGGAAGATTGAGCCCGCAACATCATGTTCAGTGTTGCAAGACATAGGTATCGGACCACCGCTGAATTTCGCCGGCATTTCGATACGATGAAAGCGGTGCAGACACAATGTGTCATTGCTAAATTCGCAACAAAGTTCCCTTCTAAACATAGCACAGATACCAGGAAGCTCGGGGCTCTGAACAGTCGGCCAACATGACGATCACCGTGTCAAGGAGCTGATTGATGAACATGAAAGCTCACAGACACTTCGACACGGCATCATGTTGACTAGTACCATCGCCACTTCTTTGATCATCTATGCGCTAGAAGCTTGGGCGCGCCTTGCAAGCACCGCGTTCTCGTCCGTTGCATCAGCCTTCCTGTGGATAGCCAATAAATCAGCTGAATGCTCCCACTACTCACTTCGTACAAGTGTGCAAGAACGAGGATACACTCCGCCTTCGAGTTCTCTCTATGTGCTGTGTCAACGCAGCTTAGTGAAGCACCGACACCCCGTTGGTGATCAAACTCACAGCAACTCTGTGATCATCGATCAACGCCGGAAGTCAAACTGATCGCAGCCTCCGGCGCAGGCTGATATCGATCACATGTGGGCCAAGCCGTGGTCAGCTGGAAGGAATTGCTCAGAGTGAGTAGAAATAGACCTTCGGCCCAGAGATGTAGACCATCACTCAACTCTAGGCGAAGTCATATACGTGGCGGTCGGGGCGTTCTTTTGAATGGTCATGTTTGACGAGAGAAAAGGCGCGAGGCCGGTCCACATTAGCATTTTCCGTCATGAGAGGGACTAGAGCCAAAACGGAGTTGATGATCGTACGTTGCGGCAAGACGAACAAGACAAAGCCCTCCCTTGAGGAGTAGCTTGGGTGGACATATATAACCAGCGCGCGAAGTATTGTTCAGAACAACGACATTGTTCGACGCCAACGAGATATATTGGTTGGTCTCTGGAGCACGGCAACCATGGAGACCTAGGGAGCTGGGTTGAAATTCTCGACGCCGCAAGCGGGGAGATGGATGCTGGCGTCATCGCAATGCCCGACAAGATAACGCACGAGAGCATCGGCGAGGTTACACCTCGCGGAATCTCATATGATGACAATGTTGAGTGGAAACGAATATTGTTCACGAGATAATCATATCCCACGGGCGAATCCAGGAGGGAGGCGGGAAACGGAGCAGCGCCCGAGACGCGGTATTTGAAAGAGCAACCCTTTGAACAGACTCAGTATATCTCAGGATCCCCCTCGGAGTTGAAGCGGTGATATATCAGAAAGGTGCGTGAATTGATAGGCATAGGAGCGTCCATGCATTGAATACACCACCTTCTCATCGGGATCAGGCGCCCACGGAATCGTCCGCCTCATCCTTGTGCATCCAATATCCTGGGATCTTGGTTGGAGCGGCGTCGCACGCCCAGCAAGCAGAGAAGTGACGAGGTGCGAAACTGGTTTGTCCAACACCCTTGACCTCAGGGCCAGCGATGAGAACCGGGCATAAGTAAAAGAGATCTGACACGATGACTTTAAAAGGATAGCAGATGACGAACTTCTAGGATATGTTTGACGAGGCATACTAATACAACCCGTGTGACAGTCCAAAAGCGACGAAGGCTGGATGGCGAACATGTTCGTGTGTCACTATGAGGACTTCAAGTAGAGTAGCCGTAGGACGTGTGCTGAGAATGAATGGCCATCCTTCGTGACGATGCGCTCACGTATATCATGCACTCGGGGGATTGCCACGATATATCTCGCGGTGCGGGCCTTCGATATACGACCTCAAGATCTCAGAGGTATTTTTGTTCACGCAGGTACGCAAGGTTTTCCGGAATGGCCGTGACACTGCAGGATGTCAGATGAGCAATCGCGCGTGCAAATAGTAAGTGCAACATAACGCTGGGCGCATGAAAAACTGCCGATATGATAGAGACGGTACCACTGGAACCCTTTGGCCTTGGTCGTGTCCACAACAAGTACGCCCACGTCGGTGCTTCGAGCAGTTAGCGGCGGTCCCACCAAGAGAATGGCGACGTGCGCGCGAGACGAGGCCAGCGGCAGCAAAGCTGTCATGTACTATCTGCGCATCTGCATGCCCTTGTTATTCGGCCAGGGTTTCACTGCGTTCAAATGTTGGCCATCGAAAGTGATTGGGTTTTGGGTTCACTAGTAGACGCTGCTGTGAGCTACGCTAGTCGGGAAGCAGACGCAGAGTCACACACCAGGGATAATGGGAGCAACGAAGGCAAGGCGGCTTGTGGGTGAAGGGGACAGGGGTGTGAAAGGGCGCGCGTCGGCTGAGTCAGACGGTGCCCAGCCTTGTCATCGTGTAGCATAATCGTCTGTGCCGTCCGTCCGCCTCTGCGGATATGCGGTAGCTTGTGAGAAAGCTCTCACCTTTATATCCGTTGCGTCTCACTCCTCCACTTCCCGAACCACTGCTCTGTCCCAACCAATGGCCCTAAGCTTTCTCGCCCGCAAGGTTCGTATGCTCCACTCTGAATCGATTATCGCATCGACGCTCAGTTCTTTCCCGCAGCCCAAGCTTCTTCCCGTCGAGAGAGACGCAGACGGCACCTGGGTGTTCTTCGACGGAACGAAACGCATATCGGACTTGTCGATCAGTGGAAATGGCTACACGTCGCGCCATATGTTTGCCAAAGACAGCCCATACACAGGCGCGGGGCGGGCGTCGGTCGTCACCCGTGCGTTTCCTGCGTTTATATTTCTCCGGGCGGAGGTGCTTATTTGTATGCACACAGCGCCCTACCACTACCATATCTACCAGACGGAGATATTCGAACCGGTCAGTGCCGCTCCTTGACGCCTGTGCAGCGCGTCTGACTTGGTGAAGAAACAAGGTGTCATGTGCTACCTGCTGGAAGGGAAGGAGTATAAGGCGAGAGTGGGAGACGTGGTGACTGTGCAACCGGGGCAGAAACATACGGTAAGCTTCGTGTCCAGGTCATTCTCCGCAGTTAAACCCGGGCCTGTGCAGTTCTGGTCGGATCAAGACGCGGAGGAAGGCCTGCACGTCGATATCACCGTGCGCGGCGGGGGCGATCGCAAAGGGTGCGCTTCGACTTTCCTCCTTCGGCGCCTCATAGCCTCTCATCGGCGTGTTTCTCAGACTGGACGAGGCGTTCTTCCACAACCTCTTCGGATACATGGACTCGCTCAGACAGCAAGGCCAGTCGCCCAGTATCTTCCAGATGCTTGCGTTCATGGACTCTGCGGATGTCGTGCTTGCGGACATCCCGTTCGGGCTGGGGAGGCTTGTGAATGTTGTCGTTGGTGAGCGCCTTCCCGACGTGCTCTCCTAGTGAAGGATCTCAGCTCGTCGTTCTAATAGGGCGCTGGATTGGACGGTATCTCCTTGGTTATCAGCCGTCGTACAAAATCTACAACGAGGGTGTGACCCAGTAACTCCTTTGCAGGACGTACTGCGGATGTTTCTTGCTTTTCATGTGATCAGCATTTCTGTCCACTACAGCGGCGGTATATATTCCTCCTTTCGTAAAATGGCTGCCCGTTGCCGCCGTCTGAGACGCAAAATCATGTATTGACTAGGATTCTTGGACTACTGGCAAGTAACACTACGGGGTATTGGGTGACCTGGGTCGCACACTAAGACGCGACTTCATGATGCTGCCGCTAGCACTGATGGGACATACGAAGCAACATATTGTTCAAATATCCAAGCACTCAAGGGCATCGAGGTCAGCCTGAGGCCGTGGTTAGGTCACTCGCACACTTCGTGCTCATATATCGACCATTCAGTTCCCGAAGCTAGTTTTCATCGCGATAGATATGGATATGACAACCATCGGCAGTAAAGGAAAGTAGAGACCGTAGAGTAAGCATAACGTGCTTCGGCCCGCCCGGTGTCTCCAAACCGGACGATGCCCCACTTCCCGCTGAAAACACCTGCCCATTGTGCAGTGGTTGAAGGTATTGCTTCGCATAGCAGGTCCGGTGAAGAAAACCAGCGGTGGTTTTGTGGAGAAGCAGAGTGGGTATGCATGCATCAATCAACAAAAGCGATATCGTCATAGCAGAAAGGGCGCACCTTAGATCAAAATAGCAGTGTACATCAGATTCTCCAACTTTGCATTGCGTGGAACGCAACCGGGGGAGTAGGTAGTAGGTGGTGAACTGGTGCGAGCTTGAGTGTCATTCGTAAGTCTGACGACGCTGGGCCGAAGGGAACGTTGGGTCATCGATGCGAAGGCTTTCATATCCTATATTGTTGAGAATGCGAGTGCGAAGTCTCTTTATAAGTTGAGGGAAGATCCCAAAGGAAAGGGGATGCATACGAGATAACGCGAGGACGTGTTTCGAGTTTCGAGATCCTTGCATATAATCTTCACATGTGTGCCGATTTCGCGGGGCCCAAACGTGGTTTGGTAGGAGTACGAAGTACGGGCACTCGTGGCGTTACATGTATTTGAGTTGGAACCTCGTGAAATCCGATAAGATGGAGATAAGCGCCGGATGATACAGCGCCAATTGGCCGCTGACCTTCATTCCAACTTCCGTCTCTTCTCCTCCAAGTCGACGACCTTCAATCCCATACTATGTTCATTCCACAAAGCAAAGTGTCAATTGGGGGACCTTGTATGCCGAACGCCTGACGTCCTCGTAATCTCTTGAAGGAGGGCGCATTCTGAGTCACCCAGTGGGAAGTTGACGCGAAGTGGGGCAATCGTAAGGGATGGGCCTGAGACTCGAGGCTGATTGCTACTATTAAGCGTTATCAATGGTGCGTGTCATACGCTGCTGTAGCAAACCGCGGCTCTGATTGCTTACCTGCTTCCCATAGTCTCCAGGTCGGCAACGCCTATTCGTAAGGCCGCCACCGACGTCGGCGCCCCCCGCCCCCGAATGGCCCAGTTGTATCTGCCGCCGTCTCGTCTGCAGCTAGTCTGCAGTCTGCGCGCGATGACGCCGCAGGGCGAGAGAGTGCGATTGCGGCTCATGGGAGTAGGGGGGTCAGATCTCTTCGGCGATGCGATAGAACTCGCTGGGGCACGCCCTTCATTCCAGCGTCGACCTCGTACCCGTTTTGGGGCTGGCACCAGGGCCCCATTTCTGCGCCCGAATCCCAGACCACGGAACAATGGTATCGGACACGCGGAGGCGCGACGCGCGCAATGCTTTGATTCTCGTCGAGAACTCGGTGCCCAGGGCGAAGATGGTGCACGCACCACACGCGAATTCTGTACGGGCACGGACGCTTCCATGGAATGAGGTCGTGGTCGCTCATTAAGATTCCCGGAGACAAGACTGACACAAAGCTGGGAGGCGCCGGAGTCCGACCGGCGACAGTAGAGAAGGTCACATCACCAACGTCAGCAGCGCCCGCCTTCTTCCACATGCGCGACACCTTCAGTCCTCCGTTACTCCGCAAGTCACCCTCCACGCACGGTCGTGCCGGGTCGATCCTGTTCGACGCGAAGGATACGCTCAGGAGGTGAGTACGATGCCCTGCTCTGTTCAGTGTGATTAAATACGAACTGTCGCTTACGACGACTACTTGATTTGTTAATAGTGGTGCATCAGATGTGGTGGAGACACCCCGTTGTTCATAGCCGCGATCTCTATGGGCCCCGTCATCGTAGCTCCCTGTAGTTGCGGAATAGAACAATTGGCGGTGCAAAGGCGTTCGACTCAGTCAGTGATTACCCAGTGATGAGGGTAACTAATGAGATCGACCCCCGGGCCCTTGCCCCGTATACTAGTTCGCACTCCACAGGAGACCGGCAAATCTGAACCCATCTCAGGACGCGTCAACGCCATACACGGGTTGTCGGGACCAGGCGATAAATGGATGGCGAAGGCAACTTGGTGAATTGCGAAAGGAGACAATCGTGTTTAGGCAGTCAAATGGGAAACTTGACCTTGTGTTCCCATTAGACACGACCCCAGCACTCCGGGATGCAAGCGTACGACAAGCCCGCCATTACGCAATACCGGTGCGGGAATCAATAGCCTCATCGTATCTCCCATTATCCTCCAGCCATTATCTGGCGTTGAGGTTTGCTCTCGGGAGGGGTGTGGCGCGTCGACGACATTACGGGTCCGCGTGGCTATTTGTATAGACACGATGTATCATATGTAGGTGTGGACATGAACTAGAACCATCTGACATACCTCGTCCCAGAAAGATAATCAAAATGAAAGTGAGAACATTAGAACATGCTGTCAGTGTATGTGATGCATGGCCACCGAGTGTGCAAGCGTCCTGTTGATTCTTGGCGGAGTCGAAACAGAGTGTCACGGACCATCGACGCCACCAAGCTGTCTGTGCACGGACCGTCCCGACGTTGCTTGGCCCACAGTGTCACCAAACACCCGACTTTTTCTCCTAATCGGGGGTCCTCAGATGAGGCGCTAACCCGGTAAGCGCCAGTCTATTTTGCCTTATTAGGCTTGCCAGACGACACCCTTTTTGCTGATGCATTTCTCTGTTCTCCGTTTCCCGTTTCTTGATCCCGTCGTTGTCCATCCCGCTTTCCATTCTAGCGTTCTCTCTTGTAATTGAGGGCACGGCCGCAGCAGTCTTGGGCGCGGACAGTTTGTTACATGCCATGGCATCTCACAGCGACCTCTGTGGCCCTATCTGGACAGTCGTTCGTTTCTTGTTTCCCTGTCAACGTTCGCTGCGACGCGTTTCCTGGCTTCGTTCGTGCTTGTGATGTTTGCACACACGTCCAGGGTGCTGGCCCTGAGGAAGAACACGCATTGTCAGCGCGGGCATAGGATGGATGGGGGTCGATACTCGGGACTGGGATCCCCATGTCAGTGCGCCCCTCGGACTTCCGCGTGTTTCTCCCCATTCCCGCTGATTTTTGGATGATTGTTGGATCAAAAGTGCTTTCACCATGATGAACTCGCAGCAGTAGCGCCGACGCCTGTCGTATGCACGAGTTCCTACAGGGACGTCAAGCTGAAAATTGGAAGCCCAAGTTCATTGTTCGAGGCAGTTGGTGTTTTTTTCAGCCACAACAGCCTTGTCGCTGACTGTGAGAAAATACTGCAAACTCCAGACACCCACCACAGCAGCTTCAGCTTCGAGCCTCAAGCTGTAATCAGCACCAGCCAGCTTCCGAGAATCGCAACTGCCCTCGCCCACTTAGGGTTGCTGGCTAATGTTGGCCTCATCATATTTCGCTGTCCGTCTTCGAACCATGGCAGTCCTACCCATAAATGAACACCATGACTGTGTTCTCTTGAAAAACATAGATAGGCGAGCAACTATGAATCCTTGTGGTTGTTCGACGTGTTCGACGCGAAAGCAAAGTGTCAAGATTCATGATTGCACGGTAAGTCATAAGTCCTAGTCACGATTCATAAACTTTAATCCCTCAGATTTATTGTTAGGGGTAGGTTGAGGCGTTCGCAATGGCAGATATTTGTTGAGGGTGAGTCGGATCGCACAGTACTTCGCTCAATAGTGGACATAGCTCATTCCAACCTCCCCTTGGTCATGATGGACTCCTTGCGTCCCGGTACATACTACAGGGCGAGGAAGAATCTAGTCAACTCATCGCCATTGAACCCGGCTAGTTCTTGGACCATCGAAACATAACCATCAGGCCGCACCAACACGACTGAGCCAAGCTGACCAGCCCCCAAGAGTTCGTAGACATTCGGCGAGCTCTTTCGGTCACTGACAAAGACACTTAGGTCTCAAGTCAGCACGGAATTTATGGGATAATACCAATGGGACACGCACCGTTTCCACGACCGGAGAACCCTTGGAACATCTGTCCATTGGGCCTCATCTTCGCGGTTGTCCAGAATCGTGTACAATATGGCGTGTTTGAGCACTCCGACGCATCGCCCGACTTCTTTCTCCAATCGCGCAAGTTCAGCTTGATTGTTTTCCAAGCGAATGTCCCCAGGGAAAATCAGCAGCCTCCACAGCCCGTCGAAAGAAATCAACGATTGGATGTCCATGGAGTCCCAATCGGCGAGTCGAGTGACCGGGCACCACGGGAGGTACTTTCCAACTGTTATAGCGCGCTCCCCTTGCTGAGAAACAGATGATTGAATCGTCAGCATCGAGTCGTATCGAATCCCCAAGCCACTAAAGTGCCATTTTCAGTGAACCGGCGGAGCGGGAGTGGACGTCAGCAAACCTTGTGAACAAGTTCTGACGGTGCAATACCCTGGCATGGATCGGTCAGTAACGGATTCGGGAGCCTCAAAGGCGAAACCTAACCTCTCGTAACTATCTGGGGAACCCGCTTCAAGTGTCTCTGATATTTCTTTGTCGAAGTTGATGAGTTGCTGGGCGTAGCCTTTGCGTTCGATCTCGTAAGTTCGCAAGATGTTTGGGGTGGCCCATCCTTTGATGACGTGCGCTAACTTCCACGCTGTAGCCCATTCATGAGAATGGGATGATCCGTGGGTGATCTAGGCAAGACACTCACCGAGATTATGAGAGTCACCCATAGCTGCATTAGCGCCCTGGCCTGCCTTGGGGGAGTGCTGGTGGCATGCGTCGCCAACGATGAAGACTCTGTCTTGGACAGAGAAACGCTTCGCGACCCGCTGAGGGACTGAAAACGATACTCAGGTACACGATTGGCAGTATCTGCTCCGACGTACTGGCAAATATTGTGCACCAGAAAACGTGTGTGAACTTGACTTCAAAAGGTGACATCCCTGCTTGTATACGCTTCGGAGGGATTAGAGCTGATACACTGCATAGAGTAGCGGGCTTACCTTGAGGACCATTCGACGAGAGGCTTCGCTGGATAGATGCGACTTATCAACACGTCCGCTGGGGGTAAGTTGACAGTCATCGAGGGACAGCTGCACGTAGAACCGGATTTTCTCCCCTTCCCTTGGAATCGTCTGCAGATTTCTGAGCAGTTATTGGCCTGGCTCTACCAAGGTTGGAACTACGCACGATGATTGTGCCCGTTGGTGCGTTGATAATGCATTTCATTCGGCAATCGCTGAAGTTTGTTTCCACGATCACGTCAGTGACCCCCCATATCGATTCTAGAATGGCGTTCAGTGATGCCTGCAAGCAGAAGCATGGTGTATCGGTGCCGACCAGTTAAATCCCCCTCCAATGGGATATCGAAGAACCGGCGCACCCACGAGTTGGCACCTGTAGGAAAGTCAGCGAAGTCCACACCTTATCAACAGCTACCGCCTACCATCGGCGCCTACTAGATATTTAGCTTGGATAGTTTCCGACGAAGACGTCTGGTGAAGGTCTCCGCCGTGCCCTCGCTTGTCCAGTGGTACTGACACTGTTTCCAGCGCAACCTGTAGGGAGGTGGTTCAGTTCCTGCGGCCGGGCATGTGAACGAAGTCCCAAGAAAGGATAGTTCACCCTGACGGGATACTCCGACTGAGAATCTGGCGTTACTTCTACGTTCGTTGGCGTGGTGCTGTACTGGACGGCTCCACCGGCTTCGAGGAGAGCCTCTCGTAATGTCCCTTCAATATGCTCGATGGCTGCCGTTCGCTCGTACGGGAATCTACTGTCTACCACGACGTTGCGGACTGGTCGCGTCCGTACAAGCTTCAATTGTCCATTGTCGATTTCCGGGTTATATGTCACCTGAGGCAGAGGCGTCCGATAATCAAAACGTAAGGCTATATTATCGTAATCGAAAAGGGCTGACCATCGCATGCATAGGCGCGGATCCATCAACGAACCTTTTTAGGATGCCGTAGGTATCCCATATCTCCAAGGTTCGTGGCTGGATGCCATCGGCGTTGCCGTATTGCGTTCCAAGTGCTCTAAAGAAGCATCCGACTGAGCCGCCACAGACAAAGGAATAAATTAGTGCCGTATGCATACCGTCTGTCGATAATTTTCGTTCTAACCCCTGCTTTAGCCAACGATAAAGCGCACATAAGGCCGGCGGGCCCCATCCCAATCACAAGCACGTCAAAGTTAGTGTTGTTCATCGCGAATATGGGACGGAAGAGAGGTATCTTTCATACGCCCCCCAAAGACCACTGAGCCCCAATTCATATAGAATCAACAACACCTATCGAGAAGGTGCGAGATTCATCGAGTGGACATGTGTACCATCCTCCATTATTATTAGCTGACTTGTAGAACGTGGGGGTTATCGCTAGCGTGTGCTCTCGGATGATGTGAGAACGGATAAACCACAGAAACACAATGAAGGAATACCTGGAGTATGGTACCATGGCTTCGGCCGCCTGAAAACTGTACACGGCCTTGAACAGTGCAGCATATGTTTCAACGCTGCATTCCCTCGGTTTCATCCGAACACACAAGACCATTAAACGTCCATCTTTCGGCCAGGTGTCCAGTGAAACGGTAAGAATGATGTGCGGCCGGCGCGATTCTCCGTCATCCGATTTTCATTGACTCTTTCGCATCCGAAACGCGATATCGTATAGCCGTGAAGGTCTCAGAGGACGTAACTCGCTCTTAAAGATGTACAGGGTCAGACATGCGACATACAAGAAACGACCCACCAAAGCGTCGATGGACGTCCTACCCAATCAAGGCGTCCGCTTCTTGTGCAACTCGCCCGGTGCCTGTGAAGAAATCCCTGCGCTACAGGTATGACAACTGTGGGGTAAAGTCTAACTCAGCTTAAAGCTTCTTGGGCGGTTCCTCGTGGTGTTCACACGTGAAATTGTATTGCCGTTTGGGAAACAGACGGAACTTACTGCAAGCTGGCCTGATGTCCACATGCATCGATATCCCTCAGTACTGGGATGATCCTCCTGGCGTGGCACAAGCTCCCGCACCGCTTGTTCATTCTGGTTTGAATGATGATGGCCGTGTGTGTGTAATCTCCCATGAAATGAAGTTTTCGGTATTGCCAGCCAACTTGGACCGATGCATCAAGAAGAAGTGGTGAGTTGGTAACCTTCTCACGAGCCACGGTACCTTAGGGCTCCGACGAAGTTCCTTCTCGCATTCTCCCTCGGTTGAACGATTAGGCCAGTGTAACCTTCCTCGCATGTCCGAGGCCAATATACAACCCAATCGTCTGTACTCAACCACTCGCACTCACGCGCTGTCGATACTCCTGATCTACTTTCCATGGAACATCACGCATTATAAGATTCTCGTCGTACCATTGTACTGGAGTACTACCCTACTTCGCCCCTTCGGATGAGATTGAAGTTCAGCCTCCCTTTCTCAAGCAACCAGAAGATGTCTGCCCAACCCAACGACTTGACCGCTCTTGTTAAGCTCATCTCTGATTCCGTGGCCGTTGTGACATCGGAGTATGCAAAGGCGGGACACGCTCCCCCATCTTTGGAGTCAACGGCGCAAGATCCTTTCCATTCTCCTGAATTAGTGCCCGAACAGTTGGCAGTCGCTATCAAGACCATCGAGGCTGCATGCGCGCAACTCAGCGCTACGGTCACAAGTGCTGGGCATGTTGTAACGAATGTGAGCTACATACACGCAGACTCAGCGTAGTAACTTAGTCTTTTCTTTACAGAAAGCATACAACGTACGTTATGCATTTTGTTGGGCACCCTTTGGTATTCGTTCACATATTCATCTAGTTCATGGAGCCAGTGTGCATGAGCGTAGCCCTGGGTGCGAAAGTTACTGAACACCTCCTCGATAAGCCCAAAGGATTACACGTTGATGAACTTGGGCGTCTGACCGACCAAGATCCCGGGAAATTGGGTCGCGTCCTTAGGACACTCGCAACGAACCATGTTTACACCGAAGGTCAGTGAGCTTCGAAGCTACATTCCTGCGATAGGCTGATATGAGGTTTAGTGACACCCAACGTCTTTGCCAACAACCGTCTGTCCATGAAATTACTTTCGACTGATCCCGTTTCAAGCCTCGTTCGCATCATGTAGCTAGACAAGCTCAGCTTTGTCCTATGCCTGCTGACTTTGAATCCTTCAGGACTGACGAGTGTCTGAAAGGCGGTGCTGTTGTGGGAGACGTTTTCAAGGACCCTACAACACGCAAGTCGTATCGCCTAGAAGATTCTGCTTTCCAGCGCGCCCATGGAGTCTCCGTTTTTACTCACTACGGCGGAGTGAGACCATTGTTCTTTTAGTGTGGCGTCTCTACTGATGTGAGAAATAACGTAGCCGGAGAACCCAGAGGTCTTCGAGGTGCGTCCATCCCTTGCGTCCGAGACGTCTTACTCACCATGTTCACTAGAGCTTTGCACAAGCCATGGTTGGCTGGGCACAAGTTACGGGGAGGGCAATGCTTCCGAAAAGTGAGTGCCGAGTTGAGCTAGGGCTGGCGCGTCTAACGTGCCCTGCAGTCTACCCCTGGGGCAGCCTTCCTGCTAATTCCACTGTGGTCGATGTCGGTGGTGGCAACGGCCATGCCACTCTTGACCTACTCAAGGCCTTCCCGTCTCTTAAGATAATCGTCCAGGATACCCCTCCCGTGGCCATACAAGGAAAAGAGGTATTCGTATCGTCCAAGGATCTACATAAATATTAATATAGGGCTATTAGTATTGGGAGAAAGAGTACCCAACTGCGATTCAAGACAAGAAGGTTGATTTCATCGGGTTTGATTTCCTAGCAGAATCACCCGTAACGGATGGCACGATATATTACGTATGTTTCCAAAGCCCTTCATTTCGAGTTGAGCTGAAGCTTGTTCCCCGAACGCCTCGCAGCTGCGACACGTGCTGTGAGTGGTGCCGCAGATTCATTTCTAAATTGCTTATCCAGGCGTTGCTGTAGGCACGACTGGCCCGACGACGACTGTATCAAGATATTGAAAAACGTAAGGAAGTCTGTAAGCCCCAAGAGCCGGCTCTTAATCAGTCAGTAATCGTTACTTCGATGAAGCTGACCGTATGAGTTCTGAATCACTCCAGACGAATTTGTTGTTCAATATATCGTCCGCGGAGGACTAGCGTCAGAGTCCCAGGTTTGTATCTCAGTACACCGTGGTTGTTCGTACCCTGATAAAGCGTGTCGTAGGCACCTGCACCTCTCCTTCCCAATTATGGTGCAGCGAATAGGAGACTCTACCAACAAGACATCAACATGCTGCTCCAATTTAACAGTAAGGAACGTACGCTGGACGAGTTCATCAAGTTGGGGTACGTCCTTCAAGAATGTGGAAAAATATTTGGCTGATTAGTACCACAGAGAAGCGAGTGGTTTCCGCTTCCAGAAGTTGTGGGACGGCGGCGAGGCAGGAATCGTGGAGTTTGTTCCAGCTTAGCTACAACATCGTGCCACTTGTATATCCATGATATCTCCAGGAAGAAACCTAACGGTTTTAAATGATTGGCGGGGGCTTCATGGGGACGAATCACAGACGAAAGTCGAAAATCATTTGCGCCGGGATTTGCGCAACGCATCCGGACAAATTGAAATTATGGCTTTCGCAACGAGGGAGATGCAATAAGGGCCCCCCAGAGAAGAAAGAGTCTCAATGAGGATCAGTCAAGGTCCCACCTTGAAGCACCGGAACTGAGATGATCCAACTGTCGTGAGACAAATGGGTTCCTCTCAGCGTATTCGCTGCAACTTGATGAACCGTGATAATTGCGTGTGTAACTGAAAGGTTGAACGAACTGTGTACTTCGACCGATGAATTGAGAAGTATGGGTTTTCTCACGAAATGCCAAGCTGAAGAGTTTACCAAATCTACGTCCTACGTCCACAACATTTCCAACCGGTTGAACGATGAAACGAGGGTAACCTCTTCGCATGTCCGAGGCCAATGTACGACGCCTTTGCAATCGTGCTCCCGCGATGGTGGGTCTCCTGATGGTCTTCACGCGGTGCGTTAGTTGACAATCACACAGTAGAAAAGATTCTTAATGTACCGTAGTGTTGGGTTCTCGGCCTATCGCAGCCTTCGCATGCGATTGAAATTCAGCCTCCCTTTGCGAAAGAAAACCAGAAGATGTCTGCCCCTGCCAACGACCTCAACACTCTCGCGAAGCTCATCTCCGATTCCGTGGCCGTTGTAACGTCTGAATACGCGAAGGCGGGACACGCGCCTCCGAGTTTGGAGTCGACTGCTCAAGATCCCTTCCACTCTCCGGAGTTGGTTCCCGAGCAGTTGAAAGCTGCTATCAAGATCATCGAAGCCGCCTGCGCGCAGCTTAGCGCTACAGTAGCCAGCGCCGGGCATGTCGTAACGAATGTGAGCCAGCTTGGAGCGAGCGTCAACGTGGTACTTACTCTTGTTTCTGCCCAGAAATCGTACAACGTGGGTTTGGGTTGTCTGGGGCATTCCAATAATTGTTAACATACGGTATTCAGTTTATGGAACCAGTATGCATGCGTGTAGCTCTGGATGCAAGAATTACCGACCATCTCCTCGACAAGCCCAAAGGGTTGCATATCGACGAACTGGGGCAGCTGACAGATCAAGATCCAGGAAAACTGGGACGCATCCTCCGAACACTGGCAACGAACCATGTTTATACTGAAGGTTAGCATAGTTCATGATTGCTGTTCAGAGGGGCTGATACGAACCTTAGTGACACCCAACGTTTTTGCCAACAACCGTCTTTCCATGAAACTGCTTTCAACTGACCCCGTCTCGGACCTCGTACGCCATATGTGATCACAGCATGTTTCGTGATGTCATTCGTCGTTGACTAAAATCACTCCAGGACGGACGAGAGCATGAAAGGCGGCGCCGTTGTTGGGGATGTTTTCAAGGACCCTAAAACGCGCAAGTCTTATCGTCTGGAGGATTCCCCTTTCCAGCGTGCTCACGGAGTCTCTGCTTTCGGTTACTACGGCGTTGTAAGGCAATTATCTCGTTGAGGGTAAATCATTCACTAACAAACGACCGACTCAGCCCGATCGACCAGAGATCTTTGAGGTAAGTCTGTCCGCACTTGCCCTATTTTCATACTGATCGGATTGCTAGAGCTTCGCACGGGCAATGGTTGGTTGGGCACAGGTTACGGGAAAGGCCATGCTTCCAAAGAGTAAGCACAGGTGTTCGATGATGGACGATGCGGCTAATGGCTATATCGCAGTCTATCCGTGGGGTAGCCTCCCTGCTGATTCCACGATAGTTGATGTCGGTGGCGGTAATGGCCACGCCATGCTTGACTTGCTGAAGGCCTTCCCATCCTTCAAAGCCATCGTCCAAGATACGCGCGCAATCGCTATACAAGGCAGAGAGGTACTCTCGTCGTCTAAAGGATCTATATAATAATTAATCCATGTATCAGTTTTGGGAGAAAGAGTACCCAATTGCAATTCAAGAGAAGAAAGTCGACTTTATCGGACTCGACTTCCTGACGGAAACACCCGTGACAGGGGGGACAGTATACTACGTACGTCTTTCAAGCCTCGCATTTTTCTGCTTAATCAAAAGGTCGTTTCCCACAGCTGAGACACGTTCTGTGAGTGCCCATTAACATCGATTCGTTTTCAATCACTAAGGTGTTGTCGTAGGCATGATTGGCCCGATGATGACAGCATCAAGATTTTGAAGAACGTGCGGAAGTCTGCGGGACCAAAGAGCAGGCTCCTAATTAGTCAGTGACATCCACTTGTCTTTCAAAGGTAAACATAATTGCTGACTTACTCAAGATGAATTCGTTGTTCAATATATCGTCCGCGGAGGGCTGGCGTCAGAATCTCAGGTTTGCACCCCGCGACAGCTGTAGGCCGCAGGACTAATACCTCGCACTGTAGGCACCCGAACCACTGCTACCCAATTACGGCGCGGCCAACAAGAGGCTCTATCAACAAGACTTGAACATGATGTTTCAGTTTAATAGTAAAGAACGTACGTTGGACGAATTCATCAAGTTGGGGTACGTGTGCAAAGCTGTCTTATTATCTCCCCACTGAATAGTGTTCCAGCGAAGCAAGCGGGTTCCGTTTTGAGAAGTTGTGGGACGGCGGGGAGGCGGGGATCGTGGAGCTTGTTCCTGTTTAGCATTAGAAGCATCAACAACTGCTTTGTTTTTCAAGAAGAGACCGTGCTATATCTTTGATCGATACCGAGGCGGCGTCCAGTCATTTGATGTATGGACCCCATATTTGTTAAACAACAGTGTGGTAGTTTTGACTCGGAACGCTTCCATTCGCGCGCCCAATTATAAATCAGTTTCCAATTTATAGTACTTATGAACATTGGGTACTCTTTGATTAAAGATTGATAAAATCAGAGAGTGTACGCACACGAATGTCCGAAACTCACATTCTGCCAGGTGTCGTGGCCCCAATAACACAATTCAGATACAGAGTGCCACCCTTCTGTTCTCCTCACCTGGTAGCTCGGTCTCGCTTGCGAAGGTCGAGCTAGGTAACACGTCAGCGCTCTGACTTAGCTAGCCTGTCCCTCGTATACAGTCCCCAAGGCGCGTGTCAGCGTACTCTTTTCTACAAATTTCAAGAGAGATAAAATGAACCAGATTGAGATCGAGCACAATAACGGACAGCCTGCCGTCGAAAACGTGCGCGTGTCTTTGAAGATTGATGCCGAGCGAGCTAGATTATCAGCAGGCGTTGGCCTTGGATAATGAGGTTTGTTTGAAGAGTTGGGACGGTCGAGTGGCGGTTGTACAATAAGTACCGTAGTGGCTCTGAAGAGCGGTCGGCCTGATCTCACGGTTGTCCCACGGTTTATATTATTCCCTCGCCTCACGGCCCAATCATCGACCTTTCATCCTTTCATCACCAACTCTCTGATGAGCGCACCCTCACCGAGACCAGCATTTAGCACACCCATTTCATGAGCGACTCTGGAATCTGGATACACAGCACCCAGTGCTTATTATGCCCATGGTAACTGGTTAGTTTTCGGTGGGTGGCTTTGATGCGTTCTACTTTTGAACCACTAGGACGGACACTGAATCCCCGTCGTCGCGCATTATTTCTTGCGTGCCACACTTAAATTTGGTTGTAGGGAACATTGTGTATGTGGGAGATCCACCGGAGACCAATAGCGCAATCCACTCCTCGTTGAAGTACAAACATCATTATGCTTCAAAGTCGCATTACCCATACCGGTCTTGTTGGACTATGTTCTGATTATTCTGATTACGACCATTTGCGAGGATTCTCAGTAATTGCGATGATTCGCAGAGCTTGAACGGTGCTGGAGACGTCCACTGTCATAAGTATGAAGTACGATACTGGTAAGTGGCCCACCCACCTGCTTCAGTGCAGTGTAACTCATAAAGACCTTTTTACACCCGTGACAGACGTATGAATGGCAGGTATCTCTGCAATGCAGGAATAGGCCATGTGGCGTTTTGAACTGGCGAAAGCAAGTATTACAGACAGGCATGTGTGACCTAGTTTGCCCATTGGTTTCGGTCGCTGAGCAATGCCGACAAAGAGGGCACTTACCGTGTGTTGACCGTCTCGCTGTCTCTTGAGAGATGTGAGCATTGTCCTCTCCTTTTAAGTCGACTGAGTGGAATCGAGTCAAGGCTTACGTCTTCTCCACAGCAGCGAAGAGCTTGAAGCTTGAAGCCCTGGTGTAACGACCGGGCAATTGGCGCCTGGTCCCGTCGAGACTTCCTCGACCATCCCCAATTCCAATTCCCTCAACTCCACCTCATCCATGATATTGTTTCGGCTACGTTAACTCCCAGTCGGCCCTCCGTCATTTCCAATCTCGGATCCCCGACTATTCCTTATCATATGTCTGTCTACTCCTACTCTACCTATAAAAACCCTATAGATACTTTGTATTCAATAGCGTTTCTTGAATCGACGGTTATTCCTGTCACCTTTCGAGCGACCTCAAAACCTTCCTATTTCGTGTGCCGAGACTATTTTCCCTTTCGGGAATCTCCTCGTCACATTTTTTTGACAGTACCAACCAACCTATCCGACTTCAACTCTCCTCCTTCTTTTTCGCTCTCATCCTTCTAAAAAATCTCGGGACCACCCAGTCTGATCAACTGGACCACCGACTAGGAAAAACCTTCAAAACATTTCATTTTCGGCGCTCCTTTCAACACTACTACAAAACAAAACATGTCTCGCTCGATGCACCTTCGAAGCCGCGGCCCCGTTCAGGACACAACTCCTACGGTCCCCGGGCATCTAGCTGAGTCCTCCCCTCTTAGTCTTATTCCTACTAATAGAAGTTCGGTGTCGGACACCGAAGAGATTGGCCAAGAGTCACCTATCCCGCGCTTGCGTGCGTTATCGTACAGCGAGGTAGTGGCTGGCCCGGCCCGAGCGCGCCTGCAGTCGCCTCGGGTTGACTCGTCTGACCATAGCGTCGACGCCGCTCAAGACGCCATTGAAAGCGTGAGCGAAGGTCCGAAGGGTAACTCGGACCCTGATCCCGCAGTATCCAAGATGGATAAGGGACAAAGCGAAGGGCGTTCCACGCCAGGTGCTGACACCGTCGATGCACACTTGACGAAGGTTCAAGTCGAGGCCATTAGAGCGGCCGAAGATAAACTGTCGGCAGAGCAGCGCGATGTATTAGCTAGACGAAACAAAGCATTAACAATTAAAGAACGAGTACCTGAGCACGAAAGTCGTGACAAGGGCAAGGGAGCTGATCCCGCAAACTGGGGAGAGTTCCACTCGGATGATGAGATCCAGGATGTCGAGCTACAAAAAAAGGTCATGAAGAGCTACCAGGACTTGAAGCGTGGCGCGCATACCAAAGATATCGGTGGCGCGGGACCGTCCAATAGTCAGGCCGCCTATACAGGGAAGGTACCGCCGACGGAGCACCGAACGGTCGACATCACCAAAGTGTACCCGAAGATTGAGCGCGGTCCAAGTGTCGACCAGTTGAGACTTCAGAGTTTGGTGGACGAGGTGGAAAGACTCAAGGGAGAACTTGCGAACAAGCCGTTCTTGAGGACCAAGAAGGGGAAATCCAAGAAGTCCTCGAAGGCGAGGGCCGATAGCAGCGCAAGCGAGATTGAGAGCGTTGAGGACCGCGATAATGATGTCCTCCCCATACGGCAGGTTGCCGAAAATTCGGCATTGGGAAAATTCTTCGCGCAAGTTAGAGCTCGAAGTAATGCACCATCGGATCCCTCCGATTCTAGTAGTGACGATGACTCGTCTCACCACAATGATTCCTCGGGAAGTTCAAGCTCCAACGGCGGGCGAAGGAACAAGCAGAGACCTAAGGGTAGGCACTCGCGGCCGTCTAGGTCGCATTCTGCATCGCGACGACGGGCAAAGAAAAGAAAGGCAGTTAGAGAGTCTAAAATTAAGCCTGTGCAACCAAAAGCTTACAACGGTGAAGCTTACCTGCCTGATTTCCATAGATTCATGATGGAGGTTGTAGCATACTTGGAGGACGGGCAGGTGCCGCGAGTCAATGAGGTACGCACAGCGTTGCGCTTCCTCGAAGGGCGAGCCCATGTATTCGCGTCGCAGGTTATTCTGTTTGACATCGAGAACTGGACGCTAGATCGCTTGTTTACAGAATTGTTCAACCATTTTTTTCCGAGTGACTTCCGTGAACGCCAGCGTATGCGTTTGAACCGATGCTATCAGAACGATAGATCAGTAAAGGAATACGCAGCCGAGCTTGCGGAAATTTACATGGCTATCGGGACGAACGACAAACAGGATAAGGTCGTCCGGCTGTGGCAGGGTTTCCGAAAGTCGTTGAAGAGCAAGCTGTGGGAAAACGGCTTCACGGGCCTTCGATGCTCTTGGGAACGTATGGTTCGACAGGCAGAAACCTATGAGGTGGCAGCGAGTATTGCTGGTAACGGCGAGCGTCCTCGTGAAAAGAGGCAATCGTCAGCGAAGCCAGACGGCGGCCGCAACGAACGCACAAATGGCGGTTTTCTTTCCCGTAAGGGGCATTCAATGCCACAGAGCAATGGAGGTTCGAGTAAGGGCAGTCGGCGTGACTTTAAAGCTAGTAACGGGGATGCTAAACCGAAGTCTAATAAGTTTAACCTCTCCAAACAAGAGATGAACGACTTGCGTGCGGCGAAAAAATGCTTCTTGTGCAAAGAAGCTGGGCATGTAGCCCGTCAATGTCCTCGCGTTAACAGTGTGACATCTTCAGCGGGAGGACGGCGCCCTCCTGGTGTTCGTAGCAATAATGTGGAGATCAGCTTTGAGAACGCTGAAGACCTGAGAACGACAATTGAAGATGACGATACCTTGCATACCATTGAAATTGGTATGATCGACGTGAGCAGCCAATTGGCTGAAGCCGTGTCCTTAACCGGCCCTGTAGACGACAGAACTGAGGACGAGGGTATGGGTTATGACACCGACCCTGAGATGCCAGGTCTGATTCCTGTCGACGACGACAACTCGGACGATGAAGGCGAAAGCGGTGTGCCAATCCCTGAAGATGTGGGGAACACTTTCCAACGATACTTTGATGATTGGGACGATAACAACGGTAATGGGTCTGGCATCCTTGCATCTGGTATGGAAAGCCCGGAGGCGGAGGATGGAGCCCAAATTGACCCACAGTCCATATACGTAATGAACTGGGGGCTCTTCGCCTCGGAAATGCTGGCTGAGGTTCGGGTCATCGACGATTATGTGCACATCCCGGTCGAGCAAACTGTGACTGCCGATCCTTTTGAGGATGTGGATGGCGAACTCGTGATGACACCTGAGGTGGACATAAAGGAATGGGCTAACATGTCGCCTACTCAGTGGAACGAGCGCACCCACTGGGAATGGTACTCAGCGTATTATTTTCCAGGCGGATGTATGGGTGACAGCGTGGCGAATGCACAAACGATGTACATGGAAACGGTCAAGGAATTGGGGTTTCCTGGCGATGACAAGTTCGCGCCCGTTAACAAATGGGAACCGCGGTTCACGTTCTGGTCAATTTCTTCCCAAGACTACGCGCTAAGGGATAGCCTACGGAAAGGAGAAATTGTGCTCGTCAACAAGAAGCTACTGCAGGCTGAGGAATTCAACCTAGCGTGGTGGTATGCAAAGTACTTGGCAGACGCGAATGGG